AAAGGATCTGCCTTGCAAGCCAAAGGTTCCGGGTTCAATCCCCCAGCATCTCCAGAAATCCCAGAGAGCCAGTGTCAGCCAGTGTAGACTATACTCAGCAAGATGCACCAATGGTTTGACTCAGCGTCAGACAAGTTTGCACTGGGTCCTGGAAGGATGCAGTTAACCACAGTGGGTGGTGTTTGCTGTTAGGCATACTCAGAGCAGACTCATTAAAACCAGAGGACTTTAGGTAAGAAGCTAATTTATCTCTAGCCAGCTTGCTGGTTCATCTAGTCCGGGGCCCCCCAAAGCTGGGTCACCAGCTGTTGTTGGACTACCACTCCCATCATCCCTAGCTAGCAAGTGGCCATGGATGATGGGAATTGTAGCCCAAAAACAGCTGGAGGCCCAAGTTTCAGAAGCCCTGGTCTAGTCTAAATGGTGTTGGACTCCAGCTCCCAATAGCCCTAGTCAGCATGGCCGGCGGTCAGGGATGATGGGCTTTGTAGTCCACCAAAATATTCAGAGGGCTACAGATTCCCCACATGTGCTCTATTCTATGCTAAATGGCAGAAGCTCTCCGAGGATTCACACAGCGCCATCTTTGAGATACCACGGATTGGAACTGGGACCTTTTCCTGAGTACAAAGCAGATACTATACCACTGAGCCACAGTCATTCCCTGCAAGCAACTTGTTGATTTAGTTCCAATGGGTTGACTCTGCATATGACATGCATTTAAAGCACATCAAAAATGGATTTAAAATACCTTCCTCCCCTCGGAGAATCTTGGGAACTATAGTTCATTAAGGGGGCTGGGAATTGTAGCTCAGTGAGGGGGAAACTGCCATTGCCAGGGTTCTTTGGCAGACGTTGTGAGCTTTAAATGTGCATGGGATGTGCTTTGAATGTGTGATGCAGCTCTAAAACCTTACAGTTATTCCAGTGAGAGAACAGAGGAATTAAATTCTGGTAGCAAAACCTTTCATCTGGAAGCCAGCATGCTTTGCTCTAGGCAGTTAATATCTGCTTTTATCCGTTGCTATAACAGATGTATTTTTCCAGTTGTATTTTATTAAATATCAAAAAATTCACATATATATATTCCAATACATAACGTTTTTGTTTTGTTTTGTCTACTTCCCACCCCTTTTTCCATGGTGTTTTTTTATTTCTCCCCCTTGCAGCACCCTATCTTCTGTCTTTTATACCATAACAATGATACAACAACTTCTAATTCCTTCTGTTGCTCATAGTTCAAATCCTGCTTGCAAATTCATCGTACTATAATATTTCTTTAGACAGTCCGGAAAAAAGCTTCCATTCTTCCACAAAACAATCATCTTTAGGTTCTCCTATTTTAGCTGTTACCTTTGGCAATTCCACATAATTGTCAATCACATTACTTATCCATACCTTTTTGGTGGGAAGTTGCTATAACACAGGTAAAAATAGATCTAGGATGGGTACAGGGAACTTCAGAGCTGTGGGCCATATGTGGCCCTCCAGGGTGCTCCATGTGGCCCTTGGGTCCCTCTCAAGGCTGTGCCACTTCCTAGCATTGCTTTGCACCTTCCTTGACTGCAACTTTGCCTGGCTTCAAGGAGTCCTTCCACTCTGACAATGCTACTTGCTTGAATGGACAATAGAGAGGGGCTTGTGAGTGGAAATCTGCCTACTTCACTGAAGTGAAATGTGCATTCCTTCCTTCTCCCAATATTGTTCTTGGCTCTGCCTGCCACAGCCATGTCTCCCCTGAAAGATTACGCAGAAGCAGAATGTTGCCCTCGAGTTGCAAAGGTTTCCCCACTGTTGATACAGAATGTGCCTGTGGATTGTGACTGGGGGAGGGGGGGGGAGAGAGACAGACCCCACGGTTTGTCCATGCTTCAAAATTCCTGCTTTTCGTCAGAATTGGAATCAGTGTGGTATGCGCTGTGGTCTGAACCACTGGGCCTCTTGGGCTTGCTGATCAGAAGGTCAGCGGTTCAAATCCGTGTGAAGGGGTGAGCTCCCGTTGCTTTGTCCCAGCTCCTGCCAATCTAGCAGTTCAAAAGCATACCAGTGCAAGTAGATAAATAGGTACCACTGTGATGGAAAAGTAAATGGTGTTTCCGTGCGCTCTGGCTTCCATTACAGTGTTCCGTTGCACCAGAAGCAGTTTAGTCATGCTGGCTACATGACCTGGAAAGCTGTCTGTGGACAAACGCTGGCTCCCTCGGCCTGAAAGTGAGATGAGCGCCACAACCCCATAGTCGCCTTTGACTAGACTCAACCGTCCAGGGGTCCTTTACCTTTTCTACCTTTACCTTAAATAAAGACTAGGCAAGTGAGAGTTCAAATCCCTCCCCTCAGCTGAGAGCATGATCTGGAGGCAGTCGCTGTCTCTCAGGCTAGCCTACCTCGTAGGGTTGTTGCAGGCATAAGAATGAGAGGAAATCCACTTGGAACTCCTTGGAGGAAGCGTGGAATGAAAACGAAGCAGGTGCTTGGAATCCAAAGGCAACCAAATGCCCATGGAAAGCTCACAAGCGGGGCATAGCCATTGCCCTTCTCTTGCTGCCCATCTGCAGCTGGTTTTCAGGGTCAAAGATCCTGGATGTGCCATGAAGCCAGCTACCCAGCACCAGGGTCACATCCATACACATAAAGCACTCTTTCCCCGCTGTAAACAGTCAAGGCTTCCCCTGGAGAATCCTGGGAACTGTAGTTTGGGGTGCCGAGAGACCCCTCACATAACTGCAACTCCCAGCACCCTCAACAAACTACAGTTCCCAGCATTATTTTTGGGAAGCGGGGAGCCGCGACTGTGAAAGTCGTATAAGAATGCTTTCAATGTGTGTATGCTGGTCCCGGGGGAAGGTTACCATGAGGCGTGGTCAGAGTCCGGTCCTGGGTTGAGGGTCTGGAGTCTGTCCACCAAGGGCAAAGTGAGGTCCAAAGCAAGGAGCCGGGCAAGGTCGGGAACTCTGGAAGAACAGGTCTGGGTGCTGGCAGAAACAGGTTTCCAACGACGTTGCTCCCGCAACCTGGGACCGGGCTGACTGGCCTTTATCTTCTCTGAGGCCAGGGGCGGTCCTGGCTCACAGGTGACCAGCCTCTCCTGGCCTTAAGGCGAGCACTCCTCCTGGGAGAAACCAGTTCCCTCCGCCTCTCTGCCCTGAGCCTCTGCAGCTCAGGAGAGGCTGGAGGGTTACTGGACCCAGGGGGAGGCTCAGCTTCCTCTGACAGGGCTGGGAGAGGCGCACCTGTAGGCAGTGGGTCCTCAATCACCAGAGTGGATTCATCTGGTGTCTGCTCCTGAGGATCCGGCACAGGTGCAGGTGCTTCAGATTCAAGGCCCTGCCCTGGCTCAGCTGGCCCTGGAGGCAGGGACTCCTGTGCAGGCTAGGATTCCTCCGGTTCAGCCTCTGAATCAGATTCCCAGGCCATCACAGTGTGTCATGCGGATGTGACCACAGTCCTCTGACCCTCTTTGAAAGCCCATGCCTGCTGCCACAATCTCACAGCCAGGGGGTGGTTCCATGAATGGATTATGTGCTGTGCAATGTGACGAGCCTGATTTTTGGTTGCAAAAGGGAGACCGCCTGCTTTTGCTCACTCCTTCTTGTTCCCCGGAGGTTGACCTCACTCTCTGCTCTCCCCTGCAGTGGCTGTGGACACTACTTTGCACGTGGAGTGGACGGAGGCGAAGTCCCTGCCCGCCCTCTCGCCCCTGGGCCACACCCGGACCTCCCTAGTGCGCAGGCTGGTTCGCCAAAGCTCTGTGGACAGCCAGGATTCTCTCGAGGTGCCCTTTTTCATCACTCTGCTTCTAGGCTGGCAGGACTGCGGGGGGAGATAGATGTTGCTGCAGCAACAGCCTTAAGGTGCATGTAGCTTAAGCTGGCGCATGGTGGGAGCTCCTGCGTGGCACGGGGGCGGGAAAGAAGGGAGACTTGTGCGCTATTGGTCCATTGGTTCTCTGCTTGTCAGCTCCAGCCTCCCCCGACCTGATGCTCTCCACTGGTTTGGGACTACAACTCCCATCAGCTCCAGGGTTGTTGGGAGTTATAGTACATTTTGGTTGCCCTTTTCTGAATATTTTCCAGCTGAACTGTGCTCTGCATTCCAAGTGTGGCTGTAGAACTATAGATTTGAATAACATCATTACGATATTGGAGGTTTCGTGTTCACTCCCTTTTGTAACATTCCCCAGCACGTAATTCACCTTTCCCAAAGCCACTGAGTATATTATTTAGCATTTGTACTGTACCACTAACGCCCACAGTGTTCCACACTGAAAAGAGGTCCCTGCCTTGAGGAGCTTACACTCTCAAGCTTTTGGGAAGGAGAAGCGTCTATCAGAGGAGAGGAAGACAGGGTGAGGGTAACAGGGAAAAGATACAGGCTCAGTTCAGTTGTGTTTCATGCACAGCAAAACAGGGTGATGTGTGTGTGAATGCGCAAAATAAGGAGTGTGACAACTGAACTTGTTGGGATGGATTTGGAGGGTAGGAGAGGCTCTATTATTTATTAATTAGCCTTCCTCTTATTCACTTGAGGAAGATTAGTGTTTAGTTTAGCAGAGTTAAAAATATATCATCCTTTGCGGTATTAACATGGAAACCGGAGACAAAGCTGCATGGCTTTGTATAATTATCCAGGATGCCTTTGGCAGTCTGGATTCTCCCTTTATTATCCCTCTAAACAAAATAACCACACAGAAGTCCTTAATGTAAGGATATAAAAATATTGTTTACTTCCATAAAGCTGCAGACTCAGTTCAAGCAGGAAATAGCAATGAAGTAAGGCAGGCAAGAAGACAGGGCGAGGGTACCAGTGGAAGGAGGCATGTTCAGTTTTGCTTTATACACAGCAAAACTGTTATATGCATATGTAAAATAAGGAGGGAGAAGGTTGACTTACCTTGCTTCTGATGGCAAAGCCCTTCAGAATTCATATTTGAGAATCAGGTAGGTAGCCGTGTTGGTCTGATGCAGTCGAAATATATATAAAAATTAAAGAATTGTCCAGTAGCACCTTAGAGACCAACTAAGTTTGTTCTTGGTATAAGCTTTCGTATGCATGCACACTTCAGATATGTGCATGCACATGAAAGCTTATACCAGGGACAAACTTAGTTGGTCTCTAAGGTGCTACTGGACAATTCTTTAATTTTTTAATACATTTCATATTTGAGAAGTCGATGGTTTCAGTAGGATGAGGTTTCTGCCTCTACCCACCCCCCCACTCGCCTACATAGCTTCTGCATTTTTACCAGAAGCAAATTATGATGGAAATTCAACTGGTGCAGCCTGACAAGGACATGAGATGCATTGATGGGCAAAGGTATACCTGTTGAATTCTTAAATTTTACTGTCCTTTCTGTTGCTGGTTTTGTTTGAACTTGATAGCGCAGTTGCTTAAAGGTGCAGAACATCTGTCAGGAAGAAAAGTCACCCATCCTACCCAATGCAGTCAGCTGTTAAAGATCAGGCCATTAAGGAATCTCATCTCTCATCCTGCATTTCCTACTCCCTGGGAGCTGTCCCTGTCTGACTTTAGCAGCTTCAGGGTTTTTTACACACTCCAGGGGGGGCCTTCTTTCAAATGCTGGGATTAATTCAATTACCTCGCCCCGGGTGGTCCCTGCTCCTAGCATTCTAACTAAATGGCTAATAAGTCGAAAGCAGTAGGTCGCTGATTTGGCCTGGCCAGAATTATGACTTTTCCAATGACTTGCTCACAAGGGAGCCAGGAAACACCAAGGGTTGTCAACTGACCAAAGCAAACCCCTGGCTGGCCTGCTCCTACCCTACGCCTATTAACAGCAGCTTGGTCTGCAAACACTGGCGAAGCTTTTCACAGCACGGAGCATGAAAACCTGTAAATACTCACAGGTAATAGAAACACGGGACGCGGGTGGCGCTGTGGTCTAAACCACTGAGCCTAGGGCTTGCCGATCACAAGGTTGGCAGTTCGAATCCCCGCGCCGGGGTGAGCTCCCGTTGCTCGGTCCCTGCTCCTGCCAACCTAGCAGTTCGAAAGCATGTCAAAGTGCAAGTAGATAAATAGGTACTGCTCCGGTGGGAAGGTAAACAGTGTTTCCGTGCGCTGCTCTGGTTCGCCAGAAGCGGCTTAGTCAGGCTGGCCACATGACCCGGAAGCTGTACGCCGGCTCCCTCGGCCAGTAAAGCAAGATGAGCGCCGCAACCCCAGAGTCAGCCACGACTGGATCTAATGGTCAGGGGTCCCTTTACCTTTACCTTTAACAGAAACACAGGTAGCTGCTTCACATTGGGTCAGATTATTTGCCTACTCCCAACAGGTAGTGATTCCTTCATCATAAGAACTCAGGGTGGTTCACAGAATAAAATGCAAGATAAAACACAGGTAAATAATTAAATCGAAACAACAGAACAATAACCCCTCCCTTCCCACAGACACATTTTATAGGCTGTAGAATATTAATCAGCCAAAGGCCTGGTTGAATAGGAACTTTTTGGCCTGGCGCCTCAAAATGTATCATGAAGACACCAGGTAAACCTCCCTGGGGAGAGCATTCCACAGACGGGGAGCCACTACAGAGAAGGCCCGTTCTGGTGTTACCGTGCTCCAGACCTCACGTAGAGGAAGCACACGAAGAAGGGCCTCAGATGATGAAGGCAGAGTCCAGGACAGTTTATATGGGGAGAGGCAGTCCTTGCGGTATTGCAGTCCTGAGCCATTTAACGCTTTCCGGATCAAACCCAGCATTCTGAGTTTAGCCCAGAAACTAACTGGCAGCCAGCGCAGTCAGGTCAGGATCGGTGTAATATGCTCAAACCGTCTTGTCCCAGTGAGCAACTTGGCTGCCCAATTCTGCACCAGCAGAAGCTTCTGAACTGTCTTCAGAGGCAGCCCTACGCAATTGAGGCTTGCCCATTGGGGTACTGCCCCACCAACTGCCCTTTGTCTGCAACCAGCCCCTGCCGACCTGCCTTCTTACAACCAAGTGCAGCAGGTGGTCCTGGCTGTCCATTTCCTCCTCCCTTGCAGAACTCAGCAGGGAAGAGGATGGGGGAGAAAGCAAGAATTAGCTGGCTCTCTCTGCCTTCCAGCTCCTTGAGTACCAGCTGCCACTGCTGGAGATGCTCAAAGCTGAAGGAGGGATCTGTGCTCTATCCACTGTGTTTTGGTAGTTTGATGGTCCATTGGGTGGGTGTGTGTTTCAGATGAATATCCGCAGGGTTGGATTTAAGATTGCTGTTTCAGCAGTGAGAGGGTACTCCTGAATCCTGCAAAACAGGGGTGGCTACCCTGTGACCCTTTATATGTTGTTGGACCCTGCTCTGTCTTTCTGAATGGCTCTGCCCTGCTTCTTAGCGGGGCAGAGCATCCTGTTAGAAAGGAGCCACCCCTTTGCTCCATGTCTCTTGGAGGCCTCAGAGAAAGGGAGCCCCAATCTTGGATTTGCTCCTCGGGTACTATGACAACACCCTCGAACAACAGCGCAGATGCCGTGTGCCTGAAAATGGCAAGTTTTATAAGCCAGCCGGTTTTGTTATTGTTTCCCTGGCAGTGCTGCTCAGAGTGCAGGTGGGGGGGTGGGGGTGCTTTCCAGAAAGCACCGGGGGGGGGGGGGAATGCAAGAATGGCAAGACCTGTGCGGCTGCTACCGTGCAGCCAAGTCCCACCAAATGCTGCAGAGATGGGCTCTAAAGCTGTGCTGCTGATCGGGTAGCATCCAAGCAGCCTGCTTGGAGAGAGCAACTGCGTCCCCAAGACTGGGTTCCTTTCACCTTTCTCTCTCGCCAAAGCAAGTGGCGTGTTCTGAAGGACAAGCCAGCTGTTGGTCTGCAGTCAGGATAACTTTATGGGAAGTGGCTTAAATCTCGTCTAAGTTCTCAGGAGGTGAGAAAACGAGGCCAGGTGCTGGTTGGTGAAAGTGGGGCAGAAGAGCCATGGGGCTCTCTGCCTGGCCCTTAGCCACACACACCCCTCACTCCAGGCCACACCCCTCAACAAGTCCCGCACCACACCATCCCCATTGTTTTTGCCTGGCTGTGTCGTCAAACTGATTATGTCTCTTGCTCATCTGCACAGAGGATGCGTTGCTCTCTCTGTGTGTGGACTAAGCTGCAAATAAAACGTTTTAAATGTGTTGTGAAGTGCAATACACATATGTGACACTAGATGGCAATAGTGAGCTATGCCAAACTCAATGTATTTTTCAAAGTTGTTTTTTTTTTAAAAAAATAGTATTTTCACAGCGTTTTTTGTATGTGTGTATCCACCTGTGTGTGTGTAGAAACGAATTTCACCAAAGTAAAATTAACATTCCTTGCTCTGCCAACTTTAGCCTCTGGCTCCGACAACACTGGCATATGGCGCTTGCAAGGTTGCCCAGAAAGAAATGCAGCCCTCAGGCTGAAGTAGATGTGTCTGCCCCCTTGTAGAACCTTAGATCACATGGGAAACATGTCTCTGTGCCCATGAAAATACACCCCCATACCCAAGCAACTGTATGGCCCCTGTAACTGTTCCTTTAAACAGCAGTAGGATAGCAGCAATGTTCAGGCAATCAAGTTAGTTGCAGCAATGAAGAGTGTCACCTCAGCTGATGATTTCTACATATCAAAGCTCTCTTAATAGCTCAGGAGCAGCCTAGGGGTGGATCTACACACAGGGGAAAAGACCCTATAAATCAGTCAGAAATAAATCATTATAACAAAAAAAAAAGCACTATTGAAAATCTCAAATAATTTATTTTTGCTCTCCATCGCCATCTGGTGTTGCATGTTTGTAACACATTCAAAACACTGGTTTTTTAAACTAATGTAGCTGAGTCCTAGGTTGCTGCTTTTTTTCTAGGTTGCTGGAAATCCTACCAGGCCAGTATCTAGAATTGCCAGCATATTTGGGCAGAGGGTGGTGTGTGTGTGGCTGGGGAAACCCAGTCAGATGGTGGGGTATAAATAATAAATTGTTGTTGTTGTTGTGTGTATGAGAGGAGAGAACCAAGCCCAGTTGCCAGAATGTTTTGTGTAAAAGCCAGAACATTGCAATTATTGCCAGTACGTTCTGAACAATGGTGAGAGCTTTTGCATGAAATTTAACTGTAAAATTGGTGGAACTCCTTGCTGCAGGAGGTTTGGCTGTGTCCCCACCCCCCCTGCCACTCTGTATTTTGACACCTCTTTAACAATGTTGCAGACGGGGGGGGGGTTTGGTGGTGGGGGGAGCTATCTGTTGCTTGAGTGGGAAAGCGAGGCTTTCTATTGTGTTAATTTTTCCTCTACTGCTTCATTTTTGTTCCGCTGTAATAATTTTTTATGGTTATTGTTTGGACTGTGTTTTATTAATGATGTGAGTCACCATGAACGCTCCCTTAAGAGCCGAAACGGCTGGATAGAAATAGTTATTTATTTGCTTGTTTGTTTACTTGCAGATCTGAACCTCTGCTCTTTAGTATACACCCAGCGAAAGAGTGCCGGCGATACTAAAAGGATAAAATAATTTAGAATGTGAACGCCAGACTGCAGTAGAAAAATCTCTTTAGGAAAATTGTTTTTAAATTGGGTGTGCATTTGCTGCCTGCAAGTACACCCCAAGTAGGGTGCCTGAGCTCAGCCCGAGAGCACCATTTCACATGCCCGGCTTTGAGGGACTGCAGAGTGCACGGGTTCGGGTTTTCCAGAGACACCCTACAAATGCGGCAGAAGGCAAATCCTTTGTGGGCAGAAAGTCCTGGGTTCAATTTCTTAAACGTCCAGTTAAACATATTGGGGCATCGATGAAAGACTTTGAAGCGTGGTTGCAGCTCCAAGTAGACATAAAGGACTCAGTGTTTCTCAAACTTGGCTCTGTGCTGTTGGACTACAACTCCCATCATCCCTAGCTGGCAGGACCAGTGGTCATGGATGATGGAAGTTGTAGTCCTACAACAGCCGGAGAACCTAGTTTGAGAAACACTGAGCTAGAATCTAGTGAATATGGATAGGTCCTACTGCAGGATGAATGCGCTACACAGGGAAGTTGAGGTAAGGCAGGCATGGGGGACCTTTGATGCCCCCCACATATATTTTTGCCATCAAAACATCCATAATCCTGACCATTTATTTCACAAAGTTTATATACATACTGCATGATTGTAAAAAGAAGCCCTCAAAGCAGTTATGGCTGGGTGAACTGGTCCCAATTGGCCTTGCTGGCTGAGGCTGATGGGAGCAAGAAGTCCAGCAACATAATGGAGAACAACAGGTTCCCCCTCCCTGCGCGCCGTAATGGTTAGAGCAGAGCATTCCAAACTTTTCATGTCGGTGACACATTTTTAGACCCGCACCATTTCGCGATGCAGCAATTTAGTTTTACTAGCAAACCAGAGCTTAAACTAACCCCTTTCCGGTGGGGAGTGCTTGCATGACACACCTACACACTGCAGCTGGCACACTAACGTGTTGCGACACACAGTTTGGAAAGCTCTGGGTTAGAATGTTGGATTGGATGTGGGAGAGCAGGGTTCGAATCCCCACTCAGCCACTGCTCAGTTTACTGGGGTGACCTTGGGCCAACCACCGTCTCTTCGCCTAACCTACTTCACAGGGTTGTTGTGAGGATGAGATGGGGAGGAGGAGAACCATATACGCTGCCTTGAGCTCATTGGAAGAAAAAGGTGGGGTAGAAATGAAATAAAAAATAAAGAAAGGATTCCTGGCAGGCACCTTAAATGCAACAGATGCCTGATTCTTAAATGGGGTTTCTCCCAGAACCAGAGCCTTAGACCCAAGTCCTGCGCCCACATGACTGGACGCTGCTCTGTAGATGAACATTCCTTGCCCACAGAAAGCTAGCCTGCTGATGAGCCTTCATCCTGATATGCTAGCTTTCTGTCTGAGAGGATTTTCAAAAAAAGAGTGGTATGGTGCAGCAGCAGAGCATTCAGCCATACACAGGGCACCCCCAGCTTGTAGCCTAACTGTCCAGAGGCAAGCTTGCCACCCTGTGGAGAATGAGCCCCAAGCCCCTATCCCCTTGACCCCCTCCCCTTCCTCTCCACACAGCCCCGAGCTCCTGCGATGGCCTGTCTCTGTGGCTCGCTCGTTATACTACGTCTCGTGCTGCGCTGACGTCAGTACAAAGCCAGGCCTGTATCCTGGGAGAAATCAGTCCATGGTGACTGGTTGCCATGGAAATGCACCTCGTTGCAAGCTACAAGTCCAGAACCGCTTCGGAAGGAGCCCCTGGCGGTGCCTGCGAGCCGCTGGCGCTGATGCCGCGCCAGGAGGGAGAAGCCGGAAGGGGCAGGTAAGGGTCCTCTAGGAGGGTCACTCTTCCCTTGCAGAAGGACAGGCCAGGATCTGGCTCCAGGAAGGCTTTTATTCCGTGCAGGAGGGACTTGGGGAGAGGGAGGATGGAGGCTGCAAATAAACCTACATGCAGCCATGGGAATAGGATCCAAAGTACAGGGCATCCCCCTTGCTTTTCCCTGCTGCGCATATAGGCACGTGTCGTGGGGACGGACAGCCAATTAAACGTTTCTCATAACAACTTCTGCACACCTTATCAGCCGTCTCCCTGCGCTGCACCTGTTGCCTTGCGCAACCCCTCATCCTGAAGACGTTTCCATGATGTGCTGCTGCTGACCTCCCTGCGGGCTGGGAATGGACCCTGCGTGGGAACTTTGCCCCATTTGTCGTGCGCGAGAAGGCGTTGTGTGCTTGTGCATGTGTGCGCGAGGCCCAGCTTCACAGCTCCACAAAGCCATAATTTATGTAGCGTTTGGGGCTTTGCGTCCTACTTCGTAATTAATTTTTTTGAATAGTTAATGTCGTTCTTGTAGTTTTCACTTATTTATCAGAAGCTACCCAGAGATCTTTATGTGACGGGGCAGGCGAAAAATGCCACAGAAGCTAGGTAAATAATAGATTGTGCCGTTTCCTGGGTAAGGGGTTCTTTTTTAAAGATGTGGTGATGGTACAGATGGATGGTACAGATCTCCTGTCTGCTTCATTTTTATTTTTATTTGATCCAGATTGGGTGTGTGTTCTCCAAATGAAAATCCTCCTTGCAGGGACCGTTTTCCTTGTAGACATGTATGGGAGTTTTTTTCCAAATAGAAGGGGGGACAATTTTCATTTGTAAGATGGCACAGCACGAAAGGGTTTAAATCCCTTTAGGAAGGGCTGCAGGTCAGTGGCAGAAAACCAGTCCCTGGTTCAACCCCCAATATCTTCAGGTACGGCTAGGAGTGTCCCCTGTCTGGAATCCTGGTGAGCCACTGCCTGTCAGTGTATACTGGATCTAGACACATCAAAGAAGCATTTCACTTAAAGGCATTGCAAACTTTGTATGAGAAATCGGGTTAGCCAAAACGGAACTCCACATCACCATCTGGTGTCACAGTGTTAGAATGCATAAACAACGCATATAAAGCGTTCTTTTATTTGCCAGTGTAGCTGAGTCCCACCAGATGTTGCTGAACTACAACTCCCACTGTCCCTGGCCACTGGTCACACTTGCAGGGGCTGATGGGAGATGTAGTCCAGCAAAAGCTGGAGGAGCATACTCTGTGTAGACAATATTGAACTAGATGGACCAAAGTTATGACTTGGCCACTGTGAGAACAGGATGCTGACCCAGGTGGGTCATTGGCCTGACCCAACAGGCTCTTCTTCTGCTCTCATGGTATAAGGCATGGGTAGGCAAACTCAGGCCCGGGGGCCGGATCCGGCCCAATCGCCTTCTAAATCCAGCCCGCGGTCCGGGAATCAGTGTGTTTTTACATGAGTAGAATGTGTGCTTTTATTTAAAATGCATATCTGGGTAATTTGTGGGGCATAGGAATTCATTTATTATTATTTTTTCAAAATAACCCCCACAAGGTTATTCATTATTATTTTTTCAAAATAACCCCCACAAGGTCTGAGGGACAGTGGACCGGCCCCCTGCTGAAAAAGTTTGCTGACCCCTGGTATAAGGAAACTTCCTAGGTTGCTTTCCCCAGCATTCCTGATCTGGATCAACTCTCCCTCTGGCTGCAAAGTTTAATCAGACCTGAAAGCTTTTTATTTATGCATCACAGTTCTCATGTCTAGCTTGTCTCTTACGTTCAAGCACACGGCTGTTGGTTAGAGGAGGAGAACCATCAAGCATTTTGTATGTTGAAAACTGGGAGGAAATGAATAGTAAGAAATTGTAAGTCAGTTTGTGAGCACTTAGAAAAGGATGCTGCGATTACTAAAACCCAACATGGGTTTCTGAAAAACAAGTCATGCCAGATAAATCTCGTTTCTTTTCTTGATAGAGTTACAAGCTTGGTGGATCAGGGGAACGCTGTGGACGTAGTGTATCTCTATTTCAGTAAGGCTTTTGACAAAGCCCCCTCCCCATGATATTCTTGTGGAAGAGCTGGTAAAATGTCGAGTGGACGAGGTAGCTGTTAAGCGGGTTTGTAGTGGATTGACTGACCGAATGCAAAGAGTGCTCACTCACAGTTCCTCATAATCCTGGGGGAAAGTGACAAGAGGGGTGGCTGCAGGGTTCTTCCCTGGCACCGTTGTTGTTCCTCATCTTTATAAGCAACTTGGATGAAGGAATTCAGGGGATGCTCATGAAATTTGCAGATGACACCAAATTGGGAAGGGTAGCTAATGCCGCAGAAGGCAGCTGTCTGTAGCGTTTGCACCCTATTCTGTTCTTTTGCTACAGATTATTAAGGCACTCTTGTCTTATGGGTTTGAGCTGACCCAAACCTTGGTTCCACAAGTTTCAACCCCTGAGCTGTTCTTCCCAGACAGAGGGTGGGCACCATCTCGTTCCACACAAGAGAGAGATGCACGGCTTAGCTTCATTTTTGCTAAGCCTTCTCTGCACCGCTGCAGACGCTTCTTCCAGGGCCCGTGTGTCAAGATACTTTAATGACTGAAGCATTACCCATTATTGTGCTTTCTGTTTTCCCTTCCATCATCCTCAATCGTTCTGCCACACACACAGAGAGAGTAGGTGTCTTGTTTCCGTTGCGGTCCCTGATAAAAATCATCACAGTGCCTTGTGCATTATACCCAGCTGCCTCTCCACCCCAGGGACTGGCAGCTTGGCAGGTACAAACACGGAGCACCTCGGCTCCTTTCTGCACATCACTTTCTGCACATCAAGCCACTTTCTGCACATCAAGCTGAGCAGCCACCCACTCCATCTTCTTGGGCTGCTTTGAAACAGCAGGGTGCTTATACGCAGGAAGGGATCCATCCCCAGTTCAGTTCTGTGAACATCATGCTGTAATTTATCCTTCCCTCTCCTCTCCTCTCCTCTCCTCTCCTGGCCCTCCTTCTGTTGTCCTCTCTATTGTCAAAATTTAAATCGTAATCTACCCGGGGTCAGGGACCTGTCATTATTTTTTTTTTTAAACTTATGCAACTCTCCAAAGAGACATGTACAGTGATATTATTAAGTTGTGGCAGTGTGGAGTGTTGTTCTCTTGACATCTTCAGCCACTCCATTCCATTCCCCCTTGTCACTGATTTTCCATTCTCTCACACACCACCCCTCACAGTCAGGAAGAATTCTGTGCCCTCTGAGCATGCTTAGTCCTAAATGGACTGTTAAGGATCCCCCCTTCCCCTATTTTGGGGTTGGGTGTGAAAGTGTGGGATGGACACACTGGTGGTGCTGACTCCCATCTACATGAAAATCTTGGATTTTGCCACCGATTGTTACGGACAGTTCTTGCATCGGTCCCTGGAGTAATTTTTTGGGCAGAGGGCAGTCCAGACTCAGAGGCAGGAGAGGAAAGGGGCCAGCTGACACAGATGAGGCAGCCTGCTGAAGAATCCAGGGGATCCCCCTCTCCTGCTGTGACCAGCTCCCCTCTCCCCTGGTCTCCCACAACACACAGAGAAATGAAGAGGGCAGAGCAAGGAGAGACAAGATGATAGAGCCTTAGGCTGCTGGGGAAGGAACCGAGGGAGGAGACTTAGGCAGCACTGGGAAGTCAGGGACCTTCAGTCCTATCAATGGCTTCATTGGGGCCAGACCAACTGGGAGGAGCTGCTGTGACCACTAGGCATGCTTGTGTGCAAGTGTCATTTGCAGCCTGCTGCTGCTGCAACTCATGCATTCTTTACCCGCTGTTGCAAATCATTCATGCAAATGGATCCTTATGTGAGCCTCTTCGAAATCAAGAAGGCGCAAAGGGTCTCATCGTGATCAGGGAGCCAAACCCTGGGTAGATCCAGGCTTCTCTAACTGGGTTGCATAAACCAACAGTGTCAACAAGGGATTTTGCACACTGCGGTGAAATATATGATCAATAGGTGGATAATCATTAATGGGAAGTTGACACATGTGATGAAAAATGTTTTGAACATTGCCCAGGCAATATGCATTGCCCTCAAGCAGAGAATATGCACAGGGACTAATCAGTCTGCACACAGCCAGATTGAGACTCTCCATTTGTGCACATTGCTCTCTGGGGTCACTTGTCCATGGATTAAATGGGCAGTGGGTTAAGTCTCCTGACCGTGCTCTGAGCGCATCCCCATTCTCCCCTCTTGCATGTGAAGGTGTGCTGGTGTCTATTTACCTTTTCCACTCAGCTAAACCATTAAGCCTCTTGGGCTTGCCGATCGGAAGGCTGGCGGTTCGAATCCCTGTGACGGGATGAGCTCCCTTTGCTCTATCCCAGCTTCTGCCAACCTAGCATTTCAAAAGCATACCAGTGCAAGTAGATAAATAGGTACCGCTGTGGCGGGAAGGTTACCTTTACCTTTGCCTAACCATAATACATATTTTTGCTGGCTGGTCAACTTTTGTTAAACTGATCCATGATAAACTTTCAGCGAGTGTGCCTGGAATTAACAGAAGAAACTCAAAGATCCTTAATCACTAGCGAAATCTTTTTCCTGATCGCCTTCAGAAGGGGTCACCCTTTGGAGCAGAGGTTCCCAGAGTGGGTGGTACTGTCCCCTGGTGGGTGGTGAGATTGTCTAGAGGGTGCTAAGAGGCAAGGGAGCAGCAGGGGGCCAATAAGGGTTTGGATGACTATTGAAATTTGAGAAGCTGCTAACTTTGGATCAAGTTCATCAGTTTACTTGAACTTATTAAACTAAATAGTTAGCAGTGCAATTGAGTAAGAACAGTAAAGAGCTGTTTAACAGTGGAATGGTCTCCCTCAGGAAGTTGTGGACGTGGACTCTCCGTCCTTGGAGAGGTTTTTTAATGTATTTTTAAAAAAGATTTTCTTGATTTACAAAGGTATGTGCAATGTCTCTCGTATTTTTTGCTCCATGTAACTTTTTTTAAAAAATCGGTTTCATTTGTTGAGACATTAGGAAGAATAGGGGGAAAGAGGTGGAGGGGGGCGAAAGATGAGTAGGGGTGGGGTCGGGTGGTGATGTTTCTGATTTACTTAATATATGTGGGGTTTTGTGTCAGCGTTGCTTGTGCAGGTTCTCTGCTGTTCACTTGTGTTCCTTTGGTGGTGAGAGAGGTTGGGGTTGGCCTAGGGTGTGGTTGTTCATTTGTGGTTGGCTGTGGTGGTCTTTGTTTTCGTGTCTGAGTGGGGTGGGTGGGTGTTTTGGATCAGGTTAGCCATATTGATTTGTATGCTATTGGTGGATTCTTGTTGTTGTCTTGTTGGGCTGTGTATGTTATAAAGTGGAGATGTTTCAGTTGGACTAAATGACCCTCAGGGACCCCTTCCAATTCTAGGATTCTAATTCCCATCAGCCGCAGCCAGTATGGCAAATGATCAGGGAAGATGGGAGATAATAATAATAAATAAATAATATTTTTTATTTATACCCCGCCCTCCCCAGCCAGAGCCAGGCTCAGGGCGGCTAACACCAATAAAATGACAATAAAACATAAGGGAGGGGGGGCAAACCAACAAAAAACCCAGTTTATTAAAATATGGGTTAAAACACAATTTAAAATGCAGCCTCATTTTAATAGTAGCCCATAAATCAAAACCATAAGGGTGAGGGAAACATAAGGGTCAGACTGAGTCCAAACCAAAGGCCAGGTGGAACAGCTCTGTCTTGCAGGCCCTGCGGAAAGATGTCAAGTCCCGTAGGGCCCTAGTCTCTTGTGACAGAGCGTTCCACCAAGTCGGGGCCAGTACTGAAAAGGCCCTGGACCTAGTTGAGACCAATCTACACCTTGCAGCTTGGGACCTCCAAAGTGTTGTTATTTGTGGACCTTAAGGTCCTTCGCGGGGCATACCAGGAGAGGCGGTCCCGTAGTTCAGAACATCCAGAGAGCAGCATTTAGGCTATCCTTGGTCTAAGCTGGAGTTAGCTGAAACTGGGTGGGCAGCCTTGTGGAGGGGCTGCAACAGCTGTTCCCTGGAGATCTGTTGAGTGTAGGAGCCCGTTCGCTTCCAGTAAGCTGCGCTTGTACATCTGTATATTGATATTACAAAAACAGCTTAAGTCTCACAGGGCTCTTCTGATCTAAATGAAATGAAATCCTGTTAACCCTGCCACTGTGGATTGTCTCAGGGAAGTGAAGTGGGCGCAGAACTATATATTCAGATTTATGTATTTTAAACAGGGTTACGACCTTTAAGCAGTTTAATTAATAGATTAATCAATTAAAGCTTCAATTGGTGAATTAATCAAGGCTCTGCTTTGCTTAGCAAAGGCAAATTTTAATCAATGGGGCCAAGGGTTCACAACATGTTTATTTATTTCTCCTTGTGCTATTCTGGTGCGCCCCTGTAGGAAGTATGGGCGAGGTTTCGGTCCTTAATCTGTTGATCAATCAGCTAAAGTGATTAATCAGCATCTTTCTTTTGTAATTGGTTGGTCCACTTGGTATTGATTGTGGCTCATAAATACAATTAACAGCTGACCCAAATAAACAAAACCAGGACCAGGTCAAGTTTTGATTTGGGGACTTTTTCTTTGGGGCTGTTGCTGAACCAACATTTCTTTTTAAAAAACCCCCAAAGATGTACACTTTAGGCAAACAGGAAACTTTTGCACTGGACTGCAACCCTACTTCCTGGTACCCTGGATGCATGTGGTGCTGTGGTCTAAACCACTGAGCCTATTGGTTTGGCGATTCAAATCCCAGTGACGGGGTGAGCTCCTGTTGCTCTGTCCCAACTTCTGCCAACCTAGTAATTCAAAAAGCACACCAGTGCAAGTAGATAAATAGGTGCTGTGGTAGCGGGAAGGTAAATGGCGTTTCCATGCGCTGTGGCTTCCATCATGGTGTTCTGTTGCACCAGATGCGGTTTAGTCCTGCTGGCCACATGACAAACGCCAGCTTCTTCGGCCTGGAAGCAAGATGAGCACCACAACCCCATAGTCACCTTTGACTAAACTTAACCGTCCAGGGGTCCTTTACTCTTTTTTTTTTAAGCCACCCCACCCCCCAGAGTATTCTGGCTCCACCCCCAAGGTCCACCCAGCTACCAGAATTTTTTATTTCCGGAGTTGTTGGTGAGGCTTAGTCCAGTGGTTCTCAAACTACCCCTCTCTGCAGACCATTCTGAAATTGCTAGTGGTCTTGCCAGGCCACTTAATGGTTTTTCTGCCTGCCATTGATTTTTCTGCAAATTGCAATGCACTGAGCTAGATGCTGCATGATATTTAACTGTATTTTTATTGCTGCTTTTATTTTTTACGCATTGCATTTTATTGTATAACAGTTTGAATTCCGTAAAATGTCCTCCTTCAGCTCTATGGAAAAACGAACCATGCTATACACAGACGCACAGGGAGGGTCACACACCCACATACCCTACAACTAGACATCTGTCTGAGCCCTCTTTGAGGCAACCTCTGACCTCACTGTCCTTTTCTCTTGAAGGTAAATGTTGAAGACACTGTCGAAATGTTACCCAAGTCCCGGCGAGCGCTCACCATCCAAGAAATCGCGGCCCTCGCCCGGTCCTCATTGCACGGTAAGCGGCTAAGAATGGAGTTTGATGAGAGTGTCTCCATTTCTGGGGGAAACATCAACACTGGGCCTCATTTCAGTCACTGTACGCTCTGTATTTCTTTCCCAGTGGAAGCTCAAAGCAACTAGCAGCATCCAAGCAACAATAAGGCAAGAGTAAAACTCACTGAATCACTACTGGCTCAACTTTCCTACTTGATGGGCTGCTTCCAGGTGTCTTGTTTATTGAGCACCCATCCTGATTTACTTACAGGGAGATTACACAACTAAGCAAGCGCAATCCAATGCTTTAAAGAGTATTTCCCTGTCACTTTCCTTAATGCAAAAAGACTATTTTTTGGGGGGAGTGGATTTTTAGCTCAAGCTGCACAAAACTGAATTTGACGGCATGTGATTGAATCCTACTTGAAAATAGAGACATACTGTGGATACACACCGTACATTTAAAGGACATTTCATTCCCAGAGAATCCTGGAAACTGTAGTGTACATTCCCAGCACCCTTAACAGATTAGTGTTCTTGGGGCGGGGCGGAGATGTGCTTTAAATATATGTTGTGTACACTGCCAAAGTCTCAGTTGCAATCATTAGGGGTGCTGGAGGGAATTTGCTTCCCCCTGTTCCCTTTCACCGCTTTCAAGAATTGGACAGCCAGTACAACCTTGAATTAAGACTGTCTTCTGGCTTGTGAGTAAGAAAGTCCCAGCCCTTTGGCTTTCAAATACAGTGGTACCTTGGTTCTCAAACTTAATCTGTTCCAGAAGTCTGTTCCGAAACCAAAGCGTTCCAAAACCAAGGCGTGCTTTCCCATAGAAAGTAATGCAAAATGGATTCATCCATTCCAGACTTTAAAAAACAACCTCTAAAACAGCAATTTAACATGAATTTTCCTCTCTAACGAGTCCATTGATCCATAAAATGAAAGCAATAATCAATGTACTGTACTATAAAATAAATAAGACAGTATTGTAGATGATAAAAATAAAAATTAATTTTTTTACTTACCTGCACTGGTGTTAGTCATTGTTTGGATGAGGAGCTTTTATCTATTTCCGCAGTCACACAACCAACCAACCAACCAACCAACCAGTAGCTGAACTGGGTTCCACACATTCACAAAAACAAATTAACTGAAAAAGCCTCAAAAACAAAAATGCAAAATAAATAGCAAAAACTAAAGCGTCGAACTTAATCCTTGTCAGAAGCTCATTTGACTTCCGAAATGTTCAAAAACCAAGGGGCAGCTTCTGATTGGTGCAGGCACCCCAGAAACAATAGCCGACAGCCACATCGGATGGTCAGCTTCCAAAAAAATGTTCGAAAACCAGAACACTTACTTCCGGGTTTTCGGCATTTGGGACCCAAGGGGTTTGAGAAGCAAGGTGCCACTGTAATAAAATACGTTGCCTGCTTTTGATCTGCCTCCCCACAGCAGCCCAAGCTGAAATGAGAGGAGGATTAGCATGAAGGAGTGCGCTGGGGTCTCCTCCAGCATGGCTCCCTTGGGTTATTTTAGAAGTTAACGTGGGCAGAAGCCCTATGCAATAATTAGAATGAAAAGCTCCCTTATCTCACCATAGTAATATGCAGATTAGATCCAAAATTAAATCTGTACTGGATTGCGGGGAACGTTGCCAATATAATTGCCGGCCTCCGTGGTGAAATGTACATTGTAGTTGCAACTCCTTGGCTGTACACCCCTCCTTGAAATGACTCTGTGCCACAATTTGTCTTGAAAAGAGACTTCTGTGGGCTAAAGAAAGTTTATTTCAAGCCAAGTTTCGGCAGGGGGGTGGGACTCCAAGTGTGCCATGGAAGGCCTCTGCAGACAGACACACGTCAAGAGACCCATGAGATAAGGAGTGAGATTCTTCCACTCCTCCCACCCTGCTCTCCTGCAGGTACTTCCTCAAGGCAGGAGGAGTTCTCTGTTTGTCTCCCTTGTCTATTGGATGATCATATATCTTACCTTACATGGTACAGTCCTCAATTTGACGGGCAAAAAGAAAGAATGCTAAGGAGCGAGACTTCCTGAGCATGCAAACAGCTCACATGGTCACCTTCTTCCCCACGATGGTGAGTTGCATTGCATTTCTGTTTAAATCAATGTCACAAACCTATACAAATCTACATTCTATTTTATTTGGTAATGCATTTCCTCTTTTGTTTTGCAATAACCTACTTGTCAATGGTCCTATGTCAAGCAAGGCCACAAACACATGGGCCACCATCAATTTGTTACCCTTAAGGTTGCCGCAGGAGATTTTTCCTTGTTTTTGCGGCAACACATTCAAAATGGCTGCCTTCCTAGCTCCCTTCATTTTTCTGGAGTCTGCTTTTGGCTGTGTGATTTCCCCTGGCAGTTATTTTCCTGCCTTGAAGACAGCCCAGAGGCACATTGGCACTTTAATGATATTGTCATTGTTTTTACTAAGAATGCAAATTTTCTTAAAATTGTACCACCCATCTTCTGACCCCCCAGGAAACCCTTTCTGCATAGATTGGTTTGCCATGGATGGATTCATCTGCCAAGACTCCAGAGTCCCTGTACCTTCTTCTTCTTCTTTTTAGCATTCTGGAACATGGTCTAATTTCAGTTAATACTGAATAACTAGTTAATACTGGAGGATAAACAGAGGTGTTAGGCCTACCTGTTTGCCCCCCCCCCCCATTTGAGAGGCCTCCTACAATGCGCCCATACTCTCCCATGTGCGAACATTGCAGTGGAACATCTGTAATGGCCTTTTGGGCATCTTGCCCACCATTATTGAGCTTCTGGGCTCTTGATAGGCTTCCGAGAAAACCTAGGATTTCATAGAACACAGTTTGAAAAACACCAAATCAAATCATTCCAAACACATTAGGCCAGCATTTCTCAAAGCGCTTTCCTAGGGGCTGTGCAGACCACTTAATAAACATCTTCTCTTCAATGGTGACAGCAACCTCAAAACCAGGGCTGCTTTATGAAAACTGTGGGCCTTGAGTTTCGGAGATAGGCCTCTAACTAGTAGAGTTTATGGAAAAATTAGTACACTCCACAAGTATCCTATTATGAATATCACAGGCCCTATGCCCAGGACCTTAGTGGTGTATTTGGGCAAAATAGTCAGAATCTTCATTGTCAGTGAAGAAAAAAACCCAAATCCAGGGCCATTTATCAATCTTATCAGGTGTTCTGCAGACCCCTTGAACATAGCTGTCAACCTTCCCTTTTTTTGCGGGAAATTCCATTATTCCCGCTGCTTTCCACTGCTATCCCAGATTGTTAGATATCCCATAGGCTGTCCCTGGGACAGGTGAGGCTGGTGATCCCTTATTTTCAAATCTGAAAGTTGACAGCTATGCCCTTGAAACACCTGAGGACCACCAGTGGTCTGTGGATCAGTTTGAGAACCTCTGAATTTACAACCCAACTTCCATCCAAGGAGCTCAAGGTGGCATTGATGTTCGCAACTGTGTGTCTCAAGAGACAATGGAGTGCGCCTCCTAAAGTGAAGTCAAGCCACTGCATTAGCAGCAGTGAAGTGACCTCCCCAGGCCACAAGCCTGACCAGTGTGTATGGAGGTCCTGGGCTGCCCAGATGACAAGACTCCCCTCTCATCCTCACTGATGTGGTCCAAAGGAAAGCAGAGCAAGATGTTTGGCACCAGCTTGGCTACAGGAGTTGCTGGAAGGAAGCATACAAGGCTCCACACAGCCATCTTAGGGACTCCACTTCAAATTTGTGTGATTCAAATTTACTTCTCCCGAAGATATTCCACAAGGCAGTGGATGCTTAGGGTCAGAGTTTTCCTTCTCCTAGATGGGCTACCTTCCCAGATTGACAAGCCCCACCTGCCCCTCACTTCCCTCTACAGCATGTACAGAAACTGCCTTCTTGACCATAGCTGTCTTTACTCGGGGGGGTGCAAGGGGTGCGGGGCACCCGGGCGCAGAATTCTGGGGGGGCCCAGGTGCCTGCCGCTGAAGCCGCTGAAGCTCTTAACTATCTACCTGTTATGAAATACTAAATAATTCTGATCAAGCTAGAAAAACAAAATACATATATACCTAGGTATTACCGAAATGTATACCTACTGTTTCACTAAAGGGCTTTCGACTTTGTGCACTCATTTGCCAAAGACGCACTGCACCAGCTGTGCTTGACTCAGTGATGACACTTGTCATTCTCAGCGGTGCTGTGCATGCAAAATTAACTCTTACATCATAATAAAAGTTAATTTGGGGGCATTGTATGGAACTTTGCACCCCTGTGGCGCATATGCTAAAGACTGCGCTATTCATGACTGTTGGACCCACTATTGATCACTGCTTGTTTTATTCTCACAACACCCCTGTAAGGTTGGTTAGGCTGAGAGGTGGTGTCTGGCCTCCTTGGCTAAGTGTGGATTTGAACCCTGTTCTCCCAGAGTCCTAGTCTGGCACTATAACCATTATACCACGCTGGCTGTACCACTCTCAGAACTGAAAAGGACAGGCCAATTCCCAGTCACATAAGGGCACCCAAGTTAGTTCTGAACGTTATGGGACCCCTTACAAATGTTGCTGAGAGTTTCAGCTCTGCATAGCTTGATTTCTCTGTTTTTTACGTCAATCAACCAAGGGCAAGTTGTGTGACAAAGAGCCGGTGAATTGTCAGTGAGCGGAGTTCTCATGTTACATTATCCCGCCGATCATTATGTCTCAATGGATGTGCGAAGCTGCTATAATCAGTTATTGCAGATCACTGCCTCTTAAATACGCCCAAGATAATTATCCGGCAACGGAGAAGGCAAGCCAGGGAGGTGATACGCCAACTGTAGCTCGTCTGTCACCTATTACATGATAGCTGTCACTGGAACTGAATGTGTGACATCCCAAGTGGCAAACACTTTCAGAAGGGATGCGCATAGGCTATAAATTCCAAAGCATAGCTCAAAGTCAGATTTTCATGGCTTGGATTTGCCAAGCAAGGGGGCTGTAATCCTTCTCAGGCTGAATTGTGCAGCTCTGAGAGAGGCTTGGGATACATGTGCAGCAGAATGAAGTGATCAGGGAGGAGGCTGAGCTGTTCCCCTTCAGACTGCATGGCCTGGACCAGCTTTTCCCTCCAGGTGTTTGGGTCTACAAAATAGTCCGCCGTCAGAGGCAGCATGCCTCTGAATACCAGCAGCTAGAAACTGCAGGAGGCAGAACGGCACTTGTGCTAAGACCCTTCATGAAGGATTCCCACAGGGATCTGCTTGGTCACTGTTAGAACAGGATGCTGGACTACATGGGCCCCTGGCTCTCCGCAAGTTCCTATGCACAACTCCCATCAAGCCCAGCCAGCACGCTGCTGGGAGTTGGTGCCTTCTTAATTTTATCCAGGTGGATAGCTCAGCTGGTTAGAGTGTGGTGTTGATAACACCAGAGGTTGCAGGTTTGATCCTGGTACGGGACAGCTTCATTTTCCTGCATTGCAGGGGGTCAGAGCAGATGAACCTTGGGGTCCCTTTCAACTCTACAATCCGTGATTCTATCATCTGCAGAGCACCAGTCTGGTGAAGGCTGATGTGGATGATTGCATTTTTTAAAAAAGTTCCATTATATTGAAAAGCAAAGACACACAACTTATAAAATTACAGTCATACCTCATGTTACATTTGCTTCAGGTTGCGCGTTTTCAGGTTGTGTCCCACGGTGACCCAGAAGTACTGGAAAGGGTTACTTCTGGATTTCGCAGCTTGCGCATGCGCAGACATGCAAAATGACATCATGTGCATGCGCAGAAGCAGCTAATCGTGACCCGTGCGTGCACAGACATGGGTTGCGTTCTTTTCAGGTTGCGAACGGGCCTTCGGAACAGATCCCGTTTGCAACCAGAGGTACCACTGTATTTAATAATAACAATCCCTGAACTCTTCCCAGCTGCTTCTGCTGTTCCTAAAGTCATGGTTTGGGAAAGGCACCTAGGGCTGGAGGGTGGGGCAAGGCAAGTGGAAAAAGCCATTGCCTGATGGACAGCAGAAAGTCTCTCTTTCACAACCACCCACCCACCCCAATGTGGGTTTCCTGCTGAAGGCCATCGCTGCATGTTTTGGGCAGTAGGGGATAGTCGGGATGATTTAACATGTGACGGAGCATGACATCTAGTTGGCTCTTTTTATAAGGATGCCCTTTCAGCCGTTCCTTATCAGGTGCCTCTTCAGTCACGGAGTCTGGCTTCCACCCAAGGAGTGTGTGTCACGGTGTGTGCCAGCATCTCCATTTGCAGAATGGAGAGTTTCACCGCAAAGTGCAACCACAGATCATCTCAGCAGCTCCGGGGCATCCCCTCTAACCCTGCTTGCTCCATTGCAGGTATTTCACAGGTGGTGAAGGATCATGTGACCAAGCCCACGGCCATGGCTCAAGGCAGGGTGGCCCACCTCATCGAGTGGAAGGGCTGGTGCAAGCCCATGGACTCGCCGGTGGCTCTGGAAAGCACGTTCAACTCCTATTCGGACCTCAGCGAAGGAGAGCAGGAGGCCAGGTTTGCTGCAGGTAGGAACCATCTGGGAGAGAGGGGAAAGTAGGCGGCGAGGGGTGTGGTGTCAGATTGGGGATTTATCTGCTGTACGGACACAGAAATAATGTGCCTTTGTACCCTGAGGCTGCAAGGCAGGGAACACTCATAAAGAGAGCCTGCTGGATCAGGCCAATGGCCCGTCTTGTGCAGCATCTTGTTCTGACCGTGGTCAACCAGAGGCCCATGGGAATTGCAAGTAGGACTTGCAACCTATCCTGTACTGTGCAGAGGAGGGTGACCAAGACAATCAAGGGTCTGGAAACCAAGCCTGATGAGGAACGGTTGAGGGAGTTGGGTATGTTTAGCCTGGAAAAGACAAGAGTGAGAGGAGATAGGATAGCCACCTTCAGATATCTCAAGGGCTGTCATATGGAGGATGGAGCAAGATTGTTTTCTCCTGCTCCAGAAGGTAGGACCTGAACCAATGGCTTCCAGTTACAAGAAAGGAGATTCCAACTTAACTTTCTGACAGTAAGAGCTGCTCAACAGTGGAATGGACTCCCTCGGAAGGTTGTGGACTCCCCTTTGTTTTTTAAGCAGAGGATGGATAGCCATCTGTCAGAGCTGTGATCCTTGCATTGCAGTGGGTTGGGCCAGATGACCCTCAGGGTCCCTTCCAATTAAACAATTCTGTGGTACTACATGTGGTGTCAGGGGGAGGCCAGGCAGAGATATGACTTCCAATGCACAATCTGGAGCCTTAAAGTGCACTTCTGATTGTGCCTTGCGAGGGAGGCCTGCCATCATCAACTGTCAGTTGATTGGCACTCACTTCAGCCCACTGGGATGGGCTGATTTGGAGTACAGTGGACACTTGGGTTGCGAACGTGATCTGTGCGAGATGCCCATTCGCAACCTGCAGCGTTCGCAACCTGCAGCGTCGCGTCTGCACACGCACAGGCTGCACATGCACAATCACCGAATCCCGGAAGTAACCTGTTCTGGTACTTCTGGGTTTTGGCAGTCCGTAACCCAAAGAAACACAACCTGAAGTGTCTGTAACCCGAGGTATGACTGTACTCCGTAGCCAGCCAATCCCAGCAGAAAGCAGAGCTTGAACTTTGCACCTGTCAGCTGGTCAACACTAACTCCAAGCCCAACTTGACTGGACTTGGCTCTTCCTTTGTGGCCCAGCTTGCCGTTCACCAAAGAAAAAATGGGTCCCCTGATGACATGGTGACCTCAGGTCAAAATGGCTTTGCTGGGGGAAGGGCAGGATCTCGCCCACTGGCTGGATCCAGTCCCCACCCCCGGTACATAGGATTATGATGAGCAGGTAATCACAAGGGGGTAAGGGGTGAGAGTGGAGAAAGGCCAGTGTAAGCTTGCTTCTACAAGTCCTTCTCCGCCCAACCTAAATGCCAGTTTGTACACTGCGGACTGGAGATTTTCCTGCTTCTCTGTTGGCCAAACCCCAGAAGCCATGGACACGGCACAATCAAAATGTCTGCCTACTTTGGAGAGAAATACATAACACCACATTTTGGCACCAGGCAAAGCTGCTGACTGTGCACCAAAACCCCGCCTCCGTCCGCTCAGAACCCTCAATTCAGTCCTCTGTTTCCCAGATCATTTTCAAAGCAATTTCTCCATGCATGCATACGGATATTTCTGCTAGCCTCTCTCAGAGAGCAAAGGTTTTAAAAGTGGGTTGGTGGCGCTACAGGGAGGGGTGCCTCAGGGCCGGCATTCGACAAGCTGTGCTGGCCCTAGGTGCGACAGCTGCTGTGCCATCCCAGCTGCCCCCTTGATGCCACCTCCTGTGCCAGCAGCGGAGGCTGGCTGTGTCCTTGTAGGAGCTCAGCCGAATGCAAGGCCAGGAGCTGAGTCACCCAAAGGATCCGGAAACCAGGGGGAAAGAGCCGGCGAGAGGGAACGATTAGCTCCCTCTCACCCGCTGCCCCTCTCCATTCACCCTGAGAGCTCTGCCCTTCGAGGGCCTGGCAAAGCAGAGTAATCATCCCAAACAACAGAGCGGTCGTCTTCCTGCCCGCAAAGTCCCGACTTTGGGAACAAAAGGACTGTCACATGACATGACTGTCACCCAAGCGCCTGGCCTGCCTTCGGGGCTGAGCTGTTCACTTTCTGACAGCCAGGGAGAGACAGGCGTGGGGTAGGATAAACAGTGACAGATAAGATTGCTGCCAGAGCAACTCAGCTCCTGCCTTTGAAAGAGCTCGTGTTTTCTAGAGGAGGGTTGACCACAGAACCACCCCTGGGGAAGCTCTTCTCCCTGAATTTGCTCGTCCTTTTGGGAGGCTGCCAGCATGGGCATAATTACCCCTTTGCCATAAGGGTATTTATCTCCCTCTGAAGATGGAGGAAACAGCCATGTCGCGAACCTCAGTGTCATCCGGCGAACTCCAATGCACCCTGGAACCAAGGAGGGGTTGCAGGATAGTGCTGGAGGAAGAATCAAGGCTGCTGACGAGTCAAGGCTGCTGCTGCTGACGAGTCAAGGAAGCATCTTCTAAGGTGAAACGGTCCTCGCAATCTATAGTAAAAAGCCATAGGTCAGGAATAGCTCGCAGAGAACATTTTCGCTAATGTACCACTTTTCCTGGGTCACGTCAAGCCAAGGGCATCATGTCAGGCCCAGGTCATGTCGGTATTCCAATGGGCCTATGAGGAGTGATGCCAACTCAGACCCATATCACTTCAATTGGATTTGAGCTGGCCAGCTTACAGAGAGGCATGGTGAAACAAACTGGGATGCTCAAAGTTAGTTAGACCCTGGGATTTGCTGCGATTTATTCTTAGAATCATAGAAGGGACCCCAGGGGTCATGTAGTCCAGAATCTCTACTAAAGCATCCATGACAGATGGCCATCCAACCTCTGCTTTAAAATCTCCAAGGAAGGAGAGCCCACCACCACTGTCGAACAGCTTTTGCTGTCAGAAAGTTCTTCCAGATGTTGAGTCGGAATCTCCTTTCTTGTAACTTGAAGCCATTGGTTCTGGTCCTACCCTCCAGAGAAGGAGAACACAAGCTTGCTCCATCTTCCATGCTACAGCCCTTGAGTTATTTGAAGATAGCTATCCTGTCTCCGTTCTTTCCTTGGAACTCATGCTATCTGGCCTTGTGCTGTGCCTTTGTCATTGACAGTGGAAGAGCCCTGTTGGATGAGACCCAAAGCTCATCTAGTCCAATATTCAGTTTCCCACTGTGGCCATCCAAATGCCTCCTGGAAAGACCACAAACAAGAGATGAAGACACTAGCGCTCTCCACCACCCTGGTGTTCAGAATCATGTGCCTCTGATCCTGGTGGTGTTGTGACTAGTGGCCACTGATAGACATCTTCTACCACATGCATCTAGTTCAGGGATTCCTGAACTTGGGTCTCCAGCTGCTATTGGACTACAACTCCCATTATTTCCAGCTAGCAGGACCAGTGGTCGGAGAGGATGGGAGTTGTAGTCCAAAAACAGCTGGAGATCCATGTTTTGGAAATCCTGATCTAATTAATACTACCAGGGAGCCAAGGTGGCCAGTGTTCCTGTTCCTCAGGGACATGCGTGGCTCTGTGGTCTAAACCACTGAGCCTCTTGGCCTTACTGATCAGAAGGTCAGCGGTTCAAATCTGTGTGACAGGGTGAGCTCCCGTTGCTCTGTCCCAGCTCCTGCCAACCTAGCAGTTCAAAAGCATACCAGTGCAAGTAGATTAGATAGGTACTGCTGTGGCAGGAAGGTAAACAGTGTTTCCATGCACTCTGGCTTCCATCACGGTGTTCCGTTGTGCCAGAAGCAGTTTAGTCCTACTGGCCACATGACCTGGAAAGCTGTCTGTGGCCAAAGCCGGCTCCCTCAGCCTGAAGCGAGATGTGCGCCGCACGCCATAGACGCCTTTGACTGGACTCAACCGTCCAGGGGTCCTTTACCTTTACCTTACTCTATTTCTCACTCATAATAGTTAGATGTTCTTCTTCCTTAGTTTTGCCACAAGCTGCACCTGCTTAGAATCCTGCAAGAATTAAATGCAGAGCAGCCTTCTCCTCCTCTGCATCTGTTGGTCACCTACTTCTGCCTCCATCAGTGGTGAATTGCTGTGTGTCCTTCAGCCACAGCTTGGGCTCTGATTCAATCTGAGCTTCACAGGCGACTCTGAGCTAATTGTAATGGTTGGAGCCTGAAGCTGGGAGTGTCTGCCTATCCCCACCCCTCCTCCTTTCCCCCCCCCCCAGGAGGTGACGCACACAGGCAGCTGCAGCCCCAAATTAGCCACCCCCAGGCCCCCATTTAACAACAAGCGTGGCTGCTTTCTGACAAGTAAAATTAACAGATATCCAGCTCAGTCCAGTTGTGTGCTCCAGACTCTTGAGGGTCCTGCAAATGACTCATGTTTGCAAAAAGAGATGTGCACGGGTTGTGTGAGCTGACTCCAATGGGCAGTCTGCACATGTTCTGTGCTGGTGGGGAGAGGGTGGGGCTTGGCCGAGGGATCAATGGCTGCTAGTATTTATAGCTACATACTAACTCCAGGATCAGAGGCAACTCACTTGCACCCCCTGCCTCCTCTGGACACATCAGTCTCTGCCCCTCAAAATCCATTTATTGGCAGGAAATATCAGACTCAGTTGCTGCCCCCTCTCCTCCCCACCAAGACTGAGACCCTAATCTAATAAATAAACAAATCTTTTATTTGCAATAAGACATGTAAATTAGGTAGCGCCATGCTAACTTTCCTGATTTGCACAATTTACCCAGCCGAGATTGGGGCTTTTTTCAGCTGTGCCTTGGGCCATGTGTAATCTAAAATGCGAACATATTTGAAGGCGATGAATATGTGAAAATCGCTTGGCAAGGTGAACAGGGAGGGTTTCCTCTGAGACTGTTGACAACTTGTCTAAATTAACCTTGGGATAATAATCTCCCTTCTGGGAATTTTCTTGGGAATAGGGTTAGCAGATGGCAACTTGGAGATCCTATCTACTTCCTTAAATATTCAAATGTGCAAAAGGATACAAAGGCAGCTCCTTGCATACCTTCCCTCCCTGGACCTGTTCCAGCCCTCCCTCCCTTCGCCAGCTGCCTGGAGCACACGAGTCTTGCTTATTAAAGCATAGATGGACGAGGAAGGCCAGGTGAGAGGCCCAAGGAGGGAGCAGGTGTAGGAAGCTGCAAGCTGCCTTCTTCCCTCTTTGCACCACAGAATGTAAAGGTATTTGCATGTGATCTGCCCTCCACCTGGCAAGTCGAATGGGTGGATGGAGGAGGTGTAAGCCTTTTGGTTTCTGCTGCCACACCATACGGACTAGAACTGTGCTTCGGAATCTTGCATTCGTAATGAATTCATGTTCCTGGAATCATAGAATTGCAGAGTTGGGATGTACCTCAAAGCCAATCTAGTCCAACCCCTTTGCAGTGCAGGAATTACAGCTAAATTATGAAATTGTCATCCAGCCTCTCCAAGGAAGGAGAGTCCACCACCTCCCAAGGGAGTCCATTTCACTGTCAAACCACTCTTACCATTAGAATGCTCTTCCTAATGTTTCATCGGAATCTCCTTTCTTGTAATTTGAGTCCTTGGATTGGATTCTACCCTCCGGAGCAGCAGAAAACAAGCTTGCTCCATCTCCCACATGATAGCCCTTAGGTAGTGATTCTTCCCCACTTTTACAAACAGGGAACAATGAATGTGAGAGGTGTCAGCTTGTCATAAATGTTAGGAAGTGTACAGTTTCCATGCAGTTTCCATGTGCCATGATTCCTGCACTGCAGGGGGTTGGATTTGATGACCCTCGTGTTCCCTTCCAACGCGGGAGGTGCTGTGGTCTAAACTACTGAGCCTCAAATCCCCATGATGGGGTGAGCTCCCGTTGCTTTGTCCCAGCAAGAGATGAAGACCATAGCGCTCTCCACCACCCTGGTGTTCAGAGTCATGTGCCTCTGATCCTGGTGGTGTTGTGACTAGTGGCCACTGATCTTCTACCACATGCATCTAGTTCAGGGATTCCCAAACTTGGGTCTCCAGCTGCTATTGAACTACAACTCCCAGCTAGCAGGACCAGTGGTCAGAGATTATGGGAGTTGTAGTCCAAAAAACAGCTGGAGATCCATATTTTGGAAATCCTGATCTAATTAATACTACCAGAGAGCCAAGGTGGCCAGTGTTCCTGTTCATCAGGGACATGGGTGGCTCTGTGGTCTAAACCACTAAGTCTCTTGGGATTGCTGATCAGAAGGTCGGCGGTTCAAATCCGTGTGATGGGGTGAGCTCCTGTTGCTCTGTCCCAGCTTCTGCCAACCAAGCAATTTGAAAGCATGCCAGTGCAAGTAGATATATAAGTACCACTGTGGCCAGAAAGGTAAATGGCGTTTCCGTGCACTCTGGTTTCCATCGCGTTCTGTTGTGCCAGAAGTGGTTTAATCATGCTGGCCACATGACCCAGAAGGCTGCCTGTAGACAAACACTGGCTCCCTTGGCCTGAAAGTGAGATGAGCGCCGCAACCCCATAGTCACCTTTGACTGGAGTCCAGGGGTCCTTTACCTTTACCTTTTTTACTATGTTCCCTTCCAACTCTACTGTTCTATGGTTCTTTGATACCACCACCTCTTTTTAGGGCCTTCTCTTTCACACAGAGTCATGGATGCTCTCCAGAATTTGGCACTCCAGTGGTTAACAATAAAAAAGATAAATCAAAAGTAAATGTTATTGTATCAAAGTGGAATTAGCATACTTATTAAGGGATACACGGAGCAGATGTTAATTGACACAAGCCCTTCCTAAAACAGCGCTCTTAACAATAGGCTAACGAGTTGCAGCTAATCATACAAGCTGCCAGTTCTAGAAGCATGCCTGAAAACAGCAGAAAAAAATCAGGATGCAGTCAAATTGGTCAGGGAAAAGAGGTAAGGGAGGGTGGAAGAAGGATGCTGATTTAAACTAGAAGAACGAGGTTTGGCTCAATGGGTGAAGGTGGAAATGAATGCTGCTTGCTTTAGAAAAAGAAAGCAGGAGGAAGGAAGTTCAATGGGTGGTTTTCTGAGGTCCTGGCAAACGTTTTAAGGCAAGAATCAGAAAGAAAGCAACTGGAAGAGAATAGGCTTGGGAGCAAGGAAAGGGGAATCTGAGATTTTTGGACAAAACAGCTGAGAAAGAAGAGGAAAGCACAATGATGGGAAGAGAGAGAAGGTCATCCCAAGAAAGAGACGACTGATTGGGCTTGAAAGCAGAAGATAGGAGAAGTGGAGGGAGGGGTGGGAGGGAGGGAGAGTTTGACCAGCTGATGGACTTTCCAGAGAGGAAGGGGCAGAGGGAGTTAGTGCCTGTCCTTATTTTGAGGAGGGCAGCTCTTCAACAACAGAAAGTGACAGTGAAGGGAAGATTGGGGCTCATCCACACTTTTGCTTGACATATACTTTTTTTTTAAATATATAATTTTTATTCTGATCTTACCTGCTAAACTGAGGCTTCCTTAAGCAAAAATCTCTGCTCAGATTTTCCACACATATGATAAGGTCCGATTCAGTATCTCAGATTGGATTTTTTCAAGGCACAGACATGAAACAACAACAAAAGCTTTTGGACCCAGGGAATTAATTGGTACACTATATGATCAAATTATGGGTCAAGCAAAAGTGTGGATGAGCCGCGAGAAAACTGTGTGTGTGGGGGGGTCCATAGAAGAATTCTTGTGCAGAGGAATGTGGCTTCTAGGGGATCTGAAAGATTCCTCGTTGCTAAGGTGAAAAGAATCGCAAAAAATCTCAAGTGGTGCTTAAAAATTAAGTGGCATTCCACTAAATTTTATTCAAAGTAGACCCATTGAAATTAATGAGCATGACTAAGTACGGTCCATTCATTTCACAAGATCTGCTCTAAGGAAAAAAAATTACTCAAAGGCCACCCGAAAGCTACAAAAACTGCCTTTCCTGGCTCTCAGGGTCCGGAAAGGTCTGATAATAAGAGGTGTGAATCTGATAATAAACTGCCCTAAAATACCCAGTGATCATGCCTCTTCCTCACGTACCCAGAAGTTAAATATATATATATATATATTCGGCTGGAGCAATGCTTCTGGATAAATTCCAGGTGGGAAACTTAAGGCCTGATTTCTCAGCTTAGTAGGTTTTCCAGAGGGGCCCAGTACACCAGGAATTAAGAGAGGCAGTGTGGTGCAGTGGTCTGAGTGTCCGACTAGGGCCCAGGAGAGACCAGAGTTCAAATCCTCACTCTGCTATGAAGCTGCCAAATCTTCCTTTTTTGCCAAAGGCTCCCATGCCTTTAAGAGCTGCACAAAAGGGAAAGAACCAACAGGTGCTTGCTCTATATTTGCAGCTCTGTGAGATTAGAAAGCTGCAATGCTTAAGAGCACCTCCCTCCAGAAAGAAGTTGGCAGCAGTGCCTGGAACGTAGTGGGTTTGGTTGTGGAACATATTCCTAATGTCATTGAGCCTTTTGACAGCTGTTTGGTAGCCTAAGATTCATTGAATCCTAGTAGTAATAGTAATAATTTATTATTACGGTCAGAAACCAGTTCAAGAAGCACAACTGAGACTGCTTTCACAAGAATGAAATAGACATTTAAAACAGTATACAATAACAGCTTATAGATTAAAATTAAAATACAGTGGTACCTCAGATTAAGAACTTAATTCATTCTGGAGGTCCGTTCTTAACCTGAAGCACCACTTTAGCTAATGGGGTCTCCTGCTGCCACTGCGCCACCGGAGCACAATTTCTGTTCTCATCCTGAAGCAAAGTTCTTAACCCAAGGTACTATTTCTGGGTTAGTGGAGTCTATAACCTGAAGCGTCTGTAACCTGAAGCGTCTGTAACCCAAGGTACCACTGTAGCTGTATGAACACAAAAGGACCTAAGGTTAAACTAACATGCAAATTGCCCCTGGGACGCCCAGGAGGCTGGCTACGGCAGTTTTCATAGCCATCTATTTGTTCCAGGGGTTTTTCTACACCTACAAATCAGCACGCAGAATCTAGCGACCATCCGGACCATCTTGTGATTTTTGCCTAAAAGGAGAAAATTTAGTTTAGGCTTGTCTGGAAGGTCAGCAAGCCTCACCAGATGGGGGTCAATGGTATCTCTACATGCCTCATCGTAAAAAGGACATCTAAAAAACAAGTGTTCAGGGTTTCCTATTTCCCCTAATGGGTAGGCGCAAAGTCTCTGAGCGTACGGGACTTTTCCAAAAGATCCTTCCAGAACCGGCGAGGGCAGAGCCGAACTTCTGGCAAGAGTAAAGGCCCTTCTTGCATTTCTGGATATAAGGAAATGGAGGTATGCTGCTGGGACAGCAACATATCTCTTGTGTTCTGCAATTATTGAACCATAGAATAACTCACAGCAAATTCAAGAGGGGCATTTTATCCCACTCAACACTGTATCCCTATGACTGGGAGAACCTCGAATTTCTGCCTGTCATGCACAGCAGTTCCTCTTGCCAAGGATGTTTTGTGGGATGCGCTGTTACCCTCAGGCTCTGTCTCTCTTCCCCTGACTGACATCTCACCCTCCTTCCTAGGTGTGGCCGAACAATTTGCCATTGCCGAAGCCAAGCTGAGGGCCTGGTCTTCGGTGGATGGCGATGATTCCAACGACGAGTCCTACGATGAAGATTTTGCCACTTCCACTGACACAACACAACCAGCTGGTGAGTGTGTGTGGGGGTGTCATAGCCAGTTGCACCCAGCAGGGTGTGAAGTCCACATGGCAGAGTCCCTTATGGACACTCCAACCCCCCCCCCCCATATTTCAAGGTGGGGAGGGAGAAGCGTATATCACATCCCCCTCAACTGTCCTGATAAAACCGAGATGTCCTGTTTCTTCGCGTGAGAGCATGGCAGCCATTTTGGGCACCGTGCTCTCATATGGCCTTGCACCAAAAAACCCCATTTTTTTTCCAGAGACCCAAAATGTTCATTTTTAGGCGGTGGCCCCAGAAAAAAACACCTCTTTCGGGGCCATGATCTCATGTGGGTTACACGACTCACCCCAGAAGATAGCACCCCGATTTTTCACCACAACATGTCAGAGGGTATGACATCAGGGACATGCAGCGTGAAACCTATGGCCCTCTAGATGCTGCTGGACTTCAGCTCCCATCATTCCTGACTGCTGGCCATGCTGGCTGTGGCTGATGGGAGTTGGAGTCCAACAACTTCTGGATCCCAATCCCTGGGGTGGTTGTTGCCCATGGGAGCTGGTAGGACAGAAGGCAGGGAGCCCAACCATTGGCGGAGCCCAAACCGAAGATGGTGGAGCCAACCATTTCTTCATTCTCCTCCCCGCTGCTGAGTTGTACAAGGGCAACCCTGAGACTGAGGGGGAGGCAGGGCCGTCTTAAGCATATCCGGCACCGTGGTGCAAAGATCCCTCCAGTTCCCCCTCCCTTTCCCAGAATTTAGAACTCGGAGCCCAACTCGCGGACCACCTCGTAGCCCTGGGAGCCACCACCCACAGAAGACGCTGCCAATGTGGTGGATGCTGCGCGGCTGGCCAGACCGCCGGAACCCCACTCTCGCTTGCAAGGCCCCAGAGCGCTCCTCCTCCTCCGCTGCCTGACAATGACAGCCCACTGCTGGCACTCTCGCTGCTGCCCAGCGGCCTGAGGGCCTGAGGAGCAGGAGGCGGTTGCCACGCTGTTGCCTGTGCCTCAGGGAGTGGGGGGACGGCGGGCAACAGTGACATGGAGAAGGCACCTTGGGAGCCACTCCTGCCACTGCCGCTGCTTCCTCAGACGACAATGACAGCGGCTCAGTGGGCAGTGGCTGAGGGGATTCCCACGGTCGAGGGAGAGGAGGTGGTGGCAGACGAGGAGGAGGAGGCGGCAGAGTCAAGGAGCGGCTCCTCATCCGAAGCAGCCCGTGCCTCTGCCGCTGAGTGCTTATGAGAGCAGCACAAGCAGTGCCAATGTGCCCGCCCGCAGAGGGGGGTGGGCCGAGGAGGGTAGGAAGGAAAGATGGTTGGCAGGGCACAACTGGCAGCGTGCAGGGAAAGGGGAGGCTGCCGGCAAAGCTGCGCAGCTCCCCCACTCACTGGGGTGCCCCTGAGAGGCCGGTGCCCTGGCACAACGAGCCACTAAGCCGTATGGGAAAGATGGCTCTGGGAGGAGGGGGCAGGCAGGCTGGGACACCCTCTGGACTAGCTCTAAGTAAGAAGGCAGGAAGATGGGGGAATGGCTGAGGGCAGACGGAGATTACTAGGGCAGCATCCTATTTGGCCTAATGCACCAACTGCTGCCTGGTGTGCATGTTGACATGTGGTGCCACACCTTGAATGCTGAGTCAGATCTCCCAGGAAAGTCCCAAATGGCGCAAGCAAAGTAGTTTCTGCCACAACTTGTCTCTCAGCTCTGGCACTAGGAAATCAGATGTGTTACTGAACATACAAGCCCCACGGCCAGCAGTTGTGGCTGATCCCCATGGAAAAGCCTCTCCTGTGGTCTTGGAGCTGCAACCCTCTTCCTCCAGCCTCACCCCTTTAGTACTATCACCTTCCACTTTGGTTAAATCCCTCGTTGTATCAAACAAATATGATGTCTTCTTATTTAATCCAGGAGGAGGGTACCTCTGAGCATTTAAGGAGTACCTTTCCTCTTGTCACAGAGCAAATGCACTTAAAATTAGGGAGCAGGCTTTCCATTCAGTGACAGGAGTTGCAAAAAATGAAGCAAAACCTCCCCACTAGTTAACAGCACTCTGAGGAAACAGCTCCCCAATTATTATTTTTTACAATTTCCCATAGGCATTCTGTACTCTGTACTGATCTTCCCAACTTATCCTCCATGGATCTACATGCATTGCATTGCGTGTGGTGTGATTTTGGGTGTTGGGGGGACATTCCACCTCCTGGAATTTGCAGAGCAGCTAGACTTTGCCCCATGCAATCCAGCACCTCTCCTAACTCTTAAAATAATCTCATTCCAGTGTCAGGGCAGGTGGAGGGATTGTGGCCATTCGTTAGTGAACTGAAAAGTGAGAAAAGATAGGTTGAACAAGAGGATAAAATTTATTGTGCATCACAGCTAAGGAGCAAATTTAATCAAAAGATACAGGCTGTCACCATGGACAAGAGAGACCCCATTAACGTGGACCTCTGTTTAAGGACTTAGAGAAACCACATGGGAATATGGGGTTAAAGAAAAAAAGTCTACTGCACCTCTTCAACATCAGGATAAAGGGAGGGAAGGAAGAAGATGAAGGAAAGAGGGTGGTTTGGAAGTCACCATCCAACATTGGGTAAAAAATATATTTCACTATTGAAAGGACCCTGGAAAGGCTAACAAAGGAAGGCAAGTGTGATCAGATGCTCTCGGGAGAACTGGAATCTTTTCTTTCCCTTCATTTATTTAGAAACACAACCTGAATTCAATGTAACTGAGATGAAAACCTTCAACATAATAGCAGCCTAAAAGAATCAAACTCCTTGTGATCTTCCACAAATCTGAGGTCAGGCAGCCTCTTCCATTCTTCCAAGGAAGACATGCACACCCACTCCCATGTCATCCAAAGCTATGGTTCCCAATTAGCTAAGTACTGCAGACACCTGGTTTTTCAAAAGCCAAGCCATGGAACCCCTACTTTTGAACATTTTGATAACTCTATGGTAGTTTTTGTTATGTGAATGGTGCCGTGGACCCCTTGGAGTCCCCACCAGTTGGGAACCACTGCATTAAAGAATGACTTTCAGATGGCCCAACTGCGATTCTGCAATCAGTTCTTGAGCTATTACAATAGTAAGGAAATGGGATTTTCGGGTTTAGCAGGATCACTTGGGTGCCACTTGAACTCAGCTGCAAGATTGTGCCAATATTGGGGCACTAGAAGACCAAACTCAAGGTCTTGAAAAATGGTGCTGGGAGATGCTTCATTTTGTTACATCTTCTAGCAACATTTTCTTCTGCCTTCAACCTGATGCAGAAGCCTAGGCAGGAAATCGACGTGCCCCAAATGTTCCATGTTTGGCCTTGCAAGTGGGTGAATCAAAGTGGGCGTCTTCTGTCTCCAAGTGAGTGAGGCTCATATTAGGTGTAGCAGATAGAAATGGCAGCCTGTAACAGCTCCCTTCTTGCAAAAATGGCAGCCCCAACAGAGAGGGGTCCGCAAACGTAGCAGGATTACTAGATGATGCTTGTGCCTAAGGTACAGCTGGAGGATGTTTTCAAAAGTAATGACTTTTGGGTGTTTTTAACTGTTACGTTTGTTTTTAGAATGTTGCTATAGAATTCATTTTGCTTAAGTTGTGTGTCTGTTTGTCGCCCTGGGCTCCTTTGGGAAGAAAGACAGGATATACAGCAAAAGTAAAATGTAATAACAAAGAAGCAGCAGCCACTGAATTGCTCAGATATATGAACCTCCCAGCTGGCGTGCTCTGGGCTGTGCCAGCCTCAGCCACCGTGTTTCCATTTGAACACTGGCTAAGATTGAAAGACAAAATTGCCTTTGCAGAAAGGGGGTATATGAGCATCGCTCTCTGTCCCCATATATTGTCTGTTTGGCTACTGGCCTTCCTCACCTGCTGTTTCCTGCTTACCCCTTGGCATGGTGCCACAGGTCGCAGGGCCTTCTGCGCCCACGGAGAGCCCGCCAGCTGGCACCCGTGTGTTGGCAGAGTGTGTAATCTGCGTCCTTCTTGCGCAGACAAAAGCTCCCTTTTTCCTACAATTAACTGCCGACGAATCGGGCGCTATTTGCATATCAAAGAAAGTCAGTGGTAATCTGCGGTGCGGCATCTAAAGAAAGTTCTAATTACTCCTCTGTATAATTAGAATGAGTGGGCAATGGAGAGGAGGAGGAGGAGGAGGCATAGATGGAAAAGTTACCTCTCTCCGGTTGCAGGAACGAACGTCACAGGGGTAGCCAAGGCAGAGAGCCATCTGCTCTCCCACGATGGGGAGGGCTACTGTAAGCCCTGCTAAAGTGTATGTGTGTGTTTTTAATGGCGCTGTGGGTTAAACCACAGAGCCTAGGACTTGCCAATCAGAAGGTTGGCGGTTCGAATCCCCGCGATAGGGTGAGCTCCCGCTGCTCTGTCCCTGCTCCTGCCAACCTAGCAGTTCAAAAGCACGTGAAAGTGCAAGTAGAGAAATAGGTCTGACGGGAAGGGAAACGGCATTTCCATGCACTGCTTTGGTTCGCCATAAGCGGCTTAGTCATGCTGGCCACATCACCCGGAAGCTGTACGCCGGCTCCCTCGGCCAATAAAGCGAGATGAACGCCGCAACACCAGAATCGGTCACGACTGGACCTAATGGTGAGGGGTCCCTTTACCTTTAGCTAGCTTGCTGCAAATTTTGGGAAACTGAACGGGCTCAAAAAGTTTTCATGGTGAGCTGTCTCCCCCAAATTCACATTGATGATATGGGGCAGAGCTGCACCCATAGGCTAGTTTAGTTTAGCTTAGATAGGCTAGTTTTAGCCTTTTAGTTTTAATAATCCAGGATGCTTTAAGACAGACTGGATTTTCCTGGTATTTCCTCCTTTCCTCCCCCTCAAAACTATAATCACTCACAAGCAGCCTTGAAAAAGGTAACAATAACATTCACTCACCAGCAAAAGAGTAACAGACACAGCAGCTTCGTTCAGGCAAGCTGAAAATAGTGATTGAGTTACTAAGGCAAACTTAAATCTAGCTTAAAAATGGAGTCTGAGCTGGAGCTCAGACTTGCTGCAGACTTTCTCACATTGTAGGCATGTTGGAGTTGAGTTGGGAAGACAGTGCGTTCAGGCAGGGAAAAGCATAAACAGCTACGCCTTCTTCCTGCCAGGGTACAAAGGGAAGTGTTCTCGCTAAGTTCTCTCTAGCAATTTTACAGAAAAGGCCAGGCATCTTTACTTGGCCTCAAGTGGCCGATAACCAGGTGCAAAACGCGCCTGGCGCCTGGCTAATTTCGAACACTGCTTTGGACCTCGGGCACCGTCCCCTGTGTCCCTTGAATGCCGCGCTGCTCACGCCGTCCCATTGCTGTGTTGCAGATGCCGCGAGCCAGCTGCCCCCCAGCACGCTGCTGAAGGGTTTCCTGCACAGCCGCTTGTGCCAGCTGAATGCCCGCCAAGGCTCCTGCGACCCAGAGAGCGACTCCTCCCAGACCACCATCTCTCCGGAGACCTTGTGCTCCAGCCTCTGCAGCCTGGAGGACAGCCTCCTCCTCAAGGAGCTGGGCTCGCCCTCAGAACTGGCCGCCAAGCTGCTGGGCTCCATGTCGGGCGAGGAGGAGCTCCTCCTCTCCAAGTTGCCCCCACAGACAGCCGGGGAATGTGCCTTCCGGAGCCTAGCGCAGCTCGAGTGCCTGGACTCAATGTACTCCATGTCCTTCACTGAGTCCTGCCTCTCGCCCACCGAAGACGAGGGCATCCCCTGCAAGGACTACAAGGGTCACGAGGACAGCTGCCAGGTCCGGAGGAAAGTGTCCGATGTGGCCTCTTCAGGCGTGGTCTCCCTGGACGACAACGAAGAGGAGGAGGAGGAGGAAGAGCAAGAGGAAGACACCGGCGAGCAGTGAGACCCGCTCTCGCCGCGGCATGCTTCACCTGCCATTTTTCTGTCCTGCTCCGTGGCATCCGCCCTCGACCGTGCTCCGTGGCCTGCCTGTCGTCCTGGAGCGGGGGCTCCCCCTTCCCTCACCGGGTGGCAGCCTGGCTGTCTGCAGGGCAGGGGGAGGCGGGGTGGTAAGCCGACCAGCGCCCCCCTGCCCTGCCCTGCCCTCCTGCCTTCACCTCCACTGTGCCATCTGATCCAACCATTGAAGCCTGAGGGGGGCCTCTCCCACGCGTGGCTCCGTGGATTTTGCCTGCTGCATTTTCTCTCTCTTTCTCTCTCTCGTGGTCTGTTTCGTTTTCTTTGCATGAGAATGTCTTGAGGGTGGGGGTGGGGGTGGGGGAAGAATCAAGCAAAGCGACAGAACAAAAGCAACAGCGGGGCAGCTGGACAAACCCCCCACCCGCCCACCCCCCAAATACAGGGCCTGTTGGGAGCATGCTGTGCTCTCCCCGATCTCAGTGCCCCCACCCAAGGCTGGTGCGGGGGGGGGGGAGAGAAGAGGCCCGTCTCATGCTGTCCAAGTGGCATGGCTAAACTGTGATGACGACGACCCTTAAGACAATTTAACTAATATATATATCTATAAATATATATGTATATCTCCGCGCCTGACCCCTTCCCCTTCCAACTTCTCCGGCTCGAGGTTGAAGGGCTGAAACAGAATGTGGAATGCAATGGATGCTTGATTTGTTATGCCTTTTTTATATATAAAAAAAGAAAAAAAAAGAAAAAAATCCACACTGGCCCAAATGGACACTTCTCGGCTTTTACTGTCTTGAATTTTATACTATGGACCCGCCGGGGAAAAGAAGGGTTAAGGAGGGAGCAGGGTATTACGAGGTGGGGGGGGGCAGGGCTTGCTATGTGCTCCTCTTCCCCCCTACTCCCTTCCTTGGGAAGAAGCTGGAGCATGGCAGGGCGTCGGTGGGAGCAGCCAGTCCTCCCACCCCAGATCTTTTCTATATTTTTGTATGTGTGTGTGCGTGTGTGTCTGTGTTGCTGTCATCCTCGCGGGCACTGCTCTTCCTCCTGTGGACGGGTTTTCTAAGGGGTCCGCCGCTCCCTCCACGCTTCCATCCTGGACAGCCCGGGGTGGGAAAATACTGTGATCCTCATCCCACCTCTCCTCTGCCCCTTAGCAGTTCACCCCACTGCACAAGACCCTGTGAGGAAGGGATCCACCTCCCCCAGCCCCCAGCTCTAAGCAGCTCCAAATGTGAGGGGGACCCTTACCTTCCAGCAGGGCTCTAAGGTGGTGCCAGGAGGGTAGAATGACTTCAAGTCCACTCATGCCTTGGCTAACGGTGGATTAGGGAACCTTTCATGCTCCCTTCAATTCCCCCTTGTCCATGCGGCCGACTACTGCTGTTCCACCCTTTCTCACTCCTAAGCAAAGTTTCCTTGCGCTTAGAAAATCCGAACAGGACGGCTGCATCAGTTGCACAAGGACTCTCCGGATTAATTTTATTATTTATTCCAATTTATAACGCTCTTCACCCAAAGATACAGTATAAGAACACAAAACACGTAACAAAAAAATTAAAATAATAAATAACACCCACCCCTCCCCAGACACATTTAAAAGGCAATGGGTTGTTTAATTAGCCAAAGGTCTGGTTCTTAAAGGCATGTAATGAAGGCACCAGTCAAGCCTCCCTGGGGAGAGCATTCCACAAATGGGAAGCCACTGCAGAAAAGGCCCTGTTCTTGTGTTGCCACTCTCTCGACCTCTTGTGGAGGAGGCACATGAAGAAGGGGCTCGGATTATGATCTCAGGGTCTGGATCAGTTCATGTGGGGAGAGGTGGTCCTTGAGGTATTGCAGTCCTGAGCCATTTAAGGCTTTATAGGTCAAGACCAGCACTTTGAATTGGGAAGTAATTAGTGGCAAGCACAGTTTGGGCAAGGATAGGTGTAATATGCTTGAACTGTTTCCCCCTGTTGAGCAACCTGGCGGCTGATTTCTGCACCAGCCGTAGAATTAGGGATGAGAAAGTGTGGGGCAGCAGTAGTTGTGCGGAGAACGCCACATGGACAAGGGGAAGTTAAAGGAGGCACTAGGGCTTCAACAACCACCAGGGTATGGACAGGTCTAAATCTGTATGGTGGGTTAATTAGGCATACAGGCCAAGTTTATCGAGTCTCCAAACTTCTGCCAGTTTTATGCCAGCTCAACTGTTATGGCTGCTTCAGAAGGATCCCCGGGGACTTTGGTTTGGTCCGAGCACTGAGGATTCTGTTAAAGATCCTTAGCACCTCCTCGCACAACTATTGTAGCAAAGTTCCCTGGGGAGGAGAGCTACGAAAAAGCAGTGTTAAGTCTGCAGCGCGTACCTGTATGCCCAGAAAAAAGGGGGGACACAGATGCAAGCCTGCATATCCCCTTGGCGTGCATTGCTCCATAAATCCTGCCACCTGCATGCACACAGGTGTACTGTAGCACAAGTCTGCTCCCTGCGGCCCCCCCCCCCATGCACATGCAGAAGAGACACACACACCTCTTTTAAAGCAGTTAAAAAGCATAAACCCTTTCCCACCCACCAGTAATTCTGGGAATTGTAATTCTTAGGGTTGCCAGTGTTTAAGACTGCCCCTTCTCCTAGGTCTGTGATATCAGCCTGACCCACAGAAGTGTTGCAGGTGAAGCTTCACTGTCCGCCACTGTTTCTCTATGCTAAATTGCTTATCACCTGATAAATTTCAGTGGGTCAGGCAGTTGGTAAAGGCCCCAGGATCAGTAATAGAAGTTGGTAACCCTAATTCTGATAGGTGGCTGGTTCGCTTTAACAAAGATGTTTCAGCAACCCCAGTAGCTATGCTTCCATACACACTTTTGGGGTGAAGCCCTGCTGACTAGTTTTAAACCATTTTGCATTTGGCTCTTTGCCCCCATTTTAATCCCAGCTTTCTATTTGTTTCCTCAGTGCAGATGATCAACTCTAATAGATGTGAGGGCTCCCCCTGGTTTCCTCTAGAGGGAGCAGAACCTCCATGTTCAGAGACAGTATACCTCTGGTGTAATCCACAGGGCTCATCTTGGGCTCATCTGATGCAGCAATCGCGCAAGCCCCCCCCCCCCAATCCCGTTGACTCTGCAGATTTCATTCTTTGGCACAACTCTTCAAGGCACAGGAGCCCTGCTATCTATTGCACTTGGTCACCCTGCGTTCAGCATGACCATTGAGAAATATCCCTGAAGAATGCACATCAGGAGAGAAGTGCGGTAAATGCAAACACATGCCCCAAAGCACTTGCACGCACACACACACACACACACACACACACACACAGATGCATGAATACAGACCCCAACTCCCCTATCAAGACAATCAGGTCCATCCCTCCTGGTTTGGCTGCCTCTCCTATTTTTTGTTTTTAACCAGGTAATCCACAGAGAGCAGGTTGGGGAGCAGTGAAATGGGACTTCTGAGAGATGCTTCTGTTTGGTGTGTGGAACGGGGAGCAGGGAAAGAACCAAGTTCCTAATATCTCTCATGATCTGGAGGTGAGGGTAGGGAAAAATGGTTTGCAGGGCCACTGGCTTCGCTGGGTATCTCAGACCCCTGCAAACTCCTGACCTTGCTCCTCCTCCTTGCTTTCACCATCTACTCACCTGCTTAGAGCAAGGAAAGAGCAGCATCTTTTGCTTGCCTTGTGCTCTCCACTCTGGGTGGTTGCACTAGCTGGGCTCGGAGGGAGATGGCAAAACGACGGGCAGCAGGAACAGGACACGAGGTGGGCAGGCTCCAAAGTCTGGAGATGAGTGGTTACTGCTAAATGCAGAAATGTGTATGTGTGTGTCCCAGCAGGGTCCCACGCAGGCCCTGGTCTCTGTTCTGCCCCAGGCTTCTCGGTGTTTGTTGGCACCTTCTATGGAAAGTGCAATTTCACAGACAGCAGCCCATCTTTTAGGAGAAGCAAGGCCTTTGGAAAAAGTAGCTCATTCCTAAGAATTTAAGGGAGCTGCTCTGTGGCAAGGGATGGACCAAGGGATGGACAGAGACCAGGGCATCTCTCACCAGCTGCATGCCATCCTGACTGGAGAGGACAGGTTTGCTGAAGGTGCGATGACAGTCAGGTACCGCAATGGTCCCTTGTAGCTATTTTGAGGCAGCTCTGGCACAGCCTACAAGGATGACAGTGAAAGATGAGGGACGAAGGGCTGAAGGACTGTTCAGGTGATGGGAAGGGGAGGGGAGAGGGAGGAATAAAACCAGGTTCAGTTCAAGGAGATCCCTTCAAGTCAAGGATGCTTGAGTAGTTATCATGGCTTCCTCCCCTCGCCACAACTTTGTGCAAACCCAGTCCAAAGTCGGTGGACCACCCTGCCCCACAACTAGCCTCTGGGCAGCCCTCCCCTTCCTGCCACCCCCCTTGATGCACCTGCAGAGCTGTGCCCCAAAGCCTATGCACCCCTCCCCCACTTTCCCCCATCCTCTCCAGCCCTTGCACTAGGCTCCCTGCCCCCAAATGCACAATATTGTTTCCGTGTGTCCCTGTTTCTGCCCTGCCCTGCTCCCGATGTATGCCCCTGGCTGGTACGAGTGTCTGTTTTCGTTCTGTTTGTATCTGTAATTCATTAAAAGGCTGGTTCTACCTGACTGTGTCTCTCCATGTGTGTGCGTCTTTCTCTGTCTCTGTGGACTGGCCCTACTAACTTCGCTCACTGCATCCTCCCACAAGTAGGATTGGGAGGGTGGTTTGCAAACGCTCCACCTCCGAAGTCCTTTTACCAAAGAGCTCTTGGATGGACATGCAGAAGGCCTCCTCCTCCTTCACAGACTGAGAGCATAACCTAGAAAAACACCGGGCAAGCTATCATTCAGGGGAGCCAATCTGCCACCAGTGAGCTTCTCACTGAGGGATCCCTGTTGGGTTTCCAAGAAGTTGCAAGGTCATCCAGAAGGAATCATTCCCACTATGTTCAAGGTTTGAGTGCTGCTGATTCAGTGGCATAATGTGGGTTGCCATGGCCCGGGGCTGCACAGAAAGGAGGGAAACGGAGTATGCATGCACATCCAGTGGTATCTGAGCCACCCAGGAGACTGCAGCCACAGAGATCAGAAGAGTCTGGAGAGGTCACTTCATAGTTCGCATGGAGAAGCCGTTTGCAATGGAAGTGTGCAGCTGCATAGAGGCAGCACCAGGTGTTGAAATTTTGCAACCCTAACAATTTTGCGCCCAGGGCCACCCCACGCAGCACCACTGTGTTGATTATTTCATTTTTGTTTGATTTATTGCATTTCCACCCTACCTTTCCTCTAAGGAGCTCACAGTGGCAGGCATGGTTTTCCCTGCTCTCCATTTTACCCTCACAACAACCCTGTAAGGTTGAGAGATGGAGACTGGCCCAAGGTCACCGGGTGAGCTTCATGGCTGAGTGAGGATTTTGACTCTAGTCTCTAAGGTCCTAGCCTGAGACTCTAACCAGTACGCCGCACTGCCTCTCATGTGCAGCCACAAGGTAATCACCCACTCCCAAGAGGTGTGTGTTGGTAGGGCTGGGGGAATCTCAAGCTTTTCAGAAGTATAAAAAAGCCATAAGGGGGGAAAGAACCCCAGAAGCTTTCAAATAAGGACAAAAATCCGCGTGTGTGGGGTGTGTGTGTGTGTTAGAGAACAGAATGGCATGACTGGACTCCTGAACACGCTGCAAGGTTTTGTTGCAGTTCCACCACCCCAGACTACCGCAGTCTAATCTTTACCAGCTTTCCACACCATCTCTTCTGCAAGATCAGCAGATCTCAGCATATCCCCAGGGAACTGATCAATATGAACAACTGGCTATGTTCCCATGAGATCTTACTTATAAACTCACTGTCTTCTTTTGTAATCACCACGATCTTCACTTAGTTCAAGAAATGGAGATCTCAACCCAGAGGTTAGATTTTTCTCCTAGGGGAGTTCTCACTGCTGAAAATTTCTGCTGCCCTTTTCTGCAGTTTTGAAAGATCCTTCTTGAGATGAGATGACCAGGAGTGGGCACAGGGACCCACGTGCGGTCACCCAGAGACTGTGGTCACAATGACTGGGGTAGCACTGCCTTCCATCTTTGACTTGCTCCCATTCTTATCTGAGGATCTCTAGATGGTTTACCTGGGTCTCCTCCTGCCCTTAATTCTTACAACAACCCTGTCAGGTAGGTCAGGCTGGGAGTTGGAGGCTGGCCCAAGAAGAGCTGTTGCTCGCCAGGCATCATAGGAGGTGATGTGGAACAACCACAACATCATGTGATGGCAATAGCCAAGCCACCATCTGCCAGCCTCTCCTTCTCTCCAAATCTGCAATACAGGAATAATAAAGCACTAGCCTACTCTGTAAGGCTGTTGTGTGAGGTTGTGCATAAAGCACTTTCAGCCCCAATGCTTAATATGGGCATCAGCATCGTGCTTCGTTCATAGGAAGCTGAGCCAGGCCACTGGTCCATCTATCCTAGTAATGTCTACCCTGGCTGGCAGCAGTTCCCTTTAGGGCTCTCTCTTAATCCTGCCAAGAAATGCTGGGGTTTGAACCTGGGACTTTGGCCCTGCATACCTGAAGGAGTGTCTCCACCCTCATCGTGCAGCCTGGACCCTGAAATCCAGCTCTGAGGGCCTTCTACCGGTTCCCAAATTGCGAGGTGGGGTTACAGGGAACTAGGCAGAGGGCCTTCTCAGTAGTGGCACCTGCCTGTGGAACGCCCTCCCAACAGATGTCAAGGAAACAAACCACTATCTGACTTTTAGAAGACATCTGAAGGCAGCCCTCTATAAGGAAGCTTTTAATGTTTGATGTTTTACTGTGCTCCATGTTTTAAATTTGTTGGAAGCTGCCCAGAGTGGCTGGGGCAATTCAGTCAGATGGTTGGCATATGAAAGTAATAATAATAATAATAATAATAATAATAGTAGTAGCAGTAGTAGTAATACTCAGCTATGGCCCTTTCCCATAAAATAGGTCCTCTGCTGGACACTGCTCTCATTCCAAATATTGTGAGGCTCAGAGGGGTAGGGGGTGGGCTTCACCCTGCCCCATTGTTCTCATCACCTCTCACTCCCTGCCGCTGAGAATGCAGCCTCCTTATCTCACATTCCAGCACGAGGACACAGCGACTAGGCCAATTATGGACATCTTGGCTCTGCTGGACCAGGACAAAGCCCTCCCCTCCCCCGTCCATGTAGGCACTGCAGACCCCTTAGTCCCACACTGCATCCAGGAGAGAGCTGCCACCCCCATCGCCCAGGCCATGTCTTCGGTGAGCTCGTCCTCGTCCTCTTCCACCTTCCGCTCAGAGCACATCAGCACCTACAGCCCTGGGAAGCCTCGCTTCGAGCCTCTGCTGGACCCTCCCCATGGGATCTTCGGGGCCGGGAGAGCTCGAGAGTCCTATGGGTACTCAGGTGAGTGAGCCCATCTGGGGGCAGCCAGGGGCACTGATCCCACAGGCTCTGAGCTTGAGCAACAGGAGGCAAGTGTCAGGGTTGGCCCAAGGGAGTGCCAGTGCCAGGTGAATGGACTTTTTGAGTCTTTTGGCTGCCTGACCTTAGGTCAGTGGCTGGGTATCTTTGTTCAAAGGCCACATTCTGGGGAGCCTAATCTACGCCTGCTGATGGGACTGCAGCCAAAGCGGGCAAGGCCATCCTTTCTCTCTCTCTCTGTCAACCTCTTTCTCTCTTTTCTCCTCCCTCCCATCCCTTTCTCTTCATCCCACCCCACCTCTCTGTCTCTGCCAACACACCTCTCTCTCTCTCTCTCTCTCTCTCTCTCTCTCTCTCTCTCTTTCTGCCACCCCCTTTCTCCCTCTCTCCTTCTGCCATCCCCTTCTGTCTCTCTGTCTCTCTCTTTCCCCTCTCCTCTCTCTGCACTTCCATCTTTCTCCTGCTGTGACAGGAACAGGTCCTCCTTCCTGCCAGAACTCTGAAGTGATGGTTTGCCAAGGGCTTTCCCCCTTCCACCTCCCATCACCCCATCCATTTCAGCTTCACCCCTTCCTATGCCCTCTCCGGCCCTCTTTCTCTCCCTCCAGCCTCCTCTTCATACCCACCCACACCTGTTGTTGCAATGGCCAGACCTGTCTTCCAAGGGCCCACCCTCACCCCTCTGCATCTCCTCTGCCTTTGTTTCCCTCCACCCTCCCACAGGCTCACCCCCCTCAGCACACCCTTCTGCTCTGGGCAGCAGCAACGTGATCGCCAGTGGCGACAAGTACCAGGTCATGGCGGACGTCAGTCAGTTTGAGCCTCACGACATCGTGGTGACCACTTATAACTATTGCATTGTCATCCAGGCAGAGAAGGTGAGATGGCCAATGGCGGTGAGGGTGGGGGGCTGGAATCAAAACTGCAGGAGGCGTGGTTGCAGGCTGTTGTATGGGCGTAGCCAAGGGGGGACAGATCCACCAAAAAATATTGAAAAGCATTGAAAAGACACACACATCCCCAACTCAACAACTTTGGCTGATCCCCTAAGAAAAGCTCAACACCTTTGGCTGCCCACCCCCTCTAACAAAAATCCTGACTACGCCCATGGGCTGATGGGTGGATTTTTGATGAGCAGGAGAGGATATTTTGTTTATTCATTATCCTCTTACTTGTGCAAGAATGCAAACACCTATTTCAGCACAGTTAAAAATCGCCATCCATGTGCAGCTTATATTTAGAAGCTTGGGAGACAAGGTTGTGTAACCTTCTAGAAAGAACAATTATGATCTGCAAGGATGCTTAGGCAGATTCGGATCACCTCTCTTCTTATATGTGCAAACCCTCAGACAAAGAAAATCACACTCAGACTCTTTTAGGCAAAGAAGAAAATATAAGGTTTACTCACTTGTAAGTCTTGCCAGGATTCAACACATATACTGGTGAAAATCAAGCAGGCAATAATCCTAAAAGTTACAAAAATCTATAGTCCAGTCTGAAATGGAGTGCACACTCTTGAGGAGAGCTCGCAGACGGCCCATCCCATTGTAGGTTAGAAGAAGAGAGTGCAGCCACAGGAAGAAAAAGATTAAGTCTTCTATTGTTCCCTTTCTTCCCACAGAAGTTTAGAGGATGTGACACCATATAGTCTCCTGTTTGTGACTCTGTAGCAGTCATGCATTTGTGATTTTGGCTGCAAATTTTCCAGCCCTGGCTATAGCTGGGGGTGAGGACAGCTTTGCATGGAAAGACCTTAGCTGGGGAGGGGGTGGGGACATCTGATTTGCATGCAGGAGAGCTAGGAAAATCCTTGGAGAGCCTCTGTCAGTCAGTGTCAACAAGACATCCCAAAACTGGTGCCTTCCAAGTGGTTTGAACGACAACTCCCTTCCACCCAGAACATGGCCGTGCTGGTGCTGGTGCAGATGGGAGTTGAAGTACGGAATTATAGGGGTGGGGGAACCAGATTGGGGAATGCAGGTGCAGACAGTTCTATTACTGAATTGAATGCATGGAAGACCTGGCTTGGGATAAGGCAGTTTCTTACATTTTATCTACTCAAAAGAACCAACAGCTAGAGATGGATGCCTCAGGTCTTCCCTAATTTGCACACCTTCATCCTCGGAAAGTGTTCGAACTTTTTGTCCTGCTTTGGTGCATGATGGTAGGTGCTCCTTTGAAGAACTGAACTTATCTTTTAGCCAGTGTAAGTTTGGTACGTGAGATGTGTAAAATGCAAGAGCTGGTTTGGGGGGAACGTCTAAGGCAGGGTGTTTTGCTTGCCCCACAGGTGGCCGAAGACGGCACTGTCTCCAACACTTTCACTCACAAGTGCCAGCTCCCGGCAGACATGGATCCTCTGTCCATCAGCTGCTCCCTGAACGATTCCGGCATGTTGGTCATCACTGCCAGGCGACAACTCCTGGCAGCACCTCCTGTCTTCCGCACGGAGGTCAAGCTTTAACAGCGGATTTTGTCACAACCTGGGAAGCAGGGAACCTTCATAAAACTACCTTGCCTTGGGTAGATTTGCCTAGTAGCCTTGTTCTTGAATTGTTTGATTGGCACCTCTGAATAGCCCAATGTCCCATCATACACTGCTGCTGCAGAACCTTGGAACTTCTGCCTGCAATGCATGCTGGGACCCATCCCCATGCGCGTCTCTTTTGCTGCAGGGATAAAAACTACCTGTAGACTTAGAACACTGTGTCTATACTGAGTCACACTATCTCAGTACTGCCAAGTGACAGGTGGAAGCTGCCCAGGATTTCAGGCACAGGGTTTTCCCCAGCCCTACCTGGAGATGCCAGGAATTGAACCTGCTACCTTCTGCACGCGAGGCAGATGCTCTACTCCTGAGCTATGGCCCTTCCTTCCTTGGCACTAGATGCAAACTAGGACTCTGGGGCCCTGCTGTGGGACTGGGAGACCCCTGCTACAATTCTGGAAACCACCACAGGAGTAGAAGAAGAGGCCCTTAATCTTGCTCAAACACAGTGGCGTAGCATAGGGGGTGCAGGGGGGCCCAGCCGCACCGGGCGCAACATCAGGGGGGGGGGGGCGCTCGCACTCGCAGCTCTCTGCCCCCTGCTAAAATCCACGGGTTAGGGGGCGCAAATTACTTGCCTTGCCCCGGGTGCTGACAACCCACGCTACGCCACTGCTCAAACACCTCCCATTTTTCCATCCTTCAATAAAGATCACTTCCTGCCCTGCAAAGTCTCTGCTCCTGACTAGAATTGTCTCAATGTCACCTTCTTCTTGGCTTCTTTCCCTAGCAATTCCCCTCTTTGATAGAATGGGCAAGGATGAAATGGGACCCAGAGCTTTATCTATTGCTGGAAGATTAGCTGTGTTGATATTTTTTTTTTTTGCAGCAAAAGCAATAAAAGAGTCTTGTGGCACCTCAAAGACAAATTGGTTAAGTCTCTTCCAAAAATTCTGGAAGGCATCAGGTTGGGGAGTGCCAAACTTTATCTAACACCCTTTGCAGGAAGGGAATCTTGGTAAATGGCAGGTCCACCAGGAATGAGCCAGTGGGCCACAATCAGCGCCAGTTACTCCAAGTTTTCAGGACACTTGGGAGAAGATACCCTCAATCTAGCCCTGCCTGCTCGCCATGGCCTCAGAGGCCATCTCCTCCTGATCCCAAGCCCCTGCCCTGTGCTTTTATCATTACCTGCACAGGTGAGGCCACACCCACCTCTAGTCACATGCGGAGGAAGTCCGTCCCAGCCCAGAGGGAAACAGGAAGTTTACCTGCTGGCTGGACAAACATCCCTCCCCATGTCTAAACATGTACACTCTAGGAATGTTGTAATTGACTGCTCCTGTGTTTCACATCCCACAGGCACTACACACACCTTACATTTGAAGCACATCCAAAGTAAATTGCTTCTCCCCAAGAATCCTGGCAGCTGTATTTTCCCCTTTGTTGTTGTTGTTTAGTTGTGCCCAACTCTTCGTGACCCAATTCCCAGCCCTCTCAACAAACTGTGCTTCCCGGGATTCTTTGGAGAAGGTCAACACACTTTACATGTGTGTTGAACAGTCTTCATGGCATGAAAGTTGTCCAGTTGGCATTACAGTGGTACCTCTGGATGCAAACAGGATCCATTCCACAGCCCCGTTTGCATCCTGAAGTGAACGCAACCCACGTCTGCGGGTCATGATTTGCTGCTTCCACGCATGCACGTGATGTCATTTTGAGCGTCTGCGCATGCGCGAGCATCAAAACCCGGAAGTAACGGGCTCTGTTACTTCCGGGTCGCCATGGAGCGCAACCCGAAAATATTCATCCCGAAGCTACTTCAACCTGAGGTATGACTGTATCATCATCATCATTATTTCCCACCATTTTCCCTGTTAGAGACTCAAGTCAGCTTACAGATGCAATGAGAACTTGGCCGGTAGGAGGGTGGAATCAAAAGTAGAATGGTTTGGCTGTGGCTCCACCTGCTTGTGGCCTCCCATCCTCAATGGGCAGCAGCAACCACTGTGCCTGCTGATGCTGTTGTCCCACAGCTGCCCATCCCTAGTTCAAGGTGTTGCTTTCTGTGTGTCAGAGAAAGAGAAAGGAAGGAAGGAAAGGGTGCAGGAAAGGGTTAAAGCTGAAGACCCCTCTGTGCCAAAACCATCATCACATAGGAGTTGTATACTGAGTCAGACCATTGGTCCACCAGGCTCATTATTATCTGCACTGCTTGGCCCTCCAAGGCTGTGAAAGAGTTTTCAGGCAGGAGTCCTTCCCAGTGGCGTAGCGTGGGTTGTCAGCACCCGGGGCAAGGCAAGTAATTTGCGCCCCCTAACCCATGGATTTTAGTAGGGACAGAGAGCTGCAAGTGCCAGTGCCCCCCCCCCAGATGTTGCGCCCGGTGCGGCCAGCCCCCCCTGCACCCCCACGCTACGCCACTGGTCCTTCCCAGTCCTACCTGGAGATACCAGAAATTGAACCTGGGACCTTGTGTACTCAAAGCAAATGCTCTAAAGCTAAGCCAGGCCTTTCCCCAAGAGCTCCAAGTAGAAAACAGGAGAGCTCAGAGAGGCTAGCTAAAAAAAGAGCCACTTGACCTCTGCGCGGGGCTTTTCAGTGCTTGCCCAGCTCCAAAAGAATTGCCCAGTTCTGACCTTGCTGCACCCACATACATTGCCACAGGGGCAGGCAGCATTTCTGCCCCTCCTCCCATTGGCCCCAGTCTAAACCCACACCAACAAACCCGAAATAGTTTTATTTCTCCGCAGCTGACCAGCCCGCCGCCTCCACCCCACCGAAAGCTCTTTTGAAAGGACCAGCACAACTTTGGCAAAGGAGGAGCTGCTGGCGCTCGCTGACTGCCTCGTTCTTTTCTCTCCCTCTTTTTTTTTCCGGAGGAGATGCCAGCTGCTCATTACATCTCTATAGCACAGTAGTTTTATTTCCGTTTCCCTCTCTATTCCAAGCCCCAGGATCCCTGGCTCAGCACTCTTTTGCACAGCTCCCGGAAGGCCAGCTCAGACTCTTTATTGACTAGGCAGTGTGTGTGTGTGTGTGTGTGTGTGTGTGTGTGTGTTTCTGGCAATAAAATAAAATAAAGGCAGAGGGGGAGAGAGAGCTGCTGGAGTTGGCAGGAGGAGATGAGTTCTGCAAGATCTGAGCTCCAGGGCAGAATCCTAGCTTCCCAGAATCCTTCAGTGACGAATGCAGGCCAATTCCTATGTGGCACACTTCCCCGTGGAAAACACAGGCCTGGTTCTCTAGCACAGAATCCAGCTGCCAGGGGCAATAGAGATGGTGGCAGCAATGAGGTTGTGCTTTCACCTTTTAAGAAAAATCCAGGCGAGACAGCAGCCCATAAGAAAATGCTAAAAGTGTGCCAAGGGATGGGGCGAGGACTTCCGTGTGTGCTACTTAGCTCTGTGTCGCATGAAGCTGCCTTCTACCAAGCTGGGATAGCTCACTCGGTAGAACATGTGACTCTTAATCTCAGGGTCATGGGTTCAAGCCCTGCTTTGGCCAAAAAGACTTCTGCATTGCAAGGGGTTGGACTAAATGACCCTTGTGGGTACCTTCCAGCTTACAATTCTATGATTTTAAGTCAGTACTTTGGCCCACATAGGGCCAGCCCTATTTTTAGACAAAAGGAGGTGGCTGCCTCAGGCAGCAGCGTGGTCAAGTTGCTTGGAGACATTTCAGGCACATTGCCTTCGCCGTCCTATCCCCTTCTAAACCTAGCCAGCTTGGCAGCCACTGCGACCCGTTGTGGCAGGGAGTTCCGCAGTTCAAGCAGGGTCACCATTTCTCTGCTGGGCTTCTGTGAATGACCTCAGTTGGGACTGAACTCTGCTTGCAAACCATGAAGGATAGCCCCTTCCTGCCTTCTCAAAGCATCGCAGAATTGTAGCGTTGCAAAGGGTCATCTAGAGTAGTCCTAACTTTGCAACGCAGAAACCCCAGTTAAAGAATCGCTGACAGCTGGCTATCCAACCTCTCCTTGAAGGAGATTCTATCCCCTTCCTGGGGGCTCTGTTGGTTTGTTTTTGCCTGCAGAAGCCTCTCCCCTTCGTGCAGCAGCTCTGGGCACCCGCGTACTGGTCCAGGCGCCTCCATCCCTCTGCCTCCCTCGTTTTTCCTCCTCCTGCAACGCGACACTTATCACGCGGCGAAAAACGCCTTTCCGGGGGCCGAGGCGAGCCCTGCGCAACAGCTGCGGAGCGCGCCAGCTGCCGCCGGCGGGCAAAGAGGTCGGAGGGTCGCGGGTCTTGCAGCAGGCTCGGCCCGCTGCAGCAGCCACACGGCCGCCCTGGCGCGCCGCCGCCGCCGCCGCGCGTCCTGACGAGCGCGGCTGCAGCCCCAGGGAGAGCTTCTCCTTCGGTGTCAGCGGAGAGAGGCGGCCGGGAGGAGGAGAAGCGGCGGCAGAGCACGGCGATCGGCGGGAAGCAGCTGGAGCCAGGAGGCGGCGCTGGTGGCGGGGTGGGAGAGGAGGTGGAAGGGCAGGCCAATGCAAGGGGGAGGCTGCAGCGAAATTTCATGAACTAGGAACCCCGAAATTTCGAATCCCCTCCAAACTGGCGCCAAGGATTCGTCGTGGTTTTGTAGCGCGAGCGTTATGCCAGGCATCCCAAAACTGAGTAATCGAAACGACTACAAAACTTTGGCACAGGTTTGGAGGGGACCCAAAATTTCGGGGTTAAGGAGGCTCTCCGGAGAGACCAGGGTGGGCTTGTTGGCGGAGGAGGGAGGGTAGGTGGGCGTGAAAGGGTTAAAACAGGCGGTCAAGCTCCCTTGGTCTGGAAGCAGGTTTTCCTCAGGACCTGCAGCAGGGGAGCAAAGGTTTAAACCGCCCCCGCACAAACACACACACTCCACCCCTATTGTGGTCGCAATTCACCATCAGTCCCTTCTCTCTTCCCCCAACCTCTGGTGCCATGTGCATTTCTAAAAACCTGCAGGTTAAATTCAAAGGTGGGTGGGTTTATTGCCAAAATAGCCTACTTAGAATCTTCTTTGCGTGTGGCTAAGTATTAGGGAATTCCAGGTTAAGGCTCCACAAGCCAGAGTTGAGGACACAGGGATTTCCACATAGGGCAAGTTTTGGGCGTGAAGCACTGGCATGTGGCACCCCCAAGACACTATGGGTCTCTTCCTTGCAATCTGCCAGAGCCTGTATTCTCATGCAATGGTGTGCAATATCTAAAATAAGGCAATCAAAACTGACTACTTCTGATTGCTAGAGAAGCACACACATGGAGGAAGTTGGATCTCCCAGGGTCTACAGGAAATTCTCTGAGAGTGCCACTCCCACTGTGCCCAGCCTGCTCTCTCTCTCTGATCCCTGCTATGTGATCTCTTCGATGCTTCATCATTGACTAGGGATGCAGGATGCGTGCTGAGTCACAGCTCAGACTCCAATCCTAATCTAAACTATGTCTGTACAGCCGCACCTTGGTTGTCGAACGCTGTTTTGGCTCCCGAACGGCACAAACCCGGAAGTGAGTGTTCTGGTTTGCATGTGTTTTTCGGAAGCCGAACGTCCGATGCGGCTTCCGATTGAGTGCAGGAAGCTCCTGCAGCCAATCGGAAGCTGCGCCTTGGTTTTCAAACCTTTCCGGGAGTCAGACGGACTCCCGGAACAGATTAAGTTCGACAGCCAAGGTACGACTGTGGTTCTGTTTTAAGCCTGCCTCAAGACTGCTACTGTGAAACCGGGTGAGTAAACTGATCTTTACTTAACAAGAAGAGTGTTTTGCGTGTTTATTGTTTTAAGGGAGAGGAACAGGGGAAATAACAGGAAATCCAGTCTGCAGTAAAGCTTCCTGGATTACTTAAATGAAAAGGCTAAAGCTTCCTTGTTTTTGCTGACAAAGGGATGCACCCTGCTGAACTCACAAACACAAAGAGGGCTAATATCTAAGAAATATATCCTCCTAGTTTCTATACACATCCCTACAAGGGGAAGTCCCTAACTCACCGAGGGCTTGAGACCCATTGTCTGTCTTCACCTAGTTTAGCTAGCCAGTCAAAGCCATTCCTAGGGCAGAGCCGCTGCCGCATGTTGACAGCTGAGTGCAGTGTGGCGACCAAAAGTGGGCAAACTGCCCCAGAAGAAGCACGACATGCCCCTCACCAGAGGTACTACCCCTCCCCTAACACCCCATAAGTACCACGTGGCTTACACAAGACAACAGACACTCATTAGTTCGTTTTATTTCATAGCTCTATTTGCAATCTCTCTTCTTCTTTTTATTAAATTAATATAAAAAAACCCTCTGTATTTACATGTCAGGTACCAACCCCACTCACCGCTCCTCACCTCTGGATTCAAGAATAGGGTGGGAGCCAGAGAGGGGGGTGGGGAAAGTAAAGCAGTTCAGAGTCCTTATTGGGGGGCAGTGGGGAAGAGAGGGAGGAAGAGGCTCCCAAAGGCTCAGTAGCTCGAGATCCAGTGTGTTCACCCATGTAAAAATCATTAATAAAAGTGAGGGAAAGCCTATCCGTTGTATCAAGGATGGAGAACTCTCCAGCAGCCCCAGGCAGTGTGGCCAATGGTCAAGGGTGGTGGCAGTTGTAGTCCAGCAACTTTGGGGAGGGGGGACACAGGCTCCCCCACTCCTGCATTGTTTTCACATTCGGACGTCCCTAAGCTGGAGACCCAGGACTCACCGACTGGACTGCAAATGGGTGGGGAGTGGCAGTGAGAGAGCAGAGGTAAGCAAAAAAGGAAAAGGCAGGTGATAATGGCCTGGACAACTGGATTTTGGGCCTAGTCCTACTTGCAGGAGTGGCTCCTTCAAGTGTCTTATGCCCCCCACTCCTCAGGTTAAGAGTGACCTGTGCAAAGAAGCAGAGGTCGACCAGGTGGGGTTTGAACACCTCAGCTCACAATTTCCTTGGTCCTATCTGACTGGATCCCATTTTAAGGTAGAGGTGAGGCCAATGGAAAGGTAGGAGGGGGTGTGTTTACTTATTTTGTGTGTGCGCATTTGTAAAACCGATACCCTCTTACCCACAAACATCTTGAGGAAGCCCTGAGACTAATGGCAGCGTGGGAGGGACTGCAGGGGTGTACGAGCGAAAACAGGACCCCAACAGTGGCACAGGTGTGACTTCAACATCAGGCAAGGCGCAGGATGAAGGACTTGCCGTTCTCAGACGTCTAGGTCCCACTGAGCTCTGGGCTGACGAGAGGAGCAGGATCCTCTCACTCAGCTCCGAATTTGTTCTGCCGCCTCCTCTCCTCCAGAGCAAGAACAGGTCAGGGACGGGCTTGCGGCTTCGTGCCCGGTGAGGCCTTGAAGCTGCTCTGGTTTTCTGGCCGAGAGGCCTTTTCGCAAGGCTCTCGGGGCAGTAGTGGGTCCCCGGGTTGGAACGCTAAGCGAAGGACCCTGGGAAGACTCTGGCCGGAACTAAACGGCCGTGGAGTGGCGATGCTGGCTTCTCCGCCAACCGGTTAGCAAGACTCCCTCCGCCGTCACTGGCATTTCTCGTCACTCTCCGAAGGGCTGGACTCGCGGGGGATGGAGTGCCTGTTTCGCCGGTCCCACAGCTGGTGGATTTCTGTGGCCTCTGTCTCGCTGCTGCTAGTCGTGCTGTCCCGGAAGCTGGCCAGTGGGGGCCGCACCTTCACCCCCTTGGCGGTTACCGAGCCTTCAATGGCTTTTCGCAACTGGAGAAAGAGAGAAAGAGGAGGGAAAGGGAGGGAGAGATTGATTTATTTACTATTTATTTACGACATTTATATCCCACATTTTTTTCTCCAACCAGGTAATAGGAGCGAGCCAGCAATAAATCACACTGAGCAAGCTGGTGTTAACTCTTTATTAGCAGAACCAGGATTTGCACAGGCGTGTCAGGCCTAATGAGCACAGCGACTTGTATCTCCCAGGTTTGGCTTCATGGATTGATTGGCTGCTGAGACTGAAGGTCCCTGCCTCGCCACGGCCACCTTTTGCTCCATCCCAGTTATTGCCAACAAACCACTGGGGTGATGCTACCCTCAGGCATCTGGGGTGGATTAGACGGCAGACCCCCTTCCACTGTGTGTGTGTTGGAGGGGGCCCATGCATGTTAGGACTGAAAGGAAGTCCTCTTAAGCTTTCCCACCCCCAGACTGAGTACTCACCTCCTTGAGGGACACCATGCCAATGAGGCGCCCGATGCTGGTGACATAGGCGTGGTCCACCCCCAGGAGAGAGAATATGGTGTGTGTCTGGAAGAGCCAAAAGCAAAATCAGCAGCAATCACTCACATACTCCTTTGCTCCACCATCTCAGTATCTAGGACTGAACCAAAATTCTGTGACTCCTGCCCTGACAAACCATCCAGGCTAGGCTACTGCAATGCGCTCCACATGAGACAGCCCTTGAAGAAACTTCAACTGGTACAGAACATAGCCACCTGGAAGCACCTGGAGGTGATTCTCTTGGAAGACATTACATTCTACTTCTGTAGCACTCGGGTCCTGCCTGCAGAATTTCCACAGGCATCCAGTTGTGAGGACAGGATGTTGGACTAAATGGACCTTTGGCATTGGTTACCTGCATGTTTCTTTCTTTCTTTCTTTCTTTCTTTCTTTCTTTCTTTCTTTCTTTCTTTCTTTCTTTTTACTTTTCAAGTTTATACATTTCACTAATTTTACAATCATTTTGACATTTCAAAGCTTGACTTCCTTCCCCCTCTTTCTGCGGTTCCTTAAATTTATTTTTAATATCTTCTGCATATCCAAGTTAACTTAATTTGCTCATTTATTCATCTTCTTTAAATATATACTCTTATGAAACTGCACGTTATTACAATAATCCTGCCAATGTTCTTATCTGTTTACAATTTATCTGTAAATATTTAATAAACCATTTCCATTCTTTTATAAAAAGTTTGTTATCTTGATTTCTTACTCTTCTGGTAAGTTTCAGCAATTACCTGCATGCTTTCGAGCCCAACTACAAGTATTGGTGTTAATTCCCCCCCCCTTTACACACACACACACACACACACACACACACACACACACAGAGTTAAAACAGCATTTTCCGATTTACAATCATTTAACTTTGAACTCCCCTACCCCAAATCCCTCTATGGTTTCCCTAATTTTCAAAATTACAATGCATATTATTGTATACCTTATCTTCTCCACAGTACTTTCAAACATATATTTTACTGCTGTTCTTACTCTAAAGCCACTTGCATTTTAACATATTTACAATAGTGGTTTTTTAAAAAAATCTACGAAAGTCCTCCAATCCTCCTTGAATTCTGCCTCATCTTGGTTTCTAATTTTGCATATTGGTGTTTACTTTAGAGGCCTAAACTGGGTTTTGGGGCAGGTTATTTGAAAACCGGTCTGCTTCTGTGTGAACCTGTCTGGGCCTTAAAGGCCCTGTTTGTGGCCTGCCCTTAAGAGCAAATCAAGAAACAGTGTCTTCTCAGTGGTGGCTCTAAGTTTGTGCAACTCCCAACGGATATACATTTTGTCATGTCAGTTTTGCCATTCAAAAGGGTTTCCAGTTGCTTCAGCTGCTTTTACATGAGCGCTCTGCTGCGCTGTGAAATGTTTTCAAACTGTTGTTTTGATGGTTTAGTTTTATTGGAGCAATGCGCTTTGGTTTTCCTGTTTTATTTATGCATGCAAGCTGCCTTGGGAAGGCTTTGCCTAGGCAGGCAACACAGAAAAATTTAACAAGCAAATAACCACCAGCACCAGAACAGGGCTCCCCAGCAAGTCATATTTCTGAATCATTGACAAGGACCCATCCCTCCAAGGCTCAGGCATTCCTCACCCCCCCACCCCACCCCAGCCAACTCTTGCCTCTTGAGCCTAGCATCATGGGGAATTTCTCAGCTATACCCTGGATTTTGTCATGTTCTGCACATATGTGTGTGTGTGTATCTATCATCTATCTATCTATCTATCTATCTATCTATCTATCTATCTATCTATCTATCTATCTATCATCTATCTATCTATCTATCTATCATCTATCTATCTATCTATCTATCTATCTATCTATCTATCATCTATCTATCTATCTATCTATATCTATCATCTATCTATCTATCTATCTATCTATCATCTATCTTATCTATCTATCTATCTATCTATCTATCTATCTATCTATCTATCTATCTATCTATCTATCTATCTATCTATCTATCTATCTATCTATCTATCATCTATCTACATATTGCACATCTTTTTCTAGCTGTGCACCATTTATCACCTGGAGAAAGGAGGTATTCATAGGAGCATTTTGTCGTGCCCCTTCTGAAATCTTATTCAGGCCAAGCCTCCCTGGACCTCCGACACCTTGCAAGGAAATGTTCTAAGCCATTTTCACAGCAACTAGGGCTAGTAACTTTTAAAAAAAGAACAGGAAAATGGAGGTTTTCAGGATGCTGAATTTGGTAGAGCAAATTCAGGACGGGTGTGGTATGTTTGCAGAATCGGAGCGCACACACGCAATGTACACACACCTTGTGCAAAGAAGTGCGTTCCACCAACTGGAAGGGTGCTGGGTCAATCTTGCTGTTGTTGAAGTTGACAAACTGCTCTAGCTGCTGCTCCTCCCATTCCAGGATCTGAAAGGTGACAAACCAAGTTAGCATGTCTGCCAGGAGGAGCCTGTAGCTGCCAGGCTTGTAAGCCAGACCAGATTCTGTTCATTACATTTTATATATACCCCTCCTTTTCATCCAAGGAAACCACCCAGCCCATCTCTCTGCTGCTGTTTGCTAGAGAATGGTGCTCAGTGCTCAGAAGCATTGCAGCTGCTGTTCCTGCAGTCGGCATGCAGCCGCAATGGCCAGCAGCCATGAACAGGAACATGACTTTTTAAGTCTCGCCACGGTGGGGGTCACCACCACCTAGAATCACAGAATTGTGAAGTTGGAAGGGACCCTGAGGGCCGTCTGGTCCAATCCCCTGCAATGCATTAACCTTTCATGGGCTAATGGGATGTGTGACCTTTATGGCAAGTGGTGGGCAGAGCCAGAAGCGAAAGTGGGCAGGGCTAGAGACAAAAGAGGCTCTTTCATATAGAAGGTTCACACTTCAGCAGCACAAAAGCCAGGCATTTCTGCACACAAACCTGAACACATCTCTCTCTCTGTGTCCATATAGGCAAGCAAGAGGCAGTTTAAGGACACGTTCCAGCCTGGCAAAGGCATTCAAGGAGGATATGGGCTAGGACTGGCAAGGGTTGTGGCCTGGGGAAGAGTCTCGGTGGCCAGAAAGAGATGCTTGGGGCCGCATTCAGGGTGTGGACCTGAGGTTCCTCACGCCCTGGCTGCACAGTGAAGAAGCAATTCCTTCTGTGTCTGGCAGGAATCACCCGCTGTTCAACTTCATTTGGGTGGCCCTCAGTTCTGGTATTAGCCCACAAGATCCCAACCACAATGTCGAACAGCGGGGAGCAGGAGAAAGCCAAACGCCAACAGGGTCAGGGGGCTGGCAGGATGCTGATGAGGGTGCACCGGGGGAAGGCGGGCTGGAGTCTGACTCAGGAGAGGGGGGCAGTGATTTGTGGGGAACAGCCAGGAGCCCAGAGTCAGAGCCAAAGGAAGCTTGAGAGCTGGAGGGTGGATCACTGGAGGAAGACGAGGTAGAGGCAGTTCAGGCAAGGGAAGGGCTGGGTGCTTCCCCACGTTCTCCCACACCACTGTGTCCCAGAACCAGGAGGGGATCAAAGAGGGAAGAGCAGAGGACGCTTCCAGGCAGGCATAGTCTCTGGCTGCATGCACACGGCACATCTGGGGAAGATACTTAAGCTGCTGGAGGAGGAGTGACACTGGTTGCTGCAACTGCACCATAGAGCTCAGACCTGAGAATAGCTGCCTAGACACTAGGCTACTGTGCATGGGTATTTGGAGCCATGGAAACTACGGTAAGTGTCCACTTTTAACAATCACATCTGCCATGTGATTTCCTTTGGCTGGGGAGTAAAAACTAGAGCCAGTGACTGACCCAGGTAAATCGAGCCAGCCAAGCTGTATGCTATATGCCATCTTTTGGAATGTTGGGGTTTTGCGGTTATTTTCTCTAGGGGCACAAGGAGTTAGCCCTCCAAGAGGGCAAAAGTCAGGGCGCAGCACAATTTCAACACAGGGGGCCTGTGTCATCATCCACCTGCTCTGTACTATAGGGAGGCCTCTTTGCTTGTCTGGGCCTGTGAATGATGGGTACTCACCTCTGCAGGGGTCATTTCGCCAGCTACTTCATATTCATCCTACAAGGAGGGAGAAAAGGAGCCGCATTTGTCAATGCCACCCTGGGAAGGTATTGGGGAGGAGCTGAGCAAGGAAGAACAGAGAGATGGAGTGAACGGGGCAGGGAGTGAACTTGACTCCAGAAGAATACGAGGCTCTTAACAGTCCAGAATCGAGGCCCAAGGTGTGAAAAGTTCTGGGCATCCAGGGGTAGCAGGTGACAAAGAAGAGTTATGCACCCCAGCTTTGCGAGGGCAATGAGATCAAAGGCTTCTGTGCACATTTCAGTTTAAATTGAGCCCTAGTCATACATTACTTTCTGATGGGGCAATGCCACCACAAAGTGAATTTTGTCCTGCTGCTTTTGCATAGTGAATACATTGCCTGAAGGCACCCTCCTGTGGAAAAAGCTGCTATTTACTATACTGGAACTGACTCTTCAGTGTGGTAAATATCAGTTCTCACCATGCAAAGCCTTTTATGTGGTAATATTCCTACGCTTTTAAGTTGGAGACTTGTCTCCCCACAGCAATGTAAGATTGGCGTTGTCTGACAGGTAGGTTTCTGCTCAGGATTTACAAGCCCCTCAAGCTGAATGCTTCTTGTATACTTGGTCAGGGACGCCTGTGGCGCTGTGGTCTAAACCACTGATCCTCTTGGGCTTGCCAACTGGAAGGTTAGCAGTTCGAATCCATACGACAGTGGTGAACTCCCGTTGCTCTGTCCCAGCTCCTGCCAACCTAGCAGTTCGAAAGCACACCAGTGCAAGTAGATAAATAGGTACTGCTGTCGCGGGAAGGTAAACGGTGTTTCTGTGTGCTCTGGCTTACGTCACGGTGTTCTGTTGCGCCAGAAGCAGTTTAGTCCTGCTGGCCACATGACCCAGAAAGCTGTCTGTGGACAAACGCCGGCTCCCTCGACCTGAGTGCGAGATGAATGCCGCACCCCACAGTCGCTTTTGACTGAACTTAACTGTCCAGGGGTCCTTTACCTTTTATACTTGATGTGCAGACTGATAGGCCTCAGAGACACCCCAAATGCTGTGTGTCAGAGAAACCTGGTTTGTCACTGAGGGTAGTCTCTATAAGGAGCTGTGACCCCCTTTTCTCAGCTCTCTAGCATGTCAATCCTTGGGGTTGCTTCCTAGCTCCCCATTTCTTTTCTCTTTCCTTTCCGGGGTCCTTCGCCCTGCCCGGCCCCCTCTCTCTAGGAGGAGGGCATTTCTTCAAATGGCAGTCAGAGACTGTTAAGAAAAACCTACCAGAAACCACAGTTCCCTGAGTTCCTTAGGAGAGCGAACGCCTCTTTTAAGTTTGCGTTGCACAGGTCCAGACTTGGGGCCAGGATAATTCAGCCAAGAGGCAGCCCTTCTAGCTGTCAGACCTCTGTGACAATTCAGGGAAGCTGAGCAAACCACTGCCAGAGGCTTCCCCATCACCTCAAAAGTCCTTAGTGTTAAGATACACACTTAGCTGTGTGGTTTGCTGAACCAGCTTCTGGTTTTAACACACATCTTGGCAGCAAAAAGGATTCCTGCTCTTCAATAATAGATCAGATCAGCCTCTCTTCTGGTGCTTCTCGGTTAAGGTGGGTGGGGAGACAACAGGCAGCAGAAGCTGAGTTGGTGTAAAAACCGAGGGACTGGTGGCCAAAGCAACAACCCAACAAGATAATTTGAACCCCAACCAAATCATGTTATTTCTGGAAGCTCACACAGAATCGAGGAAATCATCTCAATGTTGCAGGATTTCACTACAGGAGTTGGAAGAGGCGTGAATTAGCTGGGGAAACAAGTGATTCTGAAGCAAGGATGAAGGTGATGGAGATTTCTGATTGGCTGTTCCAGAAGATCACTATATAAATCAGTTAGTTTGTAAAAAAATGGGAGGGGGGTATGGATTTTTTTTTTGGGGGGGTGCGCCACTAAGAGAGAAAAGATGAATCAAAACAAGAGGCCGAACTGTGCTGAAGGCTCTGGCTGTGCCGTTGCCCTGCTTTCACACTGTGGCACTAGATAATTTCACCTGTCAGTCAACCAAGGAAGGAGCGGCGGCCTCGGACTATTTCTTATACAGCGTCGGGAGCAATCCTGGGTTCACTCCAGACCAACGCTGCACCTTGCTTCCCTTGTACGAATTGCCCACGTGGATCACACCAAAAGGTCCAGCCATGCCCAGCATTCTGCTTCCAACAGTATTCACGGATATGCCGTGCTTGAACGTGGAGGTTTTATTCAGACTTCAGGACTACCAGACAGTGATTCGCAAATTCACAGAGAAGAGTTCTTGTTCTCTTTTTAAACTTTTGTGGTTAATTGGGGGGATTCTTTTCCTTTTCTTTTAAAAACTCACCTAAGGGAGTGGCTGGATCAGGGTTTCTCAAACTTGGGTTTTTGGACCACAACTCCCATCATCTCTAGCTAGCCGGACCAGTGGTTAGGGATGATGTCAATTGTAGTCCTCAAACAGCTGGAGACTCAAGTTTGGGAAACCCTGAGCTAGAACTTTGGGGAGGAGGGAAGGGAGATTTTGTCTATTTTGGACCTGTTGCTCCCCAAGCGTCATTGGGTCCCAAGTCATAGGGAAGCAGGACTTTTCTTGTGCAAATCACATTTAATTCAAATGACGATTGTACGGGATCATTGTTCGACCTTAGTGGAACAACACCCACCCACCCACCCACCGACATGTACATGGGGAGCGGTGATGGAAGGGAGTAATCGTCTGTACTCTCTGCCTCCAGCTTCAGCCTGGAGTGGGGAGTGCTCTTGTGTTCGAATCCTGCTTTCTGGGTTCCCACAGTCATCTGGTTGGCCACTGTGAGAACAGGATGCTGGACTAGGTGGGCCACTGGCCTGATCTAACAGGAATCTTATTATTCTCAGTATCTTGGGCAGGCCCCAGTTGTTGGGGGGGCATGGCACTACAAAACAGAAAGAAAAAACCTTCAGCACAGTCCCAGGCCTTGATGGACACATTTGGGGGAGGAAAAGGCTTCCTGCCCTGTGATTGTCTGGGTGGGAGCTGCATGGACGTGGCGTGGCCCACACTTACCGCCACGGAAATGCGGACACGCTTCGACTTGCGCTTTTCAGGCAGGCCCGAATTCTCATCCTTATTTTACCAAGGGGGGAGAAAATAAGGAAGAGAGAGAGGAATTATGGGAGTGGGACGGCTAGCACATAATTCCCAGGGGAAGAGAAGAGCCTCTGCCCAGAAACAGACCCAAACGCGGCACATGGTGGGGTGGAGGGTGGGGAGGAAAGAGGCCTCACCTCAGCTGGCTCTGCTGTTGTGTTGTTAGCGCAAAAAAGGCTCCTCAGAGCGATGCCTGGGGGGTCCACAGTCCCAGCTGCCCAGAGAGAGAGAGAGAGAGAGAGAGAGAGAGAGAGAGAGAGTCAAACATCAGAGGGGCCTCACTGGAAAGGGACACTGTAAAGCATGGGTCAGCAAACTAAGGCCTGGGGGCTGGATAAGGCCCGCCAGGGTCATAAATCTGGCCCGTGGCGCCTGCCACCCACTCAGTCAGTCGTCGCGCCAGTTTAGCTCCAGTTTAGCTCTGCAGAGAGGCGCTTTCCTGGGACTACATCTCCTAGCATGCTCCAAGGTTGCTCAGACTTCCGTGACGCTGACCAATCCAAAGCCTTAGCAACTTCAGGCCTCCCCTCCACTGGCCAGTTTGATGCGAGCTGGCGGCCAATGGCGACCCTTCCCGAACCTCACTGCTCCAACTGGGGCACAGGGCAGGGCGCCTTGTTGAAGTCTAGCTCCGAGAAGGGAGGAGAAGCAAAGGGGTGGGAGTGGAGGAGGGAGGAGGATGGACACCCTGGTGTAGGGGCCCTTCCCAGAGGGGTGGCTGCGGCCCCTCCATGCAAACCGAGACCCAGCACTGGCGGGGTGCCCCCTCCCTAGCCGGAGGGAAGGCGTGTGACTGCAGGCGCATGCGTGCGGTCCGGCCCACCGCAAGTTCTGAGGGACAGTGAACCGGCCCCCTGCAGAAAAAGTTTGCTGACCCCTGCCGTAGGGCTAAAGGGGGACACAGGACTCACTGGAGACACTCTCGGATAAAGTGCTGGAGGCTCGCTTTAGTGCCGGCTTCAGGGGCTTACGGGACTCACTTCGCGGCGGGACAAAGGAGGATTCTTCGGTGATGATCTGAGTGTTGAGGGAGAAAAAGGGACGGCGTTACAAAAGGGATCAAGACTTGGACCCTATTGCTTTGCCACCTCAAGACAACATGGGCTGCTTCTTCTGTTGACGCTACATTCCTCAGTTACGTCTGCTCTTTGCCTCTACAAATCAACATAGGCCCTCAACAATGAGCATATCTTGCCAAAATGCTAACAACAACAACAACAACAACAACAACAACAACAACAACACTGTCCAGGGTCTTTGCCCACCTGAAAGCGCACACCCGTGTCAGGCGTCTGGTGCGCCTCCTCGCCTTCTGGAACCTTCTCAGTGGCTCGACGGTCGGCCTGGGCCTTCTCGCGCATGTAGTGGAGCCGGCGTGCGTAGCTCAGCTGCTCGCTCAGGAGGGTCACGATCTGCGTGCGTTCGATGGAGCCCAGAAGGATCATGGACTCTGCAGAGGCAAGGGAAACCAGGCTGAGCTTATTTCTGGGCCGAGAAGCCATTTTTTTGCTAATAGACCAGGTGTGTGCTTTGATGGTAAAATGGCAAGCTTTTAAAAATAATTCAGAGATAGGGGACAAGACAGGGGAGAGGCAGAAGGAGATCAAGGACAGCGTGAGATGTTGTGGGTTGAAGAGGAAGCCCGAATGCTTCCTGTTCCCAGGGCACTGCCAGCTTGTCTGAAGTACAACTTTGGTACCTTCTCCATCTGAGATACGGGCAACATGCCTCCGCAAGGAGAAACAGCAAGGCCAAATTTTGCACATGACTGTGTTGGGGGAGGCACCTGAAATGTGACATTGGGTGCTTCCCATCTAAAACACCTTCATCTCCAAAGGTGCTCATGCTAGCCAGGTGTCAGGGGCTGGACTGAGGAGTAATGGTGGGAGCCGCCTGCCCACTCTCCGCACCTTCCAGAGAAGAGGAGGACAGTATAGATTTAGAGCAGTGGTTTGCAGAAGGGCATAGTTCAGAGGAAGCAGAGGGGGAAAGCTGGGAAATATTGGGGGAGCATCAGGAAGAAGAAGCACCAGGGGCAGACAGCTAACAGACTCAGTGTCTCTTGAAAACATTCCTAATCCCCCCTCTCCCACAACCAGGAGTGCCGTGAGAGTAGCAGATCAGAAATCTCAGAGGCAGGCATTGAGACTTCCTGTTTCCGGCGGTGGAAAATGGCTGATCCCACACAATCGGACTTCAGCCGTTCCGATAATTCAGGGCTGATATGGGGGTAATTAGCCCTGGCAGCCTCCCCAGGGCAGGGGAGGACTGTCTCAATGACCCGCGGTCTGCCCCAGATTGCCGATGTGGCAGACGGCAGGGGCACTGGGTCACGGAGCTAGGGACGGCTGACATTCCTGCGACGCCACCCCATAGCCGGACGCATCTGTTTGGGAAAATATAAAGATTTGGAAAACAAACAGACACGCTCTGAATTGAAGAAGCTGGAAAAAACCTGCAGTATGTACAGTCTCTGGTGCAAAAGATCGAACTTCAAAGAGATCCTCATCATGACGTTTGGAATGTGGAGGGGCTTGGTATGTAAAAAAACATTCTTTTATCCTTAACATCAACAATCCGTAATGCATGCCAAGTCTCATTAAGAACTTAAATTGCTCTTCAAAAAGTGAGTTCAGATGGACTTTCATATATAATTGGGATCTACTCGCAGCCACTTCTCTTCTAAGACCAGAAATGTCTGTTAAAGACGAAAACAAAGGATAAAGGACAAAATGGCGTCTCCCACCACGTCGTTATTGAATATCTGAAATACTTCCCTGATTAAGAGAAACAGGAGCTAACGGATGGTTGGTTATAAAGACTGGAAACAATATTACATATACAACTGTTTGCAAAAAGATGTTTTTTTGATTACGAGCGAGAGAGGGCTAAATGGATGTCTGGCAGCCCCCCTCTAGGGCCCGGAGGGGGGACTGGGAAGATTCCAAAGGCCAATTGCTAACTGTCTGATATATGGCTACATTGCAAACAGTCTGTTTAAGATAAATCAACAAGGAGGGTACAGAAGGAAATTTCTCTCTGTTTCTTTGATAACACCTGGACGGGAAAGATTAACGATCTGGGAGCTGCCAAAATAACAACTCTCAAAGAGCTGGACAGAACTTTGAAATTGGATGCAATTAAATGAAGCGGTGCGATGAAAAAACAGCTGAAGGAGTACAATATATGGACAAATCTGCACTCCATAGGAAAAAAAAAGCATAGGCTTTCTGACATGAATGAGGATCGTAGAACCAGAGTCAAAATGTGGAAGGGAAAAATCGGACATGGAATTATGAATAACATTGAGGATGATGAGAGGCAGGACTATGATGTTGAATGCGCTTCGAAATTCAGACCGTGGGAAGTCAAAACAAAATTATTACAATTTGGAAGACAATTGGACCTTTTTTATTTTAGTTTTTTATTTTTATTGGATCTGATTTGATATGTTAATTGGATGTTTTTATTGAAAAATAAATAAACGCTTTAAAAAAAAAGAAATCTCAGAGGCAGAAAGCACAGACGCAGGGCTGTCGTAGAATAGGAGTGACTGAGGGGGTGGGAGTTCACTTGGAGCAACACCATTATCTAAGAGAGACCACATTCCTTTGTTTCTCTCTGTGAATATTGAATAAACTACTTGGTAAGAACTCTTCTTGTTTTTTCTGCTTCTTGAGGGATAGGATTCCCTGAAGCCTCGACACCAGGTTCAAATGTTTGGTAAAGTGCCCCATGCAGGCATCACTGAACACTGCCACTTCAGAATACAGGCATTTCATAGAACCATAGAATTGGAAGGGATCCCGAGGGACATCTAGCCCAACCCCCCGCAATGCAGGAATCTTTTCCCCAACATTAGGCTCGAGCTCACACCTTGAAATCAAGTCTCACGCTCTACCGACAGGGCTAATTTGTGTGGGAGGGCGGAGGTGCTCCATGTTGAAGGGAAATCCTCAGACCCACACACAGAATAACACCCCTGTGCATAGAAAGGTATGGGTCATCCGGGAGAATTTATGAGTGCCCTCCTGAAAGGGGCTAGCTGTCCAAATGCAATGTTTTCTTGGTAACAGGAGCGAGTATTCAAGCATGATCCTCGCTTTGCTACGCTGGTAGTTTCTGATGAACCACAATACCTCAGAAATGCCTCTGAAACAGCCAACTATTTTGATGCAGAAGCTTTGACTGGAAGTTGCTGTTTGCTACTGCGCCTTTGTGTGCGCGCTGCCTTGTTGCAAATGGATTCTGGGAGTGAACCATGAGGTGGGTGCAATGCACAGCTGGGGTCTTGCTTTTTGGTGTGGCAAGTCAGCACAACTTCTAGGTCTTTAGATGGAGGACAGAAGACACCTGCATTCCCTGCCAGTTTATCTTGCTTATCAGGGCCTGGCTCCAATCAGTTGGCTTTGACTCCCTCCCCATCAAACTTTGCAAATTGCCATGACAACACGGCATTGTCCCTGTTGCTGCGGTAGCCCTGTAAATGATAGCTGTGGCTAGCAGGAAGATATCGATGTCGCAGCAGGGGAGCTGCGTGGCATGAAGCTGGGAGGAGAGGATCAAGCCCCAGGCAGGCAGGATGACAATGGCATCTCCCAGGGAGCAACAGGTGGCAGGCAGGAGGGATGAAAGGGGGGCAGAGAGAGGATGGTGCTGCTGCATAGTCACTTTGCCAAGAAGGTTTTTGGAGGCAAGTCTGTAAAAAGGCCCCCAGAATGCACATATTGGAAGAGGAGGTTCTGCAACCGCAAAACTGCAATCCTAGCAAGGTTCAGAACTCCTCGTGCAAATACACCGGTCAAAAACTGCAACCATGAGGCCAAATAAATCAGGACAGAGAAAAGAAAGCCCCTCTTCACACAGCTCAGAGTGAAACTCACTCCCACAGGAGGCAGTGATGATCACCAAATTCCTGATGGTTATGCTCTGCCTCCGAGTTTGCCCAGTAGCAGATGATCAGCAGTGGCTTCCTCTTACAAACAGCCTAGGTGCTGGCTCTGTACAAGCTGCAGCCTCTGGACCAACCTCGAGGGTGGTTCCATCATGGGAAGTAATAGTACCACTCTATTCTGCCTTGCTCACACCACACCCGGAATGCTGTGCCCAGTTCTGGGCGCCACAATTTAAGAAGGATATTGACAAGCTGGAACAGGAGGGCACCCAAGATGATAAAAGGTCTGGAAACTAAGCCTTACGAGGAGTGCTTGAAGGAACTGGGTATGTTTAGCTTGGAAAAGAGGAGCCTGAGAGGAGATATGATAGCCATCTTCAAATATCTTAAGGTCTGTCCCATGGAAGATGGAGCAAGCTTGTTTTCTCCTGCTCTGGAGGGTAGGACTCAAACCAACGGCTTCAAGTTACAAGAAAGGCGATTCCGACTAAACATCAGGAAGAACTTTCTGACAGTCAAGAGGTGGTGGGCTCTCCTTCCTTGGATGTTTTGAAGCAGAGGTCGGTTGGCCACTTGTCCTGGATGCTTTAGCTGAGATTTGTGCACTGAAGGGGGTTGGACTAAATGACCTCTGGGGTTCCTTCCAGCTCTATCATTTTACGATTCTGTGATTCCACATAGCAGGATAAGTGGCCACAGACATTTCCAGAGTCCCTCCAAAGAGGTGTCTGCAGCTGAGGGTACCAAGAGCCCAGCAAGTAATGGAGAAAATGTATATACGGAAGTCCTGTTTGCTCAATGTGTACGATGGATGGAGGCAGTGCCTGAGGGTGCAAAAACCTGCTGGAGCTTCATCCATGTGAAAACAAAAGCAAAACAAACAAACTTGAGAGGGATTTGAAAAGACTGCTGCGTTACTGACAGTGATTGGATTAGTAAACGTTTCTGGTCCAGTTATGTTTCCAGTTCAGCTACGGCCCTGAATGCTCTGATTTTGTTATCGTTTTGGCCAAATTATCTTGGTAACTATTCCACCGACTCACTAAATCGATACGTGTAGGAAAATAGCCTATTACATCAGCTGCCTTGGAAGAGGCGTCAGGAGAAGTTGGAGGATCTAAATTTGTCACCATGAAAGAGGCCTTCAATTAAATAATCGATGAAAACACTCAATTGTAGATGTGCAACGCTTATTATTTGCCTGCATTATGTGAGCATTGCAGAGGCAGAGACAAGCACGAGGAACTCAACAAAGCCAATAAAAAAGGGGAGGCTTGGCTGTGCTTGTCTGGCTTCTGAAGCAGAGGTGGAGACTTGGAGACTCACTCTGTGCCCTCCCCTGCCCATCGTGCAGCAGAATTTCTGTTCCAATTGGACGTGAAATTGGCAGGTTCCAGAATGAGAAGAATGGCATCTATTTAATGCAATGGTGGGAAATCTCCCAACAATTACTTAATCAGGCCTGTTGGGTCTCCCCATCTGGCCTGCGAGTCACTATATCAGGTAGCTGACAGGTGGGCAAACCTGCCTGCTGAGGGTGGGGGAAACAAGGATCTCACTCACTTCTTACAACCCCTCCCAACATCCATGACAGACGGCCATCCGACCATTGCTTAAGAACCTCCAAGGAAGGAGAGTCCATCACCTCCCGAGGAAGACTGTTCCACTATTAAACAGCTCTTACTGTCAGTAGTAGTAGAGGTCCTACCCTCTGGAGCAGAAGAAATAGTAATAATAGTAGTAGTAGTAGTAGTAGTAGTAGTAGTAAGAAGAAGAAGAAGAAGAAGAATTAATAATGTTATTTATACCCCACCCATCTGGCTGGCTTTCCATCTTGTTTCCCCAGCCACTCGAGGCAGCTTACAGCACATAAAAAAATGTAAAACATTAGACATCAAAAATTTCCTGAAACAAGCTTGCTCCACTCTTCATGTAATAACTCCTCAGATAGTTGAATATGGCTATCATGCCACCTCAGTCTCCTCTTTTCCAGGATAAATATACCCAAGTACAGTGGTACCTCAGGCTACAAACACTTCAGGTTACAGACTTCGCTAACCCAGAAGTAATACCTTGGGTTAAGAACTTCGCCCAAGGTTGAGAACAGAAATCGCACGCTGGCAGCAGCGGGAGGTCCCATTAGCTAAAGTAGTACCTCAGGTTAAGAACAGTTTCAGGTTAAGAACAGACCTCCAAAATGAATTAGGTTCGTAACCAGAGGTACCACTGTATCTATTTGTTAGTCTTTAAGGTGCCAGAAGACTATATTTTTTGCTGCAAAAGACCAACACAGAGGCTACTCCTCTGGAAAGACATTCATGAGGATCTGCCTTGCCTCTCTCTTACCAGCTGATTCCACCAAAGCCAAGCTCTTCATTTTGGTTCCATGCAGCACATCCTGAAGATCACGGTAGCGGCAGTTCAGGGTTATGTAGCGCACGTCGCGCACCATGATGTCCTCCACGCGCACATTGTACTTCCTGCAATACACAACAGGCGCTGAAGGAAGCCTGACCCATCTCTGCACTTCTCTCTGCCACAGAGTCTCCCAGCTCACTAAGCCCTGTTGCCTCTTCAGCTCCCAACACCTCCTCCTCCTCCTCCCAGACTTCTCCCTCTGACTGCTCACCGTCAACCCATCACCACTCCCCGGGCTCTGAGCCTTCTTCCTCTGGGGGTTCCCCAGCTGGTTCCTCCCACAGTTCCTCTGCGTCCAACCCGTCCCTGACAGCCACCAGGCCAACACACAGAGGCACACTTACTCCTGATGTCCCCAACCCAGCTCTGGCAAGTAGGGCAACTTCTTGATGCGGATGATGCTGTCGTAAAGAGAGGGCTGTAAGCTCTGGGCCACGGCGTTGGCCAGGATCACTGCGATCATGACTGGCAGGATGTGGGAGATCTGGCCTGTCAGCTCAAAGACGATGACCGCCGTGGACACGGTGTGAGTGACAGCTCCAGACAGAGCAGCTGCACCTGGTGGGGGTTAAGAACGGGAGTGAGGTGTGAAGGGCACCGTCCGCTCAGATGCCTCGGAAACTGTCAGGGACTGGGCAGAGGAGGAGGAGGAATAGTGGAGGCCGCCTCCCCTCATCCTGACCCTTCCAGGGAGGAGGAAGAGGAAGACAGTATAGATTTACAACAGGGGTTTTCGGGAGGTCCCAGCTCAGAGGCAGATGAGGGGGAAAGTTGGGAAATAATGGGAGAGGAGGAGGCAGAACCGGAGCAGAAGCTGGCTGACACAGTGTCTTTAGAAAGCATTTCGGACCCCCCATCTCCCAGAACCTGGCGAGCCTTAAAAGTAGGAGAGCAAAGAGCTCAAAGACAGAGGGAACGTAGCAGCACCCGTAGAGGAGACGAATGAGGAAGTGGGAGAGACGGGGGTGGAGATTTGCTCGGGACAACGACACTACCCAAGAGGCTGGGTTCTATAGCCTCTCTCAGTAACACTGAAATAAACTTTCCCTTGTCTTTATACTTTCCTGGGCAACCAGCCGGGAGCCGCTGACAGCTTCCTGACAGAAACGCATGGAGGTCTTAGAGCCAGCAGGGGAGAGAGGCAAGCAAGAGCCTGAGAAAGCCCCCAGCCACCCCAAAAGACCAGGCAGGGGTAGCCTAAGTCGGATGCAGTATGCCAAGCCCAGCCCAGCTCTCACCATGGCTCTTGGGAGCCTAGAGGCACCCCCAGCGGAAATGCCACACCTCAAGGCCTCATGCATTCCAGGAGGGAAAGGGAGGAAATGCTTTTTGGAGACCGACGCCCTCCCTCTCTTCTGGGGCCACATGTCAGGGATGGGTGGGGCCAAGGGCAAAAGTGGGCAGGGCAACCCAGGCAAATTTTGCCTTTGCACAGCAGGCTAGTTTCTACACCCCCACCCAAAACACCCCTCCTCTCTGTTCTTAACCCAGGCAACCAATATGAATTATTAGAGCTTCAGCTGGGAGGGGGGACGCTCTAGGAAAGAGTGAAGCAGGGCTGATGGAGGGCATGGTTTGTGGAGAGGCTTGAGCGACTGAGGGCCCTGGAGGGCCACATCTGGCCCCTGCGTCTGAGCTTCCACACACTCTGCTCAAAGGCCCCACTCCCAACCTCTGGACTGCTGCAGTTTGTGGAAAGGTCCATGGTGACAGAAGGAGAGGCAGAGGCGTGGGCTGCATTCACATTATACACACATTGTACCAGGCACAGGCAAACTCGGCCCTCCAGATGTTTTGGGACTACAACTCCCATCATCCCTAGCTAACATGACCAGTGGTCAGGGATGATGGGAGTTGTAGTCCCAAAACATCTGGAGGGCCGAGTTTGCCTATGCCTGCATTATACTATGATGATGCCGCCTTAAACAGTCATGACTTCTCCCAAAGGATTCTGGGACTGGTAGTTCTGCTAAGGGTCTGAGAGTTGTCAGGAGAGCCATCTTCCCAGAGTGGCTTAACAATCTTCACCAGGAAGTGCCCAGGCCCTAACCACTATGCCACCCTGTTCTTGACAGAGGTGGTGGTGGAGGAAGGGGCCCATGTCTGAAAATCCACAGTTTGAATGAGACACTCAGAAAGGATCCAGAAGCTCTGTTTCAGCTCCTATCATTCTCAAAGGCTCCTGTGCCAAAGAGGTCATGCAGAAGTCGAATGGAGTGTCAAAATTCACCTTGGATAAGGCTATCAGTAGCTCCCAGCTGTGACTGGCATAATAATAATAGTAGTAATAATAATAATAATAATAATAATAATAATAATAATAATTTATATCCCGCCCTCCCCAGATGAAGCCGGGCTCAGAGCGGCTAACAACAGTAAAAATAACACAGTTCACATAAAATCACAATCAGTTAATTGAAATGCATTCTAAAATCAATTCGATTCTAAAATCAATTCAGAGTCAAATTAACGGCAACCGTTGGGCTAGAGTTCTATGAGGATTACAGAAGGAGACATGCACTGTCTCCAAGATCAGAAGCAGTGCAGCTCTGAATACCACTTGCTAGGAAACGAAAAACAGCCCGAGAGGGTTATTCCTCTCAAGCCCTCCTTGTGGGCTGCCCACAAGGTTGGTCAACGTGGGAAAAGAAGATGGACTTTGGTCTGATCCATCTGGGCTCCTGTTACCGCGCCCTGACCCTCTTTCGATGAGGGAGTGCCCACCCCCAGCTGAACATCCCAGTTTTTGGAAGTGGTACAAGAGAAGCTGCCTCTTACCCACCACTGCGTAGCCGCCGGGAACAATGCGGTAGATGTTGCTGTCGGTGTGGATGCCGTCCGGGAACCATGCCGCCATGCTCTCGCCCACCAGCCGCCCAAAGGCCGCACCTGCCCAGAGAGACAGGGGCAGAGTCCAAAGGTGGATTTGGGTAGGTATGGTTGGAAGAAGAGCAGAGAAACACTCTGAACCCACCCGGACTCTGCAATCATCATCTGTGGCCTATCTTTGCGTGCCTCCTCCGTGTCAGGTCCAGAGAGTGGCAGCACAGGAAAGGGCCTTCTCCCCCCCAAAAAACACACCCCCAGAGTCCTTTTTGTTGGGGGTAATTCAGACTGAAATTCCCAGGTGTCAGAAAAGGTTACTTATGTATGCAACAACTGCGGCCCGTGTTTCGTTAGCCCCCAAATGGAAAATGAGCAAGGTCCCAACTAAAGAAGATTGGCAGGTTAAGTTGACAGAACATGCACAACTTGCAGACTTAACACAGAATAAGAGAACAAGAATGACATACGTTTAAAGAAGATTGGAAAACGTTTATTGAATATACGGGAAATAATTGTGTGCAAGCTGAAAACGCTGGCAGCATTAAGATAAATTCAACAGCGTAAATAATTTCTGATGGATGCAATAATGGAAAACTGATTCATATAGTTTTTGTGAAATATGCAGGGATATACAATATGCAAAATGAACCATGGAAAGAGAAGAGGGGAAGTCAGTGATATCTTAAGTAAGTAAAATATTTATCTGAAATTGTAAAACAGAAAATTTAATAAAAATCATATTGAAAAAAAGGAAAGAAAGGGCCTTTTCTGCAGTGGCTCCCCATTTGGGGAACAGTCTCCCCAAGGAGGTTTGGCTGGCGCCTTAATTACACACCTTTAGGTGCCAGGCAAAAATATCCCTCTTTAACCAGGCCTTTGGCTGATTAATCTTCTACGCTACGGCCTTTTAAATGTGTTTGTGCAGGGGGGGTTATTTTTATGTGGCTTCTGGTTTAACTATTTATTTGTATTTTTATCTTGTGAACTGCCCTGAGATCTTTTGGCGGAAGGCAGTATATAAATGTAATATATAAATAAATGATAAAAAAATAATGTGCAAAAATCCAGGCACCAAGAGCCCACAGGCAACTTGAGTTACTGCAGAAGTTAGGATGTCCATGTCCCTGCCAGCAAATCTTCCTGGCTCTTTAAGTTTTGCAAAATAATAATAATAATAATAATAATAAAGTAAAATAAAACCCCATATGTGTTTTGGTTTTTTTAATCCACAGAGGAGATGGCAACAGGGGGATATAGGACTTGGGACCAGGACAAACAAGAGCAGAAACGGCTATTCAGTATGCACAAAGGAATTATGGGTAATCTTGTGTTACGCCCTTCCGTATCACCTTGTCACCACAAGTAGCTTTAGTCAAAAGTGGTCACTAGGGTGGGTGAATATTTGTCAATTTTGGTTACTCTCAGTGTATCAGTTTTCCAACCTTAGGAAACTCAGTTTGCCTATTTTTTTGTTTAAACAAAGTTCATATAAAAATTTGCATGCATTTTCTATATGTAATTTTGTGCCATTTATCCCAACATATGGAATTTTGTGTGCAAAATGTGAATCATTTTCACTGTTAAATGCACCTTTCACACGCAAACATTGGTTGCAGAACTGCAACTTCTGAAGGACAGCTACGTTTCAGTTTGCTTATTGGTCTGGCAAGTGTGAATTAGGCCGGGTCACTTTTAAAATGCAAATGGCACGAATTTCTGTCCCGTTCCCATTGGCCACCAAGGGAGGCTGCTTGATCCTTTCTGGCAAGAGTTAAGGGTCATTGCACAGAAGCACAGAGAAAGTTCTAGGGTCTCCTACTCACCAATGACAAAGACAGGCATGAAGGCTCCACAGGGCACTGGGATGGTAGTGGCCAAGGCTGACATCCAGAACTGGGGAGAGGACAAAGAGACAGGAGCCTGTTATCAGGAGGGGAGAACCAGGAATGCCCTATCGGTGGAAGCCAAGTGACCTCTTTGTGCTGAAGCGCTGTGGGAGGGGGAGAGAAGAAAGGAGAAAGGCCCAAACCCCAGGACAGAAAAAGAGACTGAAGATTACAATTCCCACAGCAGGCAGGAAAACCTCTGCAATTTTCCAGCGGTCCCCGTTGGGGGAAGTTTGGGAACCAGCAAACGAGACCCGAGTGCCTGGGGACTAATCTGCAGCAGCGTGGTTGAAGGAACCAGCTGCAGTCTGAAATGGAGAAGTCCTCAGAATTCCCTACTGGTAGGTTTTATCTGGAAAGGGAGAAGAGGCTGTTTTGACTCCAGCACTTAAGCAATCAGCTAGTACAGGGGGAAGGGAGAGAGGAAGGAGAAGAGAGGGTGGGCAGGAAACGGAAGATATGCTTGCATTTTCTAGACCCCTCAGCAGCGTCTCGTGTACCACAGCCCTGAAGACCCAGGGGCAACTGTTTGGTGACTCAGCCCAGCTGAGTCCCAGGAAGGTAACCAGTAAAGCTCTTGTTCACGGATGCTACAGACAGCGTGGTCCCTGCAGCTGGCAACTGCTTCAGTGGCACAATGGGTCAAGCGCACCTTGCGGTTGAGTGGAAGGTTGGCGGTTCGATCCCAGCCAGGGATGGCTGTAGGGGCAGGATTCCTGCATTTCTGGGGGTTGGACTGGATAGCCCTTGGGGGTCCCTTTCCACTCTACAATCATATGATTCGACCGGAAGAAAGGGGTGACGGGGAAGGGCGACGCACCTTCATGAGGATGAAGACCACCAGGGTGACAAAGACGTTGGAGCGTGGGTGCTTCCAGGCCTCGGAGGGGCCCACGTACTCAAACTCTTCAGCCAGGCCCTGCTTGGCCCACGTGCGGTTATCGAACAGGGTCACGAGCGTCTCCTTCTGCGTGAGCTGAGAGGCGAAGAAGGGGAAGAAATCAGGGGGCGAGAAGGGAGCCATGTCTGCCCGCAAGCGTAAGCTCTGGCTGTGTGTTTACAGAACTGAAGAGGCTTAACACCGCAGTCTTCCTTAGGGACAGAGGTAATGTTGTACCAGTTGTGTGAAACGAAGTGACACCGGGCGAACGGTGGCATGTACCGTACTCCGTGTACAGTGGTACCTCCAGTTGCGGACAGGATGCGTTCCGGCGCTCTGGTCGGATCCTGAGGTTTCCGCAACCAGAGGTGCCTGTTCCGCGCATGTGCGCGGCACGATACGAGTGCTTCTGCACATGCGGCCAAACCCGGAAAAAATACTTCCGGGTTTGCCGCTTTCACAACCCAAAGTTTACGTTACCCGAGGGTAACGTAAGCCGAGGTTCTACTGTATAAGACTATCTTTTAAAATTAAAAAATCATGTTCAAAATTAGGTGTCGTCTTCTACATTGTGGGGCCGTGGGAGTAGTTGCTGCCGCGAGTTGGAGATTGTTACTGGTGGCTGCGGCAAAGGCTGTTGTTGATTCGCTGTCGCTGCAGCAATTGGGCGGGCTATTTGCTGCTTTATTTGGCGATGGGAAAGAGGATAGGTTGCTTTGTCGGTCTGGCAGGTGAGCGCTTTTTGGCATCTCCGCTGAAAAAAAGCTCAATAACTCTGACCCACCCCCAGCTTAACAACTTCAGGAATCTCTTCCCCCCCCATTTTCTTAATTTTGAGTGCCCCAAAATAGAGGGTGTGTTATACATGGAAAAGTACAGTATGTTGCATGGCTTGAAATCTTACCTTATACTGCCTGGTAGTTCTCCCTGGTTTTATTTATGTTACGTTATGCTTATGGATACAACTTATGTATTTTGCCACCCACATCATTTGATGCAGAGGTTTATTCCACACACCCCTCCCCCAGTACTTATTAAACTATCTTACAGATAGTTTAGTGGCCTGTAAGTGGATCATAGCAATAAATAAACAGGGTACCGTCAGCCCAGAATTGCAAGTTACTCTTCTTAGGTGAGTCAAGGGAGGGGGAGAGACCGTCATTATTATTTTTTTATGACTATATTTTTATTATTGATGCTACATGAAGTGTTCTTAATGCTGTACACTACCCTGGGATCTCTTGATAAAGGGTGGTATATACAATTAACAAATACTACTACTACTACTACTACTACTACTACTAATAATAATAATGTTCAAGAGCTACAAATTACCTGCCCAGCCATGAACTGCCCAAAGCCAGGTGGGAAGGTCAGTGTTGCTATGAGAAGCGTGACGAGAGCGGGGAACAGCAGGCGCCTGGAAGGTCACAGACAGCAGTGGTTAAAAAAAGAGAGTGGCCCCACTGCACGTCCCCCCCAACAGAGGCAGCGTGGTGTAGTGGTTAGAGCATCGGACTATGGCCGGGTTCAAATCCCCACTCAGCCACAAAGCTCTCCTTGGGTGTGACCTTGGGCCAGCCGACTCTACCTCACTGGGTTGTTGTGAGCCTAAAATGAGGAGCGGGAGAACCAAGAACGCCACCTCAAGCTCCTTGGGAGGAAAAGGCAGGATGTAAATGCGACAGGTGATAATAATAGACAAACAGTGGGCACAACTATGCTCCCCAAGGCTGGCAAACCCTTGGAGGCTCAGAAGGTCATTGCCGCTTGCTTGGGGAAGCAGCTGCCCCTTGGCGGATTAGCAGGCTTCCGTCTTAAGGACCAGGGGAGGTCAGTATTCTGCGACTGTCCATGCAAAGAAAGTGGATTCAGGCACATGCAAGTGGGGGGAGAGGCAGGCAAGGGAAACACCCCCACCCCAGCCTCAATTTCCCTGCAGCTGGGTGGAAGCGGTATTAGAACAGTGTACTCTCTGTATGGAAGTGAGAGCTGGACCATAAAGAAAGCTGATCGCCGAAGAATTGATGCTTTTGAATTATGATGCTGGAGGAGACTCTTCAGAGTCCCATGGACTGCAAAAAGATCAAACCTCTCCATTCTGAAGGAAATCAGCCCTGAGTGCTCACTGGAAGGACAGATCCTGAAGCTGAGGCTCTAATACTTTGGCCACCTCATGAGAAGAGAAGACTCCCTGGAAAAGACCCTGATGTTGGGAAAGATGGAGGGCACAAGGAGAAGGGGACGACAGAGGACGAGAAGGTTGGACAGTGTTCTCAAAGCTACCAGCATGAGTTTGACCAAACTGCAGGAGGCAGTGGAAGACAGGAGTGCCTGGCGTGCTCTGGTCCATGGGGTCACGAACACGACTAAAAGACTAAACGAACGACTCTCTGCAGCATTTCATACAGGGCTGCATTCACCACTTGAAATAAAATGTGCCCCACACTCACCCACATAGGAACCTCCCTAGTTTATCAGACTACTTCCGAGCCAGGGTCCCCCAGAGGTTTTGGGCTAGAATTCCCATCAGCACCAGCCAGCACGATGGAAATTGTAGTCCAAAACATGCAGGTTGGGGAAAGCTGAGTTATGCAAATATCAACTCAGAAGTAGGTACGAAAAGGGCCTCGGACCTCCATCTCCAGCCTGACCCCATCTGTTACACAGCTGGACTAAGCCAGCCTTGGGCCTCCACTGCCCTCTCTGGGGCCCCACTCATGCTCAGGACAAGGCGCCCATGTGTCCAGCAGCCGTCGTGTCTTACTTTTTCATGAGGAACCGGTTAATGGCCTTCTGCTTGCGCATGAACTGGACAATCTTCCGGTTGAAGTACACGAAGAGTGCCCCGCCAAAACCGCTGGCGATCCTGAGGAGGAGAGAAGAAGGCCTCAGTGTGGGGAGGAGGGGTCCTGCCAGGACGGAGGGAAGTGTGGGGTGGCACCAGAGAAACCCTACGAGACTCACCCAATGACAGCAAAGGCCGGCAGCTCCTGCAGGTCGAAAGGGAAGTCCAGTCGGAAGCGGGTTTTGAAGAGAGCTGTGATGGTTTCTGAGGGAAAGAGAAGGGTTTGTTTGGGGTGACCAATCTCAGGTCTCTAGGACAAGAGGTGGGGGGAATGTGGCCCCTAGGCTTCTCTACCTGGCCCTAGGAACCCACAATGTGTTGTTGTTGTTGTTTTGAAACAGCCATTATGGATTTTCTTACAAACAGATCTAGAATTGACAATGTTGGTCTGCCTCATGCATCACAATAAACCATGGTTTGCCTTCGGTAAAGGTAAAGGAACCCCTGACCATTAGGTCCAGTCGTGACCGACTCTCGCTTTATTGGCCGAGGGAGCGGGCGTACAGCTTCCAAGTCATGTGGCAAGCATGACTAAGCCCCTTCTGGTGAACCAGAGCAGCGCACGGAAACGCCATTTACCTTCCCGCCGGAGCAGTACCTATTTATCTACTTGCACTTTGACATGCTTCTGAACTGCTAGGTTGGCAGGAGCAGGGACCGAGCAACAGGCGCTCACCCCATTACGGGGATTCAAACCGCCGACCTTCTGATCGGCAAGTCCTAAGCTCTGTGGTTTAACCCACCGCGCCACCCGCGTCCCTTACATCATGGTTTATTTGCAAATGTGCCTTCTGCCTGCTGCCCAGCTCACACAATGGCTTGTTGTGTCAGATGAACCCAGACAATAGTTTGCTCCCCTCCCCAAAACAACAACAACAACAACCATGGCTTGTAAGCCAGAAATCAGCCAAGGTTTGCGCTTGTCTTATTTCTGGCTCAACACTCACAGTTTGGATGAAACGAACAAAACGGTGGCCAGGGTTCAGATGACACAGCACGCTTTAGGTGGGGAGTAGGAGAGCCATGCCCACAATTAAACCATGGTTTAAGACAAACCATGGCTTCTCTCCTTTAATCCCCAGTTATATTTGATTAAGCTTCAACATTTTTAACATCTACAGTCAATACAATTCCATCTTTTCCCTTATTTTTTCCAATGAGTTTTTTCCCCCTCCCCTTCTGGTGCACCCTATCTTCTATCTATCAGATCATAACCACAATATTATAATCTAATTACTTCCGTTGCTCATAGCTCAAATTCTGCTCCTTAAATTGTCCGAAAAAGGCATCCACTCTTCAGTAAAACACTCATCATTAGATTCTCTTAATTTTGCTGTCAATTTTGCCACTAGAACTATGCAAAACAAACTATGGCTTCTCATGATGTGCAAGCCCGGACATTGTTGTATTTGACTGGGTTTATCTTCTGACAGTTCTTGTTCTATATTTTTAGAATGACAGTTTGATGTCTTGATTTTAGGCAGGCAGGCAGGCATAAAGCACTTATTATTTTTTTCTTTTTAATGCAAGTTGAATGAGTTATTCTGATTCCCAATTTTTGGGCTGCATTGATTCAAGAGTTCTGCAGAGGGGTCATCATGATTGGTCAAGAGAGATGTCCAGTTCTGCAAGGACCCCAGCACTCCCTGGTTCCCGCCCCGGCCTCACCACCAAAGTGGACAAGTTTGGAAGCAAGCACTGGAGATGTTCCTGTCTGGGAAGGAAGACAGGAGCCATACCTTCATCCTTGTTCCACACAGCGAGAACCCGGAAGATGAAAGCACTGAAGGTAGCGGCAAAGAAGCCACGCCAATAGTTGCGGACAGCGAAGAAGGTTGACGTGACTTCGATGCTGAAGAGGACACCTGGTGGAAACAAAGAAGAGGGAAGAGTCTGGGAGCCACCAGAGGGTTCTAAACTCAATGCACATGAGGCCCCTAAACCACTACCAGGGTTCTCCTCCTAGGACTGAGTTTGCCAAACTCATAGAGTTAGAGAATGCAGTACATGTCCAGCACTGAATGGAAAACAGAGGCTGCATCCAGGCTGGCAGCCTGGCTCAACTACTGATCCAACGGCAGGTCCAGTCCCAGCTCCTCAAGCTGGGAATTACTGAGCTGGGAATAGACAAAGGCCGCAGCTGTGCTGTGAAAAATCTGGCAGATTTTTCAGACTCCAGAGCAGCTAGTGAGGGCCAAACAACACATTACGCTGCTCATGCTTTTTTTAAAAAAGTGTGCATAAAGTTATCTGCTGTTACTTTGAAGGAAAAGTGGCAGTAGGCCCCAATCCTAATAGGGACTCATGTCAGTTTCCTTCCCCACATTTGTAGTAAACAACACCTTTGGAGGCAAAGAACAGCTGGGGGGGGGAATTTGGGGCAATAAATAGGAGTGGGGTTCTGATCAGAGATCCTGCTGACTGCTTTCCTTTCAAACGAAAGTGTCCAAATTTTGCACTTTTTTCTTAAAAAAAATTATCATTTAGCAGTTGAACTTCCTTCCTTTCTTTAAGTGACACCCCATACTTGAAGTATAGCAATGCTGTTCAAAGGTTTAACGTAAATATTTGTGTGTGTGTGTGCCTATCTTTCAAAATCGGTTTGCTCAGTTCCGTGCTTTGCTTCCTCAGATGCCAGTGTGTTCAAGCTACAGGTCTAAATATTATGACAGTTCCAAAGTGCAAGCAACATTCTGAGATTTCTTACCGAGGACACAGTTTCCCCGCCAGTTAAGTGAACACGGGCAAGAAATTGTTTCTTGACAAACATCACATTGCCAAAACCAAAACACACAACACGCACAAGTCGCCATGCCACAACTGTCGGCAAATGCCCTTCTGCGAGGATGGATTTCAAAGCTTCATCTCTAATCAGCCACCAGCTGGTAAGATTAATCCCCCATTTCTCCAATGAATGCCTTCCCTGTTTGCTAAGGAATCCCAAACCAGAAAATTGGGCTGTGCTTCTAGAGCAAGGGGTAGTTAGCCCCTGGCTCAGAAGTCCAATTTGCATCCCGAAGAAAATTCTTCTGTCCCTGTGAGATCCCAATGGTAAATATATATATATGAGGTAGATACAGAGAAGTTTAAGTTTCTTTGCTCAGCCCAGCACCCTGATGGGGATATAAATGACCCCTTTCCAATTCGCACAGATCAGATGAAGGGGGTGGTGGTTAGGGCTGGGCGATATCTGGTTTTTAACATAATGATACATCACCAGCTAAACATCGCGATATACTGATATATCATGATGTCTGAAATAAGGATGGAGCTATGTAGAGGTACTGGCTGGCCTCAGGGTTTTTCCTGCATCATGGTTTTTGCTGGCGCCTGCTTCTGTGATTTGCTGCCTGCTGCAGGAGGCAGGAGAGAGCTGAGCGGGCAGACTTAACAGGGGCTGCAGGAATCGAGAGAAGAAATGGCTAGCTTCACGGTTTTCCTCACATGGTGTTTTTTGCATATCACACATAAACAAACACACATCATGATTCACAATATATCGCCAGGTCGGAAATTATGAAACCAACATCACGATATGGACTTCAATACAGTTTTGGGTGATATATTGATATGTCGCCCAGTAATGGTGTCTCTGTATATGTTGTGCACATGAACATGCATGAGAGTGCAAGCAGGGTGGCCCAAGGACAACTGATATGCAGCAATCAAGAGGGATGGTCAAGGATGAATCTTGGGCTAAGAAGAGGCAGCCCCCCATTGTTCTAGTGGTCAGCATGGGGAACTATACACAGTACCGCTTCCTGTCCCCTGCCTCCTCCCCCCTCAATAATCTCCATTTTTGAACCCTTGTCCCGCATTAGTGGGACCCCACCCTACCACACTCCCCCTTCCCTTGTCCTGCATCACCACGACTGTTGCTTGGAAGCAGGAGACCACAAAAATGGTGCCAGCCTGAGGGTGGAAGGAGATGTTACAAGAGACAGGAGTGAGCAGAACTCGGTCCCTCTTTCCATTGGCTTTCCGGGAACATGCCAATACAACCCAACTCAGGCTGTGTTCTTCCCTGCCTCTACTGCTAGAAGTCAGCAAAATGAAACGAGGGCAGAGAAAGTTGAGGTATGAGGGACTGAACCCTCAGGCACAGCAGGAATTCTTCCATGGCACTAGAATCCCTCTTTCTGGAAAAAGCGCTTGATTGCAACTATTAATTTTGTTGTGTTAGAATCTGGAATTTGCTCCCGCAAAATGGAGTGGATTGCTTCAAAACAGAATTAGAAAAAAACCCTCATGCTCTTGGCCATAATAGTAATAATAATAATAATAATAATAATAATAATTTATTATTTATACCCCGCCCATCTGGCTGAGTTTCCCCAGCCACTCTGGGCAGCTCCCAATCAAGTGTTAAAAACAATACAGCATTAAATATTAAAAACTTCCCTAAACAGGACTGCCTTCAGATGTCTTTTAAAGATAGGATAGCTGCTTATTTCCTTGACATCTGATGGGAGGGTGTTCCACAGGGCGGGTGCCACTACCGAGAAGGCCCTCTGCCTGGTTCCCTGTAACCTCACTTCTCGCAATGAGGGAACCGCCAGAAGGCCCTCGGCGCTGGATCTCAGTGTCCGGGCTGAACGATGGGGGTGGAGACGCTCCTTCAGGTATACAGGACCTGAATATATAATATTGGAGATGGCATTTCCTCTGAATATTGGTTCCTTGGGAATGCAAGCAAGGAGAGGCCTCTTGTTCTCAGGTCCTCCTTGCTAGAGACATTCAGCTAGCTGCTGTGAAAGAGGATGCTGGACGAGATGGCCCACGGGCCTGATTCAGGCTCTTCATGCAATGAGTAGCTGTGTGCCTTTGCAGATCTAACCGCTGCCGTGCAATGCCCTGCCTTGAAGCCTCTCTCTTTATTTGCTCTCACCAGCAAATTCTATCCCTTCCTTCCTGCAACTGCTGCGGATTGAATTCCTCTTAAAGAGAGAGGCAGGCTGGATGGAGGGCCACTTAGTCACTTAGAAGCTCCCTGCGGTGGGGCATTCCCACCCCCCATCCGCTGGTTTCGCTTGGCTTTTGAACTCGTACGTCTGCACACGCCAACAGGAAACTCCCATTCATGTATGCAGGTGTTATCTGGGCAAATGAGAAAGGGCCTCCCTCCCCTTCCTTCTTTTGGCAAAGCTGGCAGAAAGGGAAAGACACACACAGATACACAGACCAAGCCTTTGCTCACAACAGAAACCAACATGGAAAGGGAGACAGACACCAGTCACCAACCTAGAAGAGCAAAAGCAGCGGCGAAGAGGATGTACAGGAAGGACTGCCTGGGAGGAGCCCGCAGCAAAAGGGGGGAAGGAGGAAACGAAGTTATGCCTGCAGTTGGAGAGAGGGTTCGCCCCGACCCCAAACCCCACCCCAGGCTCACATCAGCTGCACGGTGCACTGAGTTATTGCACTTATTATTATCCAAGATACTATACAACAGCTCTCCCTCGCCTCCCTCTTTATATCCTCAGAACAACCCTGTGAGGTGGGGACTGGCCCAGGGTCAGCCAGTGAGACTCATGGCTGACCGCAGGTTTGAGCGCCGGTCTCCTGGGTCCAAGTCCAACTCTCTAAGCTCTGGCTCAGCGTGTAACCTGAAAACCCAAAATACTCAGGGATCAAATGATGGAGAACCCTTTGCTCAGCCCAGTTAAGGAGGACGCAAATTGTTCCTTTCCAATCCTCATGGTTCAGGGGGCTTATATTGAGGCTAGGCTCCCCAGCTCTCCCTAATAATAATAATTTTCACTTATACCCTACCCATCTGGCTGGGTTTCCCCTGCCACTCTGGGTGTTGCTTAGGCCCCAGACTCCATTTTTTGGCACTACCGAAGAAGAGACTGCACTTAAGTGCGTGCAGAGTGCTATTTCTCTCGGTCCTTAAGCACAGCCAGCTCCCTTGTAACTAAGACTAGGGTGCAATAACTTTTAGGCTTCATTTCTGCACTGAGCAGAAGCAAAGACATATTTTGGGAGATTGGCGTGACCCTGTGGACATTGTCCGCCAGGGTTCACCTCCCCAACCAGAGGGGATCCAGCTGAGAGAGCTGTCCCATCTCTTCTCACTCCCCAGACCCTGTAAAGCAGACCCTTCCCAAACAGCTGCTACTCTTTGCTCCCTCTGTAGAGATATGGGAAGCAGGAGAGGTTGGTGGAGGGCGTTAGCTGGGGGCCACTCCTTCCTCAGAAAACTCCTCCCACTAATCCATTTGCAACTGGCCACAGCAGTTAGGCAGGTGGAAGTGAATGCTCTGGGCAGGAGCTCTCACAGGCTGGTGTTCATTGCGCCTGGTAGGGTGGGATACAAGGAGACAAACAGTAGGTGGCGCCAGAGCCAATGACAGGCAGAGGAGCCAACTCAACACTGTCCTCCTCCCTGCTGTTCTATGAGGGTGACACTGAGACTGAGAAGAAAGCTGGCAGCCAGGCAATTAACCAGCGTTTCACTGTGAAATTCTCCTACCTATTTTTGTATGCGATTTAGCCTAACACACACACATTTTAGCACAAAAAAATCCCCCATATAATGAATTTGTGCACGTTATTTTCACTAGTGTGTGCATTTTTATGCGCACGTTTCCCTAGCATGTGTGTGCATAAAAATGCATATATTAGTAATAAGATTTGGAAACTGTTTTCTCCAGGTCACTCCACACATCTCTCAGGCCATTCGATGTGGATACACTTTCATTCAGGTTTTGGGTGTGTGTGTTTTTTTGTAGCCAGCCCCAAATCAAAACATAAATCACAAAAAGCAAACAAGGCAATCCTAGAGTGCAAGTTAAGACATCACTTTCAGCCTGGCAAATTCTTAAAATTTGAAATTGTGAAGTTCACCAGATCATTTAGATTGCGGGGGAGGGGATCCCCTTGGCTGGCCACACTGTTTTAAGTTTAACACCCCCCAAAAAAGCCCATACATAACTTTCTCACTGCTAGCTTGTATAAAGCTATTCTCCAGGCAACAAACTTGTCTATATTGGCCAGCAACCATCTGATTCTGAAATAGCCTGATTTACCTTCTTAAAAAAAATTCTGGAAAGAGCACAGGAATCTATCCCAGGTGACTTCTGATCTATCACAAGGTGGGTTGCGATTCAGAACATAATGCACAATGTAATTCAATCTGGCTTGATCTGCTTATGCATAAAGGCAGTCACTTCTAGGCCCATTAAAGAATTTACCCATCAGACTTAAGGGGGGGTTGGCTTGAAATCTGAGTAGATGCATGTTTAAGGGGGGGGGTGTTGATAAATTACTAGGCGATCCTCAAGGTCCCTTCCACCTCTACAACTCTATGATTCTAAAACCAACTCTTTTGTGGTTGGATTTAATTTTAATATACAAAACTAGGGATTTGGAACTCTTCGTATACTCAGAGTCCATTTTGGTATCCTTACCTCCAATTGGAGCAGCAAAGCAACAGCCAACACCCACAGCGCAGGCAGCTGCCAGCATCTCAATATTGCGGGATTCGTTCTGCAAAAGAAGCCCAAAGGGCACAGAATCCATGAGGAGCTGCTCAAAGAGAAGCAGGTCTGAAGGGATGGGTGACTTCCCCTTGTCCACTGCAGAGAAGGGGCTCTTTAAGAACCAGGTTAACTTGAAGCAATGGGCACCCGTTTTGAATCGGTGCTGTGGCGCCCCTGAAAAGCTAGCCCCCCAAAATTGACATGTTTCATCAGAGAAAAGCCGTTGCTAGCATTTGTTAAAGCTTGGAAACCTCTCGTGGACTTTTTGCGTGAAAAAGAAATGACATCTGGATTTGAGGATTGAAGACAACATTTGTTTATAGAAAGTAGCTTTGTTGGGAGCAATGTTAGATTGGATGAAGAAAATATTGTTTTATACAGCAGACAGATGAAGAATTGGAAGTTCTTTCTTTTCTGAATCTTATTTTTCTGTCTTTCTCTCTTAACCAATTTCCTCCTCTTTTTAAAAAAAAATTCTTTCTTCTTCTTCCTCTATTTCTTTCTCCCCACTCTCCTCTCTTTTGTGTTTTTTATTGTATCTAGATAAAAGTTTTGGTTTGGTTAAGAAAAGAGAAAAGATCTAAAGTTTTGAATTTTCTCTATAAACCTTAATATTTTTTAAAAATAAATAAATGAAAAACTTGCCCCACCATCTGAAAGCCCCTGCTTGATACGTCTACTGTGCTTCTTGACTCCTGCAGCAAGAAGCTCTGCTCAGAGGTTCTCCAAACTGGTTCTCTCACCCCCTCAGCACCTTGCAACCCCAATACTAATACTAATACTAATACTAATACTAATACTAATATTATTTATACCCTGCCCATCTGGCTGGGTTTCTCCCAACCACTCTGGGTGGCTTCCAGCAACTATAAAAACATACTAAAACATCAAATCCAGGTACAGAAGATTTTGAAAGTTTTTTGAAAGTTTGTAGTTCTTTATCTCCTTGACATCTGATGGGAGAGTGTTGTCGGGTTTGGGGAAATCGGATCCCTCCCCCGGTGACAGTGATTAAGAAGATCAAACAAAAGGAGCGTTCTTACCAGAGTGGCTGGGGAAACCTGGCCAAATGGGCGGGGTATAATAAATAGTAATAACAATAATAATAATTATAATATACCAGAGTTTCTTTCATAATCACAGCAAGAGAAAAAGGAATGCATATCTCTCTTTAAAAAATGGCGTTGCTCCCAGTAAAAGTTTACCCCCTCCTTCCCCATTAATCTACGTCACTCCTACATCGGGGATAATCTGAGTTTGCTGTCGCTACACTTTCTGCTCTATCACTCTCAGAGCCTGTCTAGTCCTAGACGAATGGGGGGGGGGTCAGGAATGCTGTCCAAAGACAGTGAATCTGCCAGCTGTCTCTCTCCTGGTGTTTGCGCTTCTAGCCCCAGGACTTCCCAGCTTTTTCCCTATGGACTATATCCTTCTGCAAACCACTGTTCTAAATCAATATTGTCCTCCTGCCCTTGGGAGACGGTTCCCACCATTCCTTTCTCAGTCCAGTCCCTGACAGGCATTCCACAGGGAGGGTGCCACCACTGAGAAGGCCCTCTGCAGTCAGAGGGCCTTTCACAAGATCCTCACACCTCAGAACTTTGCAACCCCATGTGTCTCACCTCATAGATGCCACCGAAGAGTGAGAGGAACTTGCTGAGGAGGGCGGCACACATGCTGGCGATGTGGACAAACGGTCCCTGTGTGGGGAAGGGAAAGAGGAGTCAGCAAGGTGGCCATACCTGCCCCACGACACACAGATCCTTTGAGAATCAAGCAACAGCAGGTTCAATGAGGGGGACATCTCCTGTTGCCCCATACCAATGGAACTCTTTCTCCAATAAGTCCTCAATCCGGTCAGTCTTGCCCCCATCCTTTGTGCCCCACCTGGCTGTGTCTCAGCAGCACCCCTCACCTCTTTGCCCAAGGGCATCCCACTGCCCAGGGCGCACGTCAGGCCAATCACTTTGGCCACAAAGGTCTTGAGGGTAAGGTACTCTTTCAGCACCACACCCCGGAGAATTGTCTTCATTTCGGGGATGCCAGAGCCTGGGGAGAAAGAGAGAGACAAAGGGATGAAGGGAGAGAAAGGGACAAGAAGAGGGAGCTATACAGAGAAATAAATGGAAAGCTGTGGTCCTCCGGGTGTCAATGAGCTACAGTATCATCATCCCTGGCCACTGGCCATGTTGGCTCAGAATGATGGGAGTTGGAAGCCCATAAACGCCCGAAGAACCACAGGCTTCCCACCCCCTGCTCTTGCAACTGCAAAATAAGTGACCTCTGCGGAGCAGAGACAGGGCACACTGTGTGCAAGTAAATCAGATTCAGCCAGTTCACACGGAAATGAAAGTCTAATACGGAAATTTCCAAGGTCTGGAACACTGAAGCTTTTTGCAGAGATAATGTTGCTGCCCCTCCAGAGCTGAGCACAAAATGTGGGGCGAGGAAAACTCTGGCAGAAAAGGTTGTTTTCATAAGCCCCTTGGAAATGATACCTTTTGTCCCAACAGGAATCCGCTATCCCTGGACTCACCTACAGCTTGCGGAGCCAAGATCTGAGTGAAGCCGGCTGAAAAGGTGATGAGGACCACGGGGTAAGTGACCCAGGCCATGTACTGCAGGAAGATGTTGGCATCCAAACCCCCATACATCCACTTCTGGGCTGCACAGAGACAGAAAAGGAGAGGGTACTTTTGTAAAGTGTGCAAGGGGGACGTTCTCGCCTGGTAAGCCCGGGGTGAGAATCCTCTCTCTCTGCTGAAGGCAGCTATAGCATCAAAAGGGCCCCTTTTCAGGAGGCCAAAGGAAAAAGCAGGTGGGATTTTTGCAGGTGATGCTCACTCTCTGCTCCAGCTGCATCAACTAAGGACCAAGCCTAATATCTTGGCTTCCTAGTGGTGCAGCAATAAAACTGCTAGCATATTTGCAAAGCTAAGCTGGGGCCAGTAGGTTTTCAAATTGGATGGGGGACTGCGTGTTGAGATCAGAAGGTTGAATTAAATGACCCTCGGGGTCCTTTTAAAAGAGAAAGGATGAGGGTAAATATTCAGGGGATAATAAAGACGCTCCACTGAAGTCAAGAACAGACATCAGTAGAAAAGGGGTATGCAGGCAAAACTTCTATATCTTTATGCCCTTGTTTCCCAATCTCTCTCTGCCCAGGACTTTTGTTCCTCCAGTTCTACCGTTTGCTATCTGGTCCCCTAGTCTCCGCCTTCCTTAAAATGACTCCAACTTTCCTCCCTTTCATGCCAAGGGCCTTGGACCCCATGGAGAACAGCCAATTCATAGCCCTGTGGGCTGGAGCAGCCAGCCGGCCCATCCAGTTGACAGAGGGGAGCACCAGCCTTCCTCTCGATGTCACCGTGTGTCAACACTTTTCTTACCTTGCAGGCAGGTGGCGATGGCAAAATCCATGGCCCAGCTCACCAGGGCCATAAGCAACCCCAAGAGGATCAGGAAGATCCAGTCCTCGCCCACCTTGGAGATGAGGAACTTTTGGCACCGCACAGTGCAGACTGCAGGAAGAGAAAGAGAGAGAGGACGTATTAGGAATGGAGATCAAGGGCCATGAATGTAGAAATAAACAAATGAAATACTTTCTGTATAAATTGGGGTTGCCAACATGGCGTCAGCGGGTGCAGGGGGGGGGGCCTTGAGCACCCCTTCCCAAGCACTTCCCCCCTTGGTCATGAGGCATAGAGAGCACCTTTCCCTACCTTGATTCTCAGTAAAACCTTACCTTGTGGTAAGGTTAAAGCTTACTGGGAAATGATATATAATGAATTGAAAAAGATGTTCAAAATAACTTTTATTTTAAAAAACCCAGAAGCTTTTCTTTGGGGCATCATAGGGACAGAACTACCTAACTTGTATAGAAATTTATTCATGTATGCTACTACAGCAGCAAGAACGCTACTTGCTCAAAAATGGAAATAAGCAGAAGCCCCAGCAAAGGGAAAAACTTACGGAATATGCAGAAATAGCAAAACTTACCAGAAGAATAAGAAATCAAGATAACAAACTCTTTATAAAAGAATGGAAATGGTTTATTAAATATTTACAGATAAATCATAAACAGATTAAAACATTAGCAGGATTATTGTAATAACCTGCAGTTTTATAAGAGTACTGTAATTTACAGTAGGTAATTAAATGAGTAAACCAAATTAATTTGGATGTGCAGAAGTTATGAAAAAATGAATTTAAGGAACTGCAGAAAGAGGGGGAAGGAAGTCAAATTTTGAAATGTTAAATGGATTGTAAAATTAATGAAATGCATAAATTTGAAAAGTATAAATAAAAAACTTTTTTTAAAACAAGATTCTCTGTAAAACCAATCCACTGTACACGTTGAGTGGCTTTCAAACATTAATCCCAGCACACGTGTTCAGCTACTGATCTCTGCCACATGTACAATTCGTGAACACACAGTGACGGAGACGTGCCAAGCCTCTGCAAACACGACGGTGTGTACCACAAATAAGCGCGGTGCTCGCTCCTAATCCTTAGATTGCAGCTTGCTGGGGTTGTTCAAACTCAGCAGCCCAAAGCTGGCTCCTTTTCCTTTCCTTACTCTTTTAAAATCTCCGGTTACTTTTCAAGCTGGGGGGCGGGGGGAGGGAGGGGAAACATTTATATTTTTAGACGTTTCCGTGAAACTAAATTGTTTTGATTCGAGTAACGACACACATTCAAGATCTGAAAAGGGACCTCTTGTCTCAGCAGAGGCGGCAGCGCCAACAGCCTCTGCGGAGGGGGGCGGGCGGAATCCATGAATGAGTTTGAATAAGGAGTTGCATTTTAAGAACCGCAAATAAAAGCTTTGGGTCAGCCTGAACAATGATTGGCAAACTTGCCTCGGCCAACTGGAACACAAGACTCTGTCGCCAATTTGGAACTCTACGCGAAAGCTTGTTACATAACCACACAAACATGCACCCGTGTGTCCCCTAACGCTCACATAAAGAGCTTCATCAATACATTACTTTTGGAGTCAGCCACAGTGCTTGCTTTCTCTAGAAGCAATCACAATTAGCATCAGTGCGGACCGGTAGCTCCCTCCAGTGGAGACTTGAGAGCTGTCCTAAATGCAGTTCCTTGCCCACCCCCCGCCAATATTCTCTTTTTTTGCTTTGCTAAAAGAAACAGCTTGTTCCTCCACACCCAAAACCCATAACATTCCCCCCCCCAAACAAGACATCTGTCCCCATTTGTACAAACAAACAGCAAAAAAACAGCTTCCTTGTAAAAAAACCAAAAAACAGACAAGTTAGCAAAGGCATTAGAGAACACATAGCCAAAAACTGATAATAAAATACAATTACTATTTTAACCCAACACCAGAACAGTAACAGCTTCTTCTTTTCAGGCAAGTTCCAGTCCAACAAGATCTCTTCAAGCCTTTTTCTTTCTCCTTGTTGCAGAGTCCCAGTCCCAGTCCTGCATCCCAGAGCAGCTTACAGTCTCCCACATTTGGCAGCCTCAAATAGGGAGTTCTGACATGTTGAACCCAGGATGCAAGCCTCAGTACCAGAACTTAGTACAGTGGTACCTTGGTTCTCGAACTTAATCCGTTCCAAGAGTCCATTCGACTCCCGAAACTGTTCGAAAACCAAGGCACGGCTTCCGATTGGCTGCTGAAGCTTCCCGCACTCAAGTGGAAACCACATCGGGTGTTCAGCTTCCGAAAAATGTTTGCAAACTGGAACACTTCCAGTTCTGCGGCGTTCAGGAGCCGATTTGTTCGGCAACTAAGCCATTCAAGAACCAAGGTACGACTGTACGCCAAAACCTTGCTCATCCTTTGCCTTGGGCTACTGCAGCGCAAAGCAGTTATCTGGGTGCACACACAGCTATCGAAACAATTCCTTAAAATCTTCAAAGAGTTCCCATCGATGCAGACATGCAAAAAGCATTTTAGGAAGGATCACTATGGGGTTGCCTGCATGACTCTTTGGCTCGGGATTTCACAAACTTCTCAGTCCATGCAGATCAACAGCTAATTTGGGGCTCTAATTGCAGGCTCAGTCTTCTGGAGCCTCTTGATTTCTCCTTGGCCTCTCCTCTGGTTGTGGATCAGACCCCCAAATTCACACTCTAGTCCCAAAACAGTTTCAGTAGCCACACGCTACTGGGTTTCCCCAGCCATTTTGGGCAGCTTACAACACATAAAAAATATAGTGAAATGTCAAACATTAAAAACTTCCCATTTGCTGCCCCTGGACTGGTCCACTTTATCTCCTGCCCAAACTGTAAATCAAAGTCCTACCACAAGCCTCTATCACAAGCTTCTTCAGGATCAGCCGGCCCAGTCCATGCAAGTCCGTTGCCAAGAATGCCCCTCTCTGCTTACTCCCAACCTCTCCTCATGGGCAGGTAGCCATCCCAGTGGCTCTTGCCCATCAAACTCACGGGACCCTGGGTGTCCCTTCCTGTTGGGGCCTGCTTAAGGGTTGCACCCAGTATAGGGACTGGTCCCCACTGCACAAGCCCATCTTGGTGAACTCAAAGGGCTAAATCATTGGGGGGGGGGTTAATCTCACCCAATTCAGCATGAGCTCCTCTGGCACATGCACACAGGCCTCCAGCTTCTTCTGTGTGTTTTCCTCTGCTGCACATTCATGTGCATCTCCATTCCTCCTGCTCACGCATGAGCGCCTCTTGCATCTCCTCCTGCACCGTCAGCAGGAGCTGGCTGCTCCTCTGGCACATGCATGCAGGTCTCAAGACTTCCCTGTGTTTTCTCCTCCAGTAAGGAAGCCACCGTCACTTCCCTCTTCTTGCACATTCACACGCACCTCCAATTCTTCCAGCTGCTCCCCGTCTTCCGTAGCAGGCTCCCAGGGAGTGGAGAAATCAATCAGCGGCTCCTCGGCCCCACCCAGCTCACCCTTCTCTGAGGTGAGTCTTTCCTTCAGCTACCGTACGCATCTCTTCGCAGTCCCAGCCCCTCAATTGCCCATCCACATTCTGGATCTCTTCAGCCACCTCTTCCACCTGGATGCCTTGTACCTGGGCTCCAGAGTCACTTTCAACGCCCTGTAGCATCTCATCAGGCAGGGCTTCCACCTCGCCTGGAGTCACACTTTTCTCTCCAAGGAGGCTTCTCACAGATTCTGCTTGCAGCTGCTTCATTTCACTGAACCACTAGTTCTGCTGCTCTATCCGGTGCTGGCCTTTGCTGCTGGATCATAAGCCTGAACCGCTCCGGTTATGTTGCTGTTCCTCCCTCCAGCTCACAGGCCCTTCCTCCAGGAAACACGAATCCCACTTCTGACACCGGTGTTGCACACTACCCCAATCTCTGAGTGGTGCAAGATTCCAGGGAATCCAGGCACTTATGTTTCCTTTTGGAACACAGGTACAGCAGAGACTTTGGTGTCTACATAATTTATGGTTTATTTACACGTATATACAACCCGAGCCTACAGTGGAGGGGTTCACAGCATTAACTCCTCCAAAATGCCTTTTTCCCCATAGCCACAGCCGTGGATTCAAACTGAAATCAAATGTTGCTCTCAGACGTTGCTCTGACTCTGCAGCTTGCTATTTTACTTCTAGATTACATCACTGCAACTCAACTCTAAACTCTCTAACCATGATCGGGCCCCTACTAGGGCTGTGCAATATCAGGTTTTCAACATCGTGATGTATTGCCAGCTAAACATCGCAATGCAGAGATACATCACAATGTATGAAAGTAAGGGGGAAGGAGAACTTCAAATTGGTTTGAATTGGCTTGGTAGCCAGCCAGCCCTCCATATCAGTGACATCGTGGCACAGTCTCTCCCCAGAGCCCACCCTGGGCCACCCCCAGCTCCCACTCACATTGAGGGTCACATCCTGCAAACAGCGACTACCAGGAGCTGCTCCATGGGTACCGCGGCGCAGCTCCCATTTGCCGACCACAGACACCACCACCAAGCAACCATGTAGCCTGCCTGGAAGAGAAGCTTATGGCAGCAGCGCCAGAGGAAGTTCCCAGTCTGCCCCTGCTTTGTGCTTTGCTGTCCCCTGAAGGAGGAAGGGGAGAGCTGAGATGGCAGAGCACCAGACAAAAGTTGGCTTTGTGCAGTTTATTGGCAAGTCAGATATTTTGAACCGGCAATTGCAACGTGGATTTCAAACTGGTTTGCAACGATTTATCATTAAATTGCCCAGACCTAGTCTCCACCTGATCGCCGAAGAATTGATGCTTTTGAATTATGGTGCTGGAGGTGACTCTTGAGAGTCCCATGGACTCCAAGAAGATCAAACCTATCCATTCTGAAGGAGATCAGCCCTGAATGCTCACTGGAAGGACAGATAGTGAAGCTGAGGCTCCAAGACTTTGGCCACCTCATGAGAAGAGAAGACTCCCTGGAAAAGACCCTGATGCTGGGAAAGATGGAGGACACAAGGAGAAGGGGATGGCAGAGGACGAGATGGTTGGATAGTGTTCTCGAAGAGATGAACATGAGTTTGACCAAACTGCGGGAGGCAGTGGAAGACAGGAGTGCCTGGCGTGCTCTGGTCCATGGGGTCACGAAGAGTTGGACACGACTAAACGACTAAACGACAACAACAGTCCCCATCCATTGCCCATCTCACACAGAGCCCCTTTCCTTTGTTTCCCCCTTAATGGCTTATCACCTTGACACTGGAAGTTAGCCTGGCTTATATTTTAACACTTGCTGGATCCAGGAGTTAAAAGGAGCTCATATACAACCCTCAAGAGAGAAGCCAAGTTACAGGGAACCAGGCAGAGGGCCTTCTTGGCAGTGGCGCTCACCCTGTGGAACGCCCTCCCGTCAGATGTCAAGGAGATAAATAACTACACAACTTTTAGAAGACATCTGAAAGCAGCCCTATATTGGGAAGTTTATGTTTGATGTTTTATTATGTGTTTAATTATGTGCTGGAAGCCACCCAGAGTGGCTGGGGCACCCCAGCCAGATGGGCGGGGTATAAATAATAAAATTATTATTGAAATTATTTTTACTCCCCACCCCAAAAGCTCCTAACAAGCTTTTAATAGCAGGGCAGACTTTGAAGCATTAAGGAAATGTTTGAAGTTCCCTTTGACACAAAAACTATAGTCATAAGAGCGAATAAGTCTCAGCTCACTAAAACTAATCAGAACAGTTGCATGACCCATCTGCTGTAAAAAGGCTGTAGGCTTTAAACTCATTCAACATTTCCCCAGTTGGGAATTAAGGGGAGCCTCACACTGAACAACTTACTGAGTTGGTGCTGGCTCTCTTGGTCTCTGTGCCTTGCACAGCTCAACAAGGTTGTTGGAACGATAAAGGAGACAAGAACCATTAAGCATTCTGTACCTTCAGGACATGGTTAGGACTCCCCATCAACACCCCCCTTGCTTTCAGTCTTATCTGCAGATAAAGGAGCAGGTTGTTTCTCAATGCATCATTCAGATTTCACTGCTCTCAAACCAAGAGGTTGAGGAGGAAGAGAGCTATGAAAAAAGGGGTTGAAACCAAGGGTACGTAATTTGCAGCACAGACTTAGGCTTGGACCACAATACCTCAAGGACTGCCTCTTTCCATATGAATTTACCAGGACCCTGAAATCATCTTCTGAGGCCCTCCTTTGGGTGCCTCCTCCTCGAGAGGTCCAGAAGGTGGCAACACGAGAACCTTCTCTGCAGTGGCTCCCCATCTGTGGAATGCTTTCCCCAGGGAAGTCTGCCTGGTGCCTTCATTATACACCTTTAGGCGCCAGGCAAAAACGTTCCTCTTTAACCAGGCTTTTGGTTGATCTGATTTACATCCTATGCCCTTTTAAAATGTCTTTTTTTGGGGGGGGTGTTATTGGATTGTTTTTAGTTTTAATAGGTATTTTGTGGTTTTATATCTTGATTTTATTCTGGGAACCGCCCTGAGACCCCCAGGTATAGGGCGGTATATAAATTCTAATAATAATAATAATAATGTGTTGAGCATGCTGCTTTATGGAAGTGAGTCATGGGCAACTTACACCCGCCAGTAGTGCAAGAAGCTCCAGCGGATCTCTCCCAAGTGAGTGACACCAATTTACCACCTCTATCGCTTCCGTATCACGGTCAAGGGATAGAAGCAAGAGGTAGTGCCGTTATCAGCATGCTAATGAAAGTTGACCCAAAACCTCTGGCTGATCTCTCTTCTTAGGCTCAGGTCACTGCTGGAGGCAAGAAATAACTTGGTGGCCCTCAGCCAATATTTTGGCAGTAGATGTCCAACATGGACCAAAGAGACCATGGAAGGGGTGAGGGCAGGCAGGCTCTAGCCCACAGGAAGTGAAATAAACCCAGCTGAGCAGTATAAAATGACAGACCCTTCATGGGACCAGAAGGAGAGAGAAGGAGAATAAAGGAATAGAAGCAAGAGGTAGCGCTAAAATGACAGACTCTTATTTATTAAGATACCAGAAGCAGTTTTACTTGGCATTGTAGGAGATGATATTAATAGACAGGATTGTAAGTTGTTTTTATATGCAATGACAACAGCAAGAATATTATTGGCACAAAAATGGAAGCAAGAAGCATTACCAACGAAAGAAGAATGGCAGATGAAATTGATGGACTATGCAGAATTAGATAAATTAACAGGAAAGATTCGAAACCTGCAGGACCAGAGATTCTTAGAAGACTGGAGTAAATATATGAACTATTTGAAAAGTAACTGTAATGAACAGATTACGCTAGTAGGACTGCAAGAAGTTTTGTAAGGAGGACTATTTGAAATATTGCAAGACAGACAATGAGGAGAATTATTAGTTAATGATAATTAAGAGTAATAGAGAAATGAAGAAATGCAGAATAAGTGGTAAAGAACGAAAAATCATCAGAGGTGTTGACAGAAGTCTAAAACATTGTATAAGATAAGAAGTTATGTTATATGATTGTTGGAAATGAAATGTTAAAAAAAACCAATAGAAATGTATATATATATATATAAAAATGACAGACTCTTTGTGGGACCAGAGAAAGAGAGAGAGAAGGTATGGTATTTTGCCAAGCCAGCCTGACAAGCACTAGACCAATCCTAGAATTTCTGGGCATCCAATGAAGCTGAACGCTGGAAGATTCAGGACAGCCCAAAGAAAATAATGCTTCACGGAGCGCGTTGTTAACCTATGGAACTCTCTGCCGGGGCAGGCAATGATGGCTGCCCACCTTGTTGCCTTTGAAAGAGGATTTGTCCAATTCATGGAGGAGGAGAGGGCTACTGACAGCTACGAGCCACAATGGCTACCCTCTGCCTTCCGCGGTTGGAGGGCAGCCACGCTTCTGAACACCGTAGATTCCGGCGTATTAGGCGACTGGGCGTATAAGACAAATTGGCAGCTGCCAATTTGGGGGGTCAACTTATACGCCCAGTCTTATATGCGGCAGCTTCGCTGGGCAGCAGCAGTGGGTGGCGGACTCTGCTCCACACCGCACCGCGCCGGAAGCCACCCAGCGAAGCCGGCTTAGCAGCGCTGGGCAGCTTCGCCGGGCAGCTTCCTCCCGCTGCCCGCCGCCCACTACCGCTGCCCAGCGAACCCATACCCGGCGTATAAGACGACCCCTGACTTTTTAGAGGATTTTCTGGGGTTGAAAAGTCGTCTTATATGCTGGAATCTACAGTACTAGTTTCTGGAAACTGTCGGAGGGGAAAGCTGCTTTGTGCTCGGATCCTGCTTGTGAGTTTCCCTCAGGTATCTGGTTGGCTGCTGTGGGAACAGGATGCTGGACCAAATGGGCCACTGGCCTGATCCTGCAGGCTCTTCATACATATTTAAGCCAGCTTCCGCCACTGTGGCTCTACCACGGACATTTCTTCATTGCGTAACAGGATCGACTGAGCTGCTCCACCAAGCACCTGAATCATAAAAACATGGCAAGAGGATATTTCCGCTGAGTTTCCAAGTTGGGATTGTTTTGGGGCGGGCAAAAGAGAGAAGTTTCCAGGCACAAGCCAGCTCACTTGTTTTGCGACACTCGCGCAGCTGTAAGAACAAAGCTGCTGCCGCCACCCCACCGGCGCACCCCGCCTGCGCCACAGCCTCCTTGCCCACAACACCTGGGGTTTGCAGAGGGGACGGCCTTCCCCCTCTGGCTTTGTGAGGGGGCCTGGGGGCCTGCCACCCCCCCAACTCGGTTGCTATGCTAGCCACAGGCAGCCGGCAGATGGGCCCAGAGGGTGGCAAGGATGGAGGAGCCCCACGCCGAGTTAGCAAAACATGCCGTCACGCTAGAGCAACACAACGCATCGGTCAACACAACGCGGCAACTGGGAGCGGGGTGGGGAGAGGGCAGCCACGCCCGGGGCCATGCCGGGACAGGCCGGCTCTGAGCGGCTCTCCGGCTCACGCTGCGGCCCCAGGGAGCCGGCGACATTTAACAAGAGAATTTGCCTCAAGAACAATGCAGGCCTCGGCCTCAGCAGTTGCTAAGGGAACTATTTTAAGACAGCGGGAACAAGCAGATCCCGGGAATGACGACGGGAGAGCTTTGGCCAGGGTATCCGGGCCCTGGGGTGGAAGGAGGGAGGGAACGAGGGTCTGGATTATCCAGGGGTCTTAAGATTTTAGAGCTGGAAGGAAGGCTGTTTAAAAGTTGCTCCTCATCTGCTGGTGCTTTGCAGTATATATATATATTTAATGTCAAGATATAAAGGAAGAGAGCAGGGGTCAGCAAATTTTTTCAGCAGGGGGCCAGTCCACTGCCCCTCAGACCTTGTGGGGGGCCGGACTATATTTTTTTTTGGGGGGGGGAATGAACGAATTCCTATGCCCCACAAATAACCCAGAGATGCATTTTAAATAAAAGTACACATTTCACTTGTGTAAAAACACGCTGATTTCCGGACCGTCCGCGGGCTGGATTTAGAAGGCGATTGGGCTGGATCCGGCCCTTGGGCCTTAATTTGACTACCCATGGAAGAGAGCAATAGGTAAAGGTAAAGGGACCCCTGACCATTAGGTCCAGTCGCGGACGACTCTGGGGTTGTGGCGCTCATCTCGCTTTATTGGCCGAGGGAGCCGGTGTACAGCTTCCAGGTCACGTGGCCAGCATGACTAAACCGCTTCTGGCAAACCAGAGCAGCACACGGAAACGCCGTTTACCTTCCCGCCAGAGTGGTACCAATTTATCTACTTGCACTTTTGATGTGCTTTCGAACTGCTAGGTTGGCAGGAGCAGGGACATTAAAAGTGCCACTTATTTATTTAGTTGAAAGAATGTTCTCTTTTTCCTCCATCCCCTCGCTCTGAGCTTTTGTGAACCTGGTATCAAAGAGAGTGTTGGACTAAGACCCCGCAAGGGACCAGGGTTCAAATCCCTGCTCGGCCACGAAGCTTGCTGGGTGACCTTGCAGGAGATGGGGGGAAGCAGCTCTTCAAGCAAGGGCGCCCAGGACCTCTGGCAATTTTGCTAGGGAAGCTTCCAACACAAGAGATGTTGTGAAAGTTCTCTGACCCTGTTCCTCCGAGAGCCCAACAAATAGTTGTGCGAAATTGTATCTCCCACTGGCTCAGTGCACTCGCATGCCCAGTTTATGCCAAGGATTCAGCCGGAGGCCTGTCAGGCTGAAGTCATGAATACTCTGCCTATTGTTAGAGGATGCTGAGAGAGCTCAGTCCGAGAAGACAGACAGAGACAGGCTGAGCAAGAAAGGAAGGCGGAAGCAAGAGAAGCGACAGAAAGGAGAAGTCAGTCGGTAGCAAAGAGGACTCACTGCACAGTTGCATGTGCAAAGAAAGCCTGGGATGCATAAGTACAACTTTCCTGCAGCCCAAGAAACTGTGCACAGGAGCAGGTGTACTAAAACTGTCAAGTTTGCTGCCAAGGAGTGTGGTGGAGTCTCCTTCTTTGGAGGTCTTTAAGCAGAAGCTTGACAACCATATGTCAGGAGTGCTCTGATGGTGTTTCCTGCTTGGCAGGGGGTTGGACTCGATGGCCCTTGTGGTCTCTTCCAACTCTATGATTCTATGATTCTAAGTATACAGCGATTCATGAATACAGAGAGTGATGTATGCAACAGGTAACGTCTAGCCTGGTTCACACGAAACAAAGACTGAAAGCAAAGTTGCATGCCGATTCATAAAAAGTATGCATGTACCATTTATGCACAGGCATGAGAAAGGGCTCAGGATGCACCAAGTGGCTGCAGTAAGGGGTTGTCCAAGAGATGAACCCTCTACTACTGGTTCAGTGCTGTGGTAAATAAGCGGGAGCATGGGAAATGAAGGGGGAGCATGGGGAGTGACCTGGGGAAAGGCCAATACATCTTTTCCCAGGACCACCACCCTCAACCCCCAGGTGAGCACCTGGAGGCAGAAGCAGAGTTTACGCTGTTCCCAGACAATTTCATGCTGCTGAGACGTTCTCCATCTTCGGACGGAGACAACTGCAAAGCGAGAAAAGAACAATGCGTCCCAAGGCCTCCCAAAATCTGATGTGGCCTGCTTGCATTTACAGAATGAAATAATACGTAAAAGCACAGCAAGGCAGAAGTTTTATCAGCATGTAACAAAAAACACTAGCTAGTGGCCTCCAAGGGAGCATGGAAGGCCGAGAGCACAATTGTGCAAAGCCAAGCGAGCCTCTGAACATAGGTTTTGGACTACGTACACCAGTTCTGACAGGGGCTGGATCTACACTGATCTGTAAAAACGCTATAAAAAAAGCTATATACCTCCCAATGTGATTTTCCATTGCTCTGCAGATCCCTCTGGTGTCACATTTTTGATGAGCTGAATGGCAGGCCCAGGATGCCCCTCCCCTTCCTCTCCCCCCACCCCAGAGGCTGCAAGGACTTATAAAGACGCATTTCCACCCCCAGATCTCTCCCCGCTCCCCAGGACACGGCAGGCTCCTTACTGCGGCAGCGGGCGCATCGGCTCTGGTCATACTCCAGCAGCTCAGAGGGGCGCAGGCGGTCCTTTGGGGATGGCTTCCAGCACTCTTGCTGCAGGCGGATGCGGGCTGCTTCATCCTTGGCATAGGCTCCCAGGTCCTGCGTGTAGCGGCCATACATCTGGGGACAGAACACACAGCGAAGGGTCAAGGGCACAGCCAGGCAGGTGAAGGAGGAGATGGAGCAATTTGGGTGGTCAGGAAGAAGGCAGCTCCCTGTCCTTGGAGGTCAAGGGTCAATCTCCCATGGATGGAGGAGGCCTTCCTGCTATGCATACAAGTTGCCCAAAGTACTGACCCTGCAATGTTCAGGAGAATAACGCATAATGCAAGGGGAAGGAGAGAGACCGGAAACTATGAAATTTCCCCCTTTATCCCAGAGGTCCGTGGTTATTTGGAGGTACACAAAATGCACTCAGCACATGTTCGGTGGTGCTCTCCTCCTTTCCTTGAGAATGTAAGAAGAGTCCTCCTGAATCAGGCCATAACATCAATCAAATTCTGCATTTTGATCCCACAGACGCCCATCAGGAGACCACATGCAGGGTATTTAACGCAGAAGCACTCCCTGGCTGTTCTCTCAGGGACTGGAGTTCGGATCCTGGAGGCAGCATATAGCCATAATGATGTTCAGAAGCTGCTGCCCGGCCTCGTCCTCCCTCTCACAGCAGTAAATTCCTCAAGTTAGCTGTGCACTGTGCGAAGCACTAGCTTATCTCGTCTAAAATGTTCCAGGGTTGAGGAGATCTTGGAATGAAAAACAAATCTCAAGGTTAAGCCCTCAAGCAACCCTTAACTTGTTTCTAAAGAGAGGTGTCCGGGCTCCATCCTGTCTCTCTGACCTGCATCCCCCGACTGCTACTCCAGGTTTAGGGCTGTAGCTCAGTGGTGGAGCCAGGCTCCAGGCAAGGCTGTGTGAAAGCTCAGAGGGCTTCTACCTTTCAGCCTAGACATAACTGGGCTAGATAGCCATCTGTCATGGATGCTTTGGTCAAGATTCCTGCACTGCTGGGGGTTGGACAAGATGACCCTGTATTCTATGATTCCATGCTCTTATGTCCTAGGAGTTGAGCTGGCACTGTGGCCACTTGATAACATCACCTCTTACAGACCCTGCACTTCCAGGTGCAGCTCCTTCACCTTGTCCTAGGAGCCTAGAATAGGCTCAGCCCCACTCTCTCTGCTGACACAACATACACAAAGTCCTTTGTTCTGAGCAAAGCTGGGCAGGCTCTCTGCACCTCTCCTGTCTGGCCTAGAGACCCAGAAACAAAAAGCTGACATCACTATCCTTGGGTAAAGGTAAAGGTAAAGGTAAAGGGACTCCTGACCATTAGGTCCAGTCGTGACCGACTCTGGGGTTGTGGCGCTCATCTCACTTTATTGGCCGAGGGAGCTGGCATACAGCCTCTGGGTCATGTGGCCAGCATGACTGAGCCGCTTCTGGTGAACCAGAGCAGCGCGTAGAAACACCGTTTACCTTCCCGCCGGAGCAGTACCTATTTATCTACTTGCACTTTGACGTGCTTTCAAACTGCCAGGTTGGCAGGAGCACGAGCAACGGGAGCTCACCCCGTCATGGGGATTCAAACCGCCAACCTTCTGATTGGCAAGTCCTAGGCTCTGTGGTTTAACCCTGTGGTACTATAGCCAAAAGTCTTGTGAGGATGGAAGGAGCAGCATCCCTTAACATCCTGCTGGGGGGGGGGGCATGGCTCCCAGGGTAAAACATCTGCCTTGCGTGTGGCAGGTCCCTGGTTCAATCCCCAGGACCTCTGGCTCTTTTTAAAACAAATCACCATTATCATCATCTCCAGCTAGGGCTGGGGGAGCATCCCTGCCTGAAACCCTGGGAAGCTGCTGCCAGTCAGTGTAGACAATACTGAACTAGCTGCACCAATGGCCTGGTTCAGTATAAGGCACCTTCCTATGCCCCTATGTGTGTGAGCATGTTTGCTATCATGCAATCGATGACCAGGAAAATAGTAATTCACCACCACTGCTCCAAAGTAGCAGCCCGCGAGGTGGAAAGTTGTTCAAAAGTTGTTTGGCATTTCTAGTGGTTTTTCGCTTGCTGGGGAGACATCAGAAGGTGGGAGCAAACTTCCTTCTTGCTCAGTGGGGTGGACTATTGCTTGCGCATTTCTCCTTATCTCAGCATAAATAGAAGCAATAGAAGCGTCCAGCTTTGATTCAGAAAATAAAACAAACAGTGTTTTGCAGGAAAGGCCATGAACATCCCAGCACAGCCCCTTCCTAGCTGAAGGTTTGCCTCTTGCTGGAACACAGGAAGGTCCATCAACACTGGCGGGCAGCAGCTCTCCAAGGTTTTCAGATGGAGCCAGCCTTCTGCATACAAAACAGATGCTTCTACTCCTGACCTATATCGTGCTTCCCCTTCCTCTCTCTCCATGTTTCCCATCCTCTTGGCTCGCTGGCAGCCCGGCAGTTCTGCCAATGGTGCGGACCAGGCAGAGAGAAGGGTCTAGGGCTAGGCAAAGCAAACACAGAGGCCTCTTCCCTCTCCAAGGAGGCCGCTTCCAGAACAATGGCAGGCAGATAAGGAGGCTGCCCTGCGGATCAATAGCCATTGTTCCCCAGTGCAATGCTACTCCCAGCACTGAGGCCGGAAACGGGCTGGCGTTCCCAGCTGGCACTGGCGAACAGCACCACCCAGCCAGCCCGATTTCACGAATAGCCACGTGGGCCTGGGCAAGGGCGGTGGGGGTCAGGCCAGGCCAGACTGAGCACCAGCAAATAGGTAGCTACAACCCAATCTAGGTAGCCTGAAAGAAGCCCCCTGCTCTCTTGGCCTCAGCTCTGCCATCTGTAACATGGGCGTGAAAATATGGTTATGTACAGAGAAACCATTCACGGACAGGGGGTGGCTCCGCTGAGCTCTAGAAGTCCCTTCCCAGCTTCTAGGATCACCAAGCAGGAGTCTTCCAACCAGGAAATTATCATTGAGGGGTCAGTGGTTGCATTCAGCCTGTCCGTTCAGGCCCTGCCAAAGATTTAACTGCCTGTCTTCCCTCCCCTCTGCCCTAAGCCAGGAATACCAAAGAGCCAGGAGAAGTTAGCAGGGCGGGCAGGGTGGATGACTGCTTCAGCTACAAGAGAGAGAGATGTAGGGCCCTTCCAAAAAGTCATTTTTATTGCACACTCCTGATTATTGGTGCACACAAGGGCAGTTAAACACAAGCCCACTTTTAACACGGCTTTGCTTCTTCAAATAAAACACGCTTAGACTTGCAGAATTTTGCACATCATGAATCACAGAATTGCAGAGTTGGAAGGGACCCGAGGGTTATCTAGTCCAACCCCCTGCAATGCAGGGATCTCAACTAAAGCATCCATGACAGATGGCCATCCAACCTCTGCTTAAAAACCTCCAAGGAAGGAGAGTCCACCACCTCTCATGGGAGTCCGTTCCACTGCAGAACAGCTCTTACTGTCAGAAAGGTTTTCCTGGTGTTTAGCTGGAATCTCCTTTCTCATAAATTGAAGGCATTGGTTGGGGTCTTCCCCTCCAGAGCAAGAGAGAACAAGCTTGCTCCATCTTTCATGTGACAGCCCTGGAGATATTTGAAGATGGCTATCCTACCTCCTCTCTCTCCCCTCTTCTCCAAGCTAAACATATCCAGCTCCTTCAACCGTTCCTCATAAGGCTTGGTTTCCAGGCCCTTGATCATTTTGGCCGCCCTCCTCTGCACACCTTCCAGCTTGTCAGCATCCTTCTTAAATTGTGGCGCCCAGAGTTGGACACAGCATTCCAGGTGTGGTCTGACCAAGGCAGAACAGAGTGATACCATGACTTCCCTTGATCAGGACATTAAAATTCTGTTGATACAGCCTAGAATAGAGTTAGCTTTTTTTGCTGCTGCATCACACTGCTGACTCACAGATTGCAGAGTTGTGAGCACATCCATCATGTGGGCATCGTTACAAATGTCGAGGAGGGGAACCCTGAAGGAGGAAGTGATAGAACTGGGTCCTTCCAGACTGGTGTTTCTCCCCGCACCCACTGGGCTCTTCCCTGTCCCTTGCAGAACAAGTCATTGCTCCCTGTGCAGCAGCCCCACGGAGGACCACCAGCCCAGCCCCGCAGCCCCAGGCAAGGCTGGCTGTGCCCTCATCTCCCTGTCTTGACATACATTAATTGGTTTGGGATTCTGTCCTGCCATACACCTTCCCTAAAAAAGGACTTGCAGGCCTTATTATGTGCCGCTTCCAACTGCTACTTGCCAAAACATCTCCTGCATGCACCCAATTTCCACAGGAATTATATATACTGCTTCACTACCTGTGTACTGATTTGTCATCAAACACCCTCTAATGAAAAGATTATTTTTCTGGAGTCACTTCCAGATGACCCTGTTTGCTGAGCAACCCCCTTGATTGGTTTTCACACTGGTGGGCAGGAAGGGGAATGACCATTTACCGAACCTTCACTCTGATTTGTCTGCAGGTCATATGATATTGCATCCAGAACTATCCAGTGCATTTTCTGCCCCTTACTGCAAAAAAAGAAAAAGCCCAGTTTGGGGAGGAAATGAGTTTCTTGCAAGAGTTTTATTTATGCAACCTGAATTTGCCAGTATGTGACTCAATCACATCAGAAAATGATGGTTATCTGGGAATGCCATCAACCTGCTTATTGAAGACTCTGGTTTATTTGCAGAGGGATTAGATGACGTGGGCTATTTAATGAGCACTTATTGTGATTTGTTTGCAGAGATTTTAGATGACATTGCATCAAAGCAAGTGTTATGCCACACTTTCCTCTGCATTTTCCTGGCACCCTTCTTTATCTTCTGTGGAAGCAGGTTTGTTGCACAAGACCCCCAGACCAACTATAACACCACAATCTGAATTTGCCAGTGTGCGATGGAAATCCACCTGGGTGGAAAACCAACTGAAATTGCCCTGGGGCTCCCTTTGCCTTTGGAACAATGCACAAAAATTAACAGCGAGATCATGACACACCCTGAAAACAGCTACATCCATAGAACTCAAAGGCTTCAAGGGTACATAGAGAGGCCGTGCTCCGCATTTTTGGAATTCCTGCCTGCTCATTGTTTAGGTAACAATGGTAAAGTTTGTTCTAGATTTAAGACTGAAAGCATACTTAGTCAATATTATGTCCATTTCTCTTGTATTTCTTGCACCTACATTGGCTGCCAGGTAAAGACCTTTTCGTCTTCCCAGACTCACAAGATCAGTTATCATTCCTGGGCAGCATGCAGCTAAAACAGTTCTGCTAGCACAATAACTTTTAGCTGTGCAGTTTCTTCCACCCTCTGGAGCACATTTAGGAGTCGTGTCGGGGGGCATGCGGAGAGAGGACAGGGCAATGAATTTCCACTTCATAGCTAAAAGTTCTTGTACTAGCAGAACTGTTTAGCTGAGCGTCACCCATGGCTATTTTCCCTGCTGCTGGTTTTATTCTGATTGCAGATCACCTGTTTTAATTGTTGTGTTATGATTTGACATTCTGCTTTCACAGTTCATGGTTTTAACCTCTTATCTGTGGACTGCCAAGAAATTTGTGCTGCTGTTAAGAACAGGTGGTGAAGAAATGCTGTCAGTAAAATGAAGTGAGTAATTTCTTTGTGTCCCACTATCCGACACATCAAATTGTCCCATGATTTCTGGGAGACTGCGATGCTTCCAGGATCCCTCCACTTTTGTGGGCTGAAGCCCAGCCTGAGACAAGGAATCCTGGTGCACCTTTACTCCCTCTGTCGGATAATGGGTGGCTGTGGGCATTTAATGCTGCGTAGAACCTCTACAAGTAGCTCAAATGCGCCTAACATGGCAGCAGTGTAGCGTGGGTTGCCAGTGCCCAGGGCAGGCAAGCCACTGAAGCCACAGGAGTGCCTGCCTCTCCCCCCCCCCCCCACAAACGAATCCTTTACAACAAAACAAAAACAAAACCTATTCAACTTGGTGGTCGTCATTACATCTTCTGGGTGCGAATTTCACAGTTCAGCTATGCACTGTGCAAAAAAGTACATTCTTTTGCCTGCACTCAATCTTATTTCAATGTTCAGCTTCTGTCTGTGAGGTCTAATGTTGTGAGATGGAGGAAAACTTCCTTTCCTCTCTCCCCGCCACCCCACAACGTGACACTTAGGTAAAGGAACTCTAATGCTAAGAAGAAAGATTCAGAATACTCCAGAGACAATTCCAGCCCAGGAGGAGGGCAGAGTTGAAGAGGCTCAATTGTGGATTGAATCGTCAGCAAGCTCGGTTTCAAAAAGATATAATGTTCAGGAACGTTGAGGGGAAGGTGGCTGCCCTCTTTCCATGTCGCTAGATTCAACCGCTCACTGTGAAAGAAAGAAAGAAAGAAAGAAAGAAAGAAAGAAAGAAAGAAAGAAAGAAAGAAAGAAGAGAAAACCTGCCAGCCTTTATTCTCTCTGGCACAATTTCCTGGTCTGCCCCTGCCACAGAGTGCCAAGAGAGCTGGATACAAAGGGAACAGCGGCTGAAAATCTGTGTCATGCTGAATTTATTCAGCAAATCTCTCCCAGGCCGCTCTAATCAGTCCCGATCGGCTGCACGCGGAACAACGGGAGCTTGTGAAGTTTAATCCCAAAGGACCCTCTGCCCTGCTGGGCCCAGGGACGGCTAAGGTGGAGGCAATTCTGCTCGGAAGCATTTTCTCCGCATAGAAGCCGGCGGTTTCCCCCGACAAACACAACTTTTGCTTCTCATGGCGGAGTTCCCGTGCCAAAGTGACTCGCCGGCAAACCTGCCTGCCAGCCATGAAACCCTGTCACACTGCAAAGGACTCTGGGAGGTTTCCTAAGGGGTACAACTCAGGACTGGGCTGCAGAGTCATGTCAAGACCGCAAATGCATTCAATGCACCCGTTTCATTCCTTTGGAAAGATACAGTTCCCAGCACCCTTAAGCAAACCTCTTCTTCCTATCTATCTATCTATCTATCTATCTATCTATCTATCATCTATCTATCTATCTATCTATCTATCTTTCCTATCACTAGGGCTGTGGTGAAAACACACAGAGACACCAAGCATGCTACCTTGACTAGAGGAAGAGCAGGATAAAAAGTTAACCAATAATCATTACTTTCCAAACAGGAGTCCAGAGCGAGGCCTCTGTCCCCAAGCACACAGTGCTAAGCGAATGGTAAGCAGCCACCACAGTGTCCATCAATTGCATCTTCGCATCACTCAGATTCAGGGAGACAATATGCAAATCAAATTCTTGACAGATCTTAAAATAACTGGAGCTTTTTCATGTTTCCAACTCTGCCAAGAATTAAGCTGTCTTTAGGTACAGCATGGTTTTATGTCGCTTTAGCAATTGGCCCCATTTTTGTGGGCCATCACACAAAGGCTTCACTCATAGAGTCTCAGGCAGACGCTGGAACAGGACGAGACGTCCAGAGAAGGAACAGTACAAAGAAGCACATCCTTGGTTTGAATCTCTCCCGCGACACAAACTTTCTAAGTGGCAAGATAAGTGTTCAAACTCAGTGTGCGGGCACCCACCCACAAAGAGCCATCTGCTACACAGGGATAATAATATTAATTCCCCATTATGGAATTCTTGCATTGGTTCACACAGCACATAGTTTATCTGTGGAACTCGCTGCCGCAGGAGACTGTGACGGCCACCAACTTGGATGGCTTTAAAAGAGGACTGGGCAAATTCATAGATGGTAAGGTTATCAATGGCTACTAGCTGGAGGCAGGAGGGGAGAGTGCTCTTGCCCCTGGGTCCTGCTTGTGGGTTTCCCACAGGCATCCTGCTGGCCACTGTGAGAACAGGATGCTGGACTGATGGACAGCTGGCCTGATCCAGCAGACTCTAATCATGTCACTTATTCAATGGAGAGGCGTTCCATTTACTGACAGAGCTGTGGGACCACTTCACTAACACTGCTCCTAACATCATCACATGGAAAGTGAAGGAAACTTGTTTTCTCCTGCTCCGGAGGATAGGACCTGGACCAATGGATTCCAAGTTACAAGAAAGGAGATTCTGACTAAACATCAGGAAGAACTTTCTGAGAGTAAGGGCTGTTTGACAGTGGAACCGACTCCCTTCCTTGGAGGTTTTTAAGCAGAGGTTGGATGGCCATCTGCCATGGATGGTTTAGCTGAGATTCTTGCACTTATTCTATGATTCTATGATCATCACTATCTCCATCCTGGGGCCTGGGCTAGTTGTGATGTCAGGAGAGGGTCTAGAGGCACAGCCCCATCAATGCATGGAGCCCTGCTCAACTGAAGGTAGATTTCTTAACACATGAAGGGATTGTTGAGCTTGGACATCTGCTAGAGGGAAGCTGATATATAGAATCATCTCATCCAATCCCCTGCAATGCAGGAATATCAGCTACAGCATCCATGACAGATGGCCATCCAACCTCTGCTTAAAAACCTCTAAGGAAGGAGTGTCCACCACCTCTTGTGGGAATCAGCTCCACTGTTGAACAGCTCTTACTGTCAGAAAGTTTTTCCTGAAGTTTAGTCGGAATCTCCTTTCTTGTAACATGAAGCCATTGCCTCAAGTCCAACTCTCCAGAGCAGGAGAAAACAAGCATGTTCCCTTTTCCATGTAACAGTCCTTAAGATATGTGAAGATGGCTATCACACACACAGAAGGAAGGAGGGCAGCTCAGCCGCAGACCACCAGCTTTGTAAGGTCAATCCTCATCATGACCAGGTGGGACTGGGCGTGTTCCTTCTCTGAAATCTGGAGAGCAACCCCTAGCCAGTGTAGACCAGATCTGCGGAACTCTGGTCTTCCAGATGTTGCAGACTACTACTGTTTTATGGAAGTGAGTCATGGGCAACTGCCAACTGCCAGGAAGGACGGCTCAATGCCTTCCACTTGTGCTGTATCAGAACGAAACGCCATGGTGCATCTGCAGTAGTACAATCAGGCACCTTCCTTTGCCCCAGCTGCAACAAAACATGTCTCTCCTGTATCGGTCTCTACAGCCACAGCAGGCACTGTAACCATCAACAGTTTGACTTCACCTGCAAAAGGCGCACTCCTGCATTGTCTCCCAAGACAGACGGGTGCCAGCAACAACTCCCGTCAGCCCCAGCAAACAGGGCCCCTCTGGACCCTCAAGTGCAGATGGCTCAATAAAGTGTGGAAGTATATGAATGTCCATGCTCAATGGTTGCTTGGCATACAGTGATGCCAGGAGAGCCAGCCATCATTGCCCCTTCACCTGAGTAGTACAAGGAAAGCCCATTCCCAGCATTCCACAGGGACCTCTGGAGTGACCAAGAAACAGACCCCGGGGCAAAGAAAGGCCCAAGGCTACGCTATGCACTGGGAGCCAACTTGATTCGTAACAAACCTTGGTCACCAAGGACAGGAAGCAACATTCCTGCACTGGATGACAGCATGTGCTAAATTTCTGATAAGTGGATTCATAGGCACTGCTTCAGGAAGATACCAGACAACAGATTCAGGGCAAGTAGTAGCTTGGGGTTGGGGAAAGAAGGCACTTAGACTGGGAAAATGGCAGCAGAGATGTTACCACTATCACAGAAACAGAAAACCAGGAGACCCACAATGCAGATCTTCTGCCATGGTTTGGCCATCAGCTTTGAATGTTCCAAATCAGGGGTGGGCAGAAGACAGAATGGAATCAGCTGGTAGACTGTGGGTGATTTTGCAGTAGATCAGCATGGCTTTCCACATTGCCTCTGTTTAACGGTATTAACAACAATAGGACTCTTCCCCACTCCAGAATTAAGCTGATAAAAGGAATAACCCTTGAGGGGGACCAGACATAGGATCTATGTGTGGAAGGATTCTGAGCTCAGCTCCATTCTGGCACTCAAAACAAACCCCTCTCAGATAACCCATCGCTCGAGCTTTCACCCAGATTTTTGTTTATTTTTTTGCGCAAAGTTTGCAGGGAGCTTAAACCACATTGGTTATTTACTGAACATTCGTCCTGATTTCTTTGCGGGCAGATTATAGAGCGTTGTCCCAAGCCATTCTTTTCCCACGCTTTTCAGTGCATTTTCTCTTATAGCAAGAAGTCCAATTGTTGCATAAGAGCACTAACCAACTTCAATTCTGCAAACCTGAATTTTTCGGCATGTGGTTGAATGTCATGCCCAAATTGTGACAGTGTGGATGAGGCCCCCCTGGGCTCAGCAGCTGCTCAGAGATTTTTATTTATTTTTTAGTTCAAAATGTGTCTTTTACACCTGGATCTGGTTGTAGATCCTACAAGCCTGAAGTCTGTCTGCTGCTGTTATAAATGCAAACTCTTCCAAATGTTAAAGCTTGTACCCCCCACCCAAGAGGAGTCCCCTCTGTGTTTCTCTATATCCGTCGTTGAGAATTCTTCCCAACTGTTTTATGTAATTCACTTCCATAAATTATGGTGATGTGCCAGTAGCTCAGAAAGTTTTGAAACGAGGTTAGACAAATGGATGGAAGAGGTCTCTCAGTGGCCACTAGTCGTGTCAGACTGGGGAGACACAGGTTCAAATCCACCCTGCTGGGCCATGAAGCTCAAAAATCTGCCTTAGGCCAGTAGTCATCAATCTTCAACCTGGCCAACCCCACAGGGTTGTTGTGATAAAGAAAAGGAGAAGGTTGAAAGACCTTGCACACATTCATTTGCTCTCTGGAAGAATGGCAGGCCAGAAATGTAATAAATGAATGTATGGAATGGAATGGAACCTCCAGGTTCAGAGGCTGGCAGTAACAGAATCATGGACTTGTAGAGTTGGAAGGGACCACCAAGGGTCATCTAGTCCAGCCCCCTGCAATGCAGGAAACTCAACTAAAGCATCCACTGCGGATGGTCATCCAGACTCTGCTTGCAAACCTAAAAGGAAGGAGAGTCCACCGCCTCTACTGGGAGTCTGTTCCACTGTCAAACAGCTCTCAGTGTCGAGAAGTTCTTCCTGATGTTGGGTCAGAATCTCCATTCTTGTACCTTGAATTCAGTATGAGGAGGTGCTAACAGGTCAGAGACCACTACAGGGGCCTGGCAACCATGATTTTTAGCTGGGCTACCAAGGCCAGCCATCAGTGATGAACGTGTGGATTGGAACCCCAAATAAGCAGGCAAGTCAGAAGGAAACTGCAAAGGCACTGCATTGCTGGCCACAGTCCACTACACCACATGCAGCGTTTGATTCTCAGAACGTCCAACACAGACTTCTTTATCTGCACCGTGTAAAAATTGCTGGCAAAGGAATTGGCATGAAACGTCCTGGATAGATAGCACCAATCATTCTCATATTATGCTTTAGAAGGTTCAGAGTGATTCACACATATTTTATCTCAGTAATCTTTGCAACCATTCAGGATTATTATCAATCCCTTATTGCCGGGGGATTGGGGGGGGGAGGGGAGGAAAAGCCAAGGCTGAGAGATAGCGCCTTGCCTATGGCCACCAAGTGCGTTTGTGGACAAAAAAAGATTTCAGCCCTTGCCCCCTGCCCTCCCCCAGTGCCCTCCAGACACTTTGGACTCCAGCTGGCTATGGCTAATGGGAAGGCAGCAAGACCCACAAACCATCAGATGTCAAGGAAATAAACAACTATTTGACTTTTAGAAGACATCTGAAGGCAGCCCTGCTTAGGGAAGATTTTAATGTTTGATGTTTTATTGCTTTATTATTATTATTATTATTATTATTCTGTTGGGAGCCGCCCAGAGTGACTGGGGAAACCCAGTCAGATGGGCGGGATATTATTATTATTATTATTATTATTATTATTATGCTGCAAAATGTGCAAACCCATGGGTTTCACTCTTATTCCTACAGATCCTTCCTCCACCCCCCAAAAAACCCCCTCACTTTTCCCATAAAGCCTTTGGCAACTGAAATACTCATTTTCTTTCCCTGTTTGCTCCCACAGCCCCAGCTCCCCTTCCTTTGCCATAGACTGCAAGATCTGATGGCAGCTTAGTTGGTAGAGCATGAGATTCTCAATCTTGGGGTCATGGGTTTGAGCCCCACGTTAGGGGAAAGAGTCCTGCATTGCAGCGGGTTTGACTAGATGACCCTCATGGTCCCTTCCAACTCTACAATTCTAGGATTGATTCTACCTCTTTAGGAGGAGAAAGGACCTGTTCACATGCTGCAAAATCTAAGGTGCATCGATGGCACAGCGTAATTGCTCTCTTTCCTTTCTGCTGCAAGCAGCAACACTTGTGGATCCAAAGCAGTAATACAAGAGGGAGATGTCAGCACTTTGCAGGGAAGGGAACCCCAAGACTTGCAGAAGTACAATAAATAAATATATGAGCATGCTCAGTGTTCTGAGGAATGCAGACTGGCTGTTCGGGCAGGGAATGGAAAACCAGATGGGAGGGAGGAGGGATGAAATGGAGTTTCCTGGAGGCGGGCATGGGCTGTGCGGCTGGAACAGTGAACAGGAGCTGTCTACGCCGCATTTGTTGCAGGTCCCACTTACTGGAACTGCTTTAGACAACAACAACAACAAGAGCTTTTGCTTACAGAAACGGTAAAAACAGATATGCTAATGGCACCCACGTAAGTAAGGGTCAAGCCTACTTTGACCCCAAGTTGCTGTCAGACTATCCGTCCCTTGTTCTCTTCTTAACAAAATGAACAGCAGCTAAAAGAACAGATCCGTTTGTCTCCCTTGAATGTAGGTTGCCATGAAAGCTGATCACAGCCACGCAGGCTTTGCAAACTGAAGGCAGAAACCCCCAAACATGCCCAGGATCGGGCTACTTAGTGCTTTGATGGCCATACACACCAACAATCCCTATTTGGCAGAGGGAATGCCTGTTTTCTAACTCACTGTCCCTGGGATAGCCAACACGGCATCCTCCAGGTTTATTGGACTACAATTCCCATCAGCCTCAGCAAGCACAGCCAAAGGCCTGGGGTGATGGGAGTTGGGAGTTCAGAAACATTTAGAGGCCCCCAGTTTACACAGCCCTACATTATAGGGAGAACTATCCAGTTGCCATTGCAAAAATTAGTTTGTATGTGTACACAGGTGCAGAAAGAAGAGGGGAGTTATTGCTTTGTTTTGTTTTTGTTCCTCTTTTTATTATGTATCTTGTGTTTTTATCTTGTATTTTTATGCTGTGATCTTCCCTGAGCTCTTCGGACGAAGGACGCTATACAAATAAATAAAATAATCACCACCATCATCATTTATACTTCATTCCCCCCACCCCACCCTATGCATTTGAGAATGCTGATGTAAAGTGCTTCCTGACCCTCTTGTGCCTAAGCATGCATATGAAGAACAACAAAAGAATAAAATAGATCCCTGCTTCTATTCCATTCCCCTCTACCCCCAGAAAAACATCCAATCCAGTTAGCAAATAAGTACAGTGGTACCTCGAGTTAAGAACTTAATTCGTTCTAGAGGTCCGTTCTTAACCTGAAACTGTTCTTAACCTGAAGCACCACTTTAGCTAATGGGGCCTCCGGCTGCCGCCATGCTGCTGGAGCACAATTTCTGTTCTCATCCTGAAGCAAAGTTCTTAACCCGAGGTAGTATTTCTGGGTTAGCGGAGTCTGTAACCTGAATCGTATGCAACCTGAAGCGTATGTAACCCGAGGTACCACTGTACTGCGGAGTATGGTTGGAGTTGCAGCTATTCTGCAATAAGCACAGCTGGCTGCACTGGGAGATAAATCAGTATAACGGTACCTCACGTTACATATGCTTCAGGTTACAGATGCTTCAGGTTACAGACTCCGCTAACCCAGAAGTAGTACCTCGGGTTAAGAACTTTGCTTCAGGTTAAGAACAGTTTCAGGTTAAGAACGGACCTCTGGAACGAATTAAGTACTTAACCCAAGGTACCACTCTATATTAAACACTGTTGGGGGAGGGGAGGGACGGGGAGAGAGAGAGAGAGAGAAGGAATGAATGTAGGAAGGTACGCTATGGCAAAAGTCAGGGCAGAGCAAAACCTTAAGGCAGCCTTCCCAAACCTGCTTCCCTCCAGACATTTTGTGCTATGATTCCCATTCGCCCCAACTACTGCTGGCAGGGCTCAGCCAGCAGAGGGTGAGACTCAGGTTCATGGGTTCAAGCCCCACGTTGGGCAAAAGATTCCTGCATTGCGAGGGGTTGAACTAGACGACGCTACTCTATGATTCTATGAACATCTGGAAGGCACCAGACTGGGGAAAGGGAGTGTTGAGCAGCACACAATCCTTGAAATGAGGGCAGGTGTTGCAAAATGCCCTGCACTCAGTATTAGATAGCCGCTGTTTTGCCACTCTGCCTCACAGGAAAAGGGGATCCTGCCTTTACACGGAGCCAGACCACGGATCCATCAACCGATGTGACTGGTCAGTTAGTTAAGTATTTCTATTGTTTTACTGGTTGGGGGGGCAGATGCCCACCTTGACTACACCCATGACTTCCAGCTCTAACTCTGTGGACAGGAAGCAAGGCAGGAGAAGTTGAGCTGCAGGGACAGAGGAGAGAGAGGAAGAGAACTCCGTATCACCATTCCCTGGAAAAAGTTGTGCAACGTTTGCGCTAGCAATTGGGGCAAGTGTATTGACTAGGGAGAGCATAAAAGCCCGTCATAAAATGGGATTAGGCGGCAGATAGCTCGCTGGCGATAAGGCAGCCACCAGGGGAAAGATCAAGGTCAGCTAGAGGCAAAACTGGAATGGCCAAAGAGAGTCGGGCAAACTTTTGCGGGGTGGGTGAAGGAAGCGGGGAGGGGAGAAAGAAGGAGAGAGGAGAGCCCCCAGCTCAGAAAAGCAAACACTGCACAAAACAAGGGAACTGAAGCTTGTGGTTAGAAAGGGAGAGAGGGCCTGTCGATTAGGGTTTTCTTTATCCTTCTCAACAAAAAAAGGCAGCACGTGCATTTCTTTATTTAGGATTGTCTCCAACCAAGCTGTCCCATTGGCGCAAGATTATGGCTGGAAGTATATGAAGTATATACTTTCATGTTACACGAGGGCCAGGAGAGTAAAGGCAGGGGAGCTTCCAAACTGAGCCCCAACTTCCAAGGACGCTCCTAGTATTGAACACTTCGTCCACTTTCTCTTCTCCCCACCCTACATCCAGATATTGGCCAAAAGTTCTTTTAAGCTGCTCCCCACGGCAACAACAGCAACACAGTCCCCATCTGGAGCTTGCAAAGAGCGCGTTGATGTATTCCAATGTGTTCCAGCCCATCCAAAGGTCAGGTTACAATGGTTTAAAAAACAAACTTACTTGTAAATATCAGGGCTATCTGCCACTTGACAAATTTCTAATTGATTAAATGCCTGGCTTTTTAATAGCTAGTTACTCAGTGAGAGTGTAAATACGCTTTTCGAAACTGTGCCTCTAAAGGAAGGGAACGGCATCTCTTAAGGCGTGAAACAACAAGAAATCTTAAGGACGTAAGAGGATCCTGCTGGATGAGGCGAAGGCCTCATCTAGTCCAGCATCCTGGACAATTAAGACTTTTGTGAAAGAGCACTGTCTCCTCCTGCCATTTCCAGCAAGGAGAATTCAGAGGCCTCTGAACATAGGAGCCCTCCAGGATTTAGATACATATCAGCGTTGCAGGCTCTGCCCTGTGAATTAACTCTCTATTAATACTACTACTACCACTACTACTACTACTACTACTACTACTAATAATAATAATAGTAATTTTATTATTTATATGCTGCCCACCTGACTGAGTTGCCCCAGCCATTCTGGGCAGCTACCAGCACAATATAAAAAAATCAAACATTAAAAACTTATCTATATAGGGCTGCTTTCAGATGTCTTCCGAAAGTCAGATAGTTGTTTATTTCCTTGACATCTGATGGGAGGGCGTTCCACAGGCAGGGTGCTACTACCGAGAAGGCCCTCTGCCTGGGTCCCTGTAACCTCACTTGTCGCAGCGATGGAACCGTCAGAAGGCCCTCGGAGCAGGATCTCAATGTCTGGGATAAATGATGGGGGTGGAGATGCCATTTAGGGCTTTAAAGGTCAGCACCAACACTTTGAATTATGCTCAGAAATGTTTTGGGAGCCAGTGAAGATCCTTTATGACGGGTGTTATATGGTCCCGGCAGCCACTCCCAGTCACCAGTCTGGCAGCTGCATTCTGGATCAGTTGTAGTTTCCGAGTCACCTTCGTAGAGCGCATTGCAGTAGTCCAAGTGGGAGATGACCAGTGCATGGACCACTCTGATGAGACATTGTGCTGGCAGGTAGGGTCTCAGCCGTCGTGACCTGCACCTCCATGGATAGCTGTGAGCCCAGAATGACTCCCAGGCTGTGCACCTGGTCCTTCAGGGGCACAGTTGCCCCATTCGGGAACAGGGAATCCCCCACATCTGCCCTCCCCCTGTCCGCCCAAACAGTACCTCTGCCTTGTCAGGATTCAACCTCAATCCTACCTTTGGAGATTCACCAGGAACTGTCCCTGCCTTCTTTTGGGTGCTTCTTGAAAGCTGTACTTTTTAGACAATACATATTGCCTTCACAATATGGATTTCTCCTTTTAGCCAACCACGACTTATTGCTGTTTGTTTGCTGTTTTCAATTATGCTTTATAGATATTTACAAATTGATTTTGTTGTATTTTATGATGTGAGCTGCCTTGATTTATCGCATGCACGTGCATAATCATAAATGTTCAAAGAATCAAAGAAGCCTGTTCTCACACTGAGCTATTTGTCCACCAGCCACCCCCCTGGGAAAATAGGATGCATCCAATTGACTACAAAGGAGCAAGGAAGTGGGGCGAGGGGCAGGGAGATCAGTTCCCACTGGCTCTCTGCTCAAACCAGCTTGATCAAGCTCCATCAAGGCATCATCTCTGCAAGACAGACTAGTGTGGGACGGGGAACACATTGGGCAGTATGTGGTCTCCTTTCCCCAGCCCTGTCTAGATAACCATCACAAATGCCTATCCGCTAGTCCCCTTTGAAGTTTTCCAAAGCCAGACACAATGACTGATGGACAGGAGAGAGGCAACTGCAGAGGTTGCAAATCCAGACACTGGGCAGCAGGGGCAGATCAGAGAGGGAGAGAGAAAGAAGTTTCACAACAGCTGGCAAAATGTGTCGCCCGCAGCCATCTAAGCAACAGTTCCATTTCCCAATATCTTTGTCTGCCAAGAACCCCAGACAGGAAAGGTGATTCCATCATATTACAAGCAGATACAAGACAGATAGACAGATAGGAGATATTGCAAAAGGCAATGGAAATTCTTGGAAAGATGGAGTGTTTCATAAGGAATATATTTATAACAGGGATGGGCAAAATGGAAATCAAGATCTGTTCTGGCACATCTCAAGGTGATCTGTAGTAGATCAAGCAAAATAAAAAGATTCCTTCCAGTAGCACCTTAGAGACCAACTACATTTGTTATTGGTATGAGCTTTCGTGTGCATGCACACTTCTTCAGATACACTGAAACAGAAGTCACCAGACCCTTATATATAGTGGGAGGGTGGGGAGGGGTATTACTCAGAAGGGTGGTGGGAATGGCTGATGGGCTGAGATTGGCTTGCAAATGTACAGAGGTGTGTATACAACCCCTTAAACATCTGGTCCCACAAAAACCTATGCCGCGATCAATCTGTTAAGTCTTTAATCTGCCCTGAGATTCCTTCTTGCTTCTGTGACAGCACTGCAAGAGTTCTGGCAAAAGAGAGACTCCAGTTTCATCCCTGGCTGAGATCCACCTAATGTGAAATCAGGTGCCCAACCACAAATGCCCTGGGTTTTTGGGAACATAACCGCAGAGGCCAAGGAACATAAACAGATGAAGCTGTCCTACACAGAGACAAACCATTTGTTCATCCAACCTGGGGCTGCGGCTGGCAGTGACTCTCTCAAGGGGGATTCTCCCCCCACAACCCCCTACCCCAATGCAAGCCACTGCCTCTGCTCTTCACCTGGAGATACCAGGAAAGGAACTCAGATCAGATGCTCTACCCCTGAGCTACGACTCCTCTCCAGTTACACAATCCTGAATGGTGCAAGTGTGATATTGCCGGAGACTCTGTTTTCCCCAGAAGGCTGGAAGTGGCACCGTTGTCAGCTCACAACTTTGTAAGAAATGCAAGAGGAACACAGGCGAGGCCAGAGGGAGGAGAGAAAGAATATTTAGGGAAGGGCTTGAACTCAGTAGCAGAGCATCTGCCTTGGCTGCAGAAGGTCCCTGGGAGTGTTCCCCATCTGAAACCTTCGGAGAGCTGCTGTCAGTCAGTGCAGGCATTACTGAGCTAGATCAGCGTTTCCCAAACCTGGGCTCCAGCTGTTTTGGAACTACAATTCCCATCATCCCTGACCACTGGTCCTGCTAGCTAAGGATGATGGGAGTTGTAGTCCAAAAACAGCTAGAGACCCAAGTTTGGAAAACAATGTGCTAGATGGAGCAATGTATAAGGAAGATTCCTATGTTTCTGAAGTGGCACTTCAACCATTGTTTCTGACCATCTTTCCTAGGAAAAGACAACAGACGCAGGCTGAACTTTTTCTTCTCCATCACAGACTTTGGCCTAGACAGGTACATTTTTATCAGTAAGTACCTCCGCAGATTCTAAGAATCTGAAACACTTCCCTAGCTTTAGACCTTCAGGAACAGCAAACAGAGACTATGCAACAAGTTTAAAGAGAGATTTTCGCAGACCTGGATCAGGACCCCGGACTTTTGCCTCCCTTCTGCAGCTCCTCGGTTCCAGAAGTTTCAGTTAAACAAGGTTTCATAAGACGAGATCTGCTAGATCAGGCCAAATGACCATTAGCTCAGCATTCTCCTCTCACAGTGGCCAACCAGATGCCTGTGGGAACCCGCAAGCAGAATCTGGGCGCCACAGCAGTATCCCAACTTGTGACTCCCAGGAACTGGCATTCAGAGGCACATTTCCTCTGACAGTGGAGGCATGACATTGCCAGCAGGGCTAGCAGCCCATGACAGTCCACGAACTTGCCTAATCCTCTTTTTGGAGCCATCCAAGCTGGTGACCACTGCTGACTCTCGGGGGAGTAAACGGAATAGTTTTGTCTTCGTTTAAATATTTTTATTGATTTTCATTGTTCACGCCACGCATTAAAAAAAGCACAACTCACAACACATCAACCACTTTGCTTAAAGATATCAATTCAAATTCTCTCTGGGGACTCCAAAAACCTTTACGCATAAGCAGAGTTTGGAATGGCCGTCTGTCACGGATGCTTTAGCTGAGATTCCTGCATTGCCGGGGGTTGGACTAGATGACTCTCGGGGTCCCCTCCAACTCTACGATTCTAGGATAGTACCATGAAATCTCAGGGGTTATAAACACAATCTTCTTGATGCATATAATCCAAAAACAAACTGCATAGTGTATGTTTTGTGTGGTATGCTTTCTTTTGCCAGTCCTAAGATGCCAAAATTCAGAGTCATTGGATGCCCATGTCTTCCTGCCCACTTTCTCCACATGCATATCTAGACTTTCAGGTAGCCAACAGAAAGATTGCAAAAGCAGTCTACAGCATCTATACTTGGCTCTGCGTGCATACTCTTGTAACTCACTCTACATGGGGCTGCCCTTGAGACTGACCCAGAAACTCCAGCAGGTGCAGAATGCCGTGGCAAGACTCCTATGGGGTCCTTGCCATGGGAATCACATTCACCCTGTGCTATGCCAACTGAACTGGCTCCTGGTGGAGTACAGGATCAGGTTTAAGGTGCTGGTTTTAACCTTTAAAGCCCTATACAGCCTAGGACCCTCGTACCTACGGGACCGCCTCTCCTGGTATGTCCCACGGAGGACCTTACGGTCCTCAAACAAAAACATCTTGGAGGTCCTGGGCCACAGGGAGGTTAGGCTGGCCTCAACCAGAGCCAAGGCTTTTTCGGCCATGGCCCCGATCTGGTGGAACGCTCTGTCACAAGAGACTAGGGCCCTGCGGGACTTGACATCTTTCCACAGGGCCTGCAAGACAGAGCTGTTCCACCAGGCCTTTGGCCAAGGCACAGTCTGACCCCCTCCTTTGGTAATCCTCACAGAACTCTAGCCCAACGGCTGCCATTAATTTGATTTTGAATTGATTTTAGAATGAATTGATTTTAGAATGCTGTGTTACTTTTATTGTTGTTAGCTGCTCTGAGCCCGGCTTCAGCTGGGGAGGGCGGGATATAAATAAATTTTTTTATTATTATTATTATTATTATTATTATTATTATACATGCATTTACCTTTACCATTTTTACATACATACATATGTATGTAACAGACACCTTATGACAAAGGCCATTGTGACCAGGGACAGATGACTGAACAGGCTAACAAGGCCGGTGATTAATTTCCCCATGGGACAGGGTCATCACAGAGAATGCAACACCCACAGAGCACTCGCCTGCATGTGATGTTTCATACGCAACACTTCCCAGGGAAGTCAATTTGGTTGCAAGTTGCAGCGTGCAGGGTAACTGAAGGATTATGAATGAGGCTCTGGCAGCTGAATGGATGGTTGAAAAGTCTTGAATTTCAGGTGGCGTGGGAAGACGTATGTAGCTTTGACACACTGGCAGGTTTGTCGCCTGATGGTGATGTAGTCATCAAACAACAACTATTCATAGGGTGAACCAAACTTAAGCAGTCAGAAAATGAGATGCATGAAGGAACTGTTTCTGTTCCTGAAGTCTCCTTTTCCCAGTATCTAAGGCCGATTCACCCAGTCAAGCAACAGCTTGCATCTGTGAATGGACTCAAGTGCTCAGCCTAACCTTCCTCCCAGAATACAAGTTTTTAACAGGCAGTTTTCTACAAGACTCACAATCATTGGCTGCCTTTAACCAGAAATCCAAGGTTGTGTATACTGTATCACGGTTCAACTCTCCCTGAAATCCTGTGAGGCAGACCAGGCTCAGAGTTGTTGGCTGGCTCAAAGTCACCCAGTGCACTTCACGGGTGACTGGAGCTTTGAACCTGGGCCTCCCCAGCCCTGGCGCAACACTCTCACCACTACCCCAGGTGTGGGAAACCTGCAAGCCTACAGATGCTGAATTCCAACTCCCACCAACTATAGCAAACATGCCCAATGGCCAGGGGTGAGGGGAACTATAGTCCAGCCGTTTGGGACAGCGCAGAGGACGATCCCTTATACCAAACTGTGTTTGAAATTAGCCAGGTGCATTTTGCGACAAAGTGAAGATTCCTAGGTGCCATCGGGAGGTACATGCCTGGGGATCATTGGATCCTGACAGTTTTTACACACCAATACCCTATCCTGTATTATTCTATCAGTTACATTTTATCTGCACAATCAGAATGAATTTCAGGAACCAAAATGCTTTTTCTGTGAAGCCTGAGCAGGAGCAGTCACCATTAAGAAAAAGAGGTCAGAATAGGCCAATATATATGTGGACTGTCCTTTAAGTTCTCAAAACTCTTAACCTAGCTCAAGGTTGTCATATGAACCAGTCCAATTTTTAACTAAGAATCAATCACAGTCAGTCCATTGTTTGAAAAATAAGTCTTGCAACTACACATTCCGTTTTGGCGACTGTAACCTTGGTTTAAGGAGCCATTTGGCACCTAGGTTATATATCTGAGTTTCTAACATTGATACCAAGTCAGGCCATTGGTCTGTGTAAAAAGGTAAAGGTAAATGACCCCTGGATGGTTAAGTCCGGTCAAAGGCGACTATGGGGTTGCGGCGCTCACCTCACTTTCAGGCCAAGGGAGCCGGCGTTTGTCCACAGACAGCTTTTCCGGGTCATGTGGCCAGCATGACTAAATCGCTTCTGGTGCAACAGAACACCATGACGGAAACCAGAGCGCATGGAAATGCTGTTTACCTTCCCACTGCAACAGTACCTATTCATCTACTTGCACTGGTGTGCTCTCAAACTGCTAGGTTGGCAGGAGCTGGGACAGAGCAACGGGAGCTCACTCTGTTGTGGGGATTCGAACTGGTGACCTTCCAATCAGCAAGCCCAATAAGCTCAGTGGTTTAGACCACCCGTGTCTAGGTAGCTAAGTACTGACTGGCAGTATCACTTCAGGACTTCAAGGCAGGATTCCTTTCCCAGCCTCACCTGGAGATGCCAGCAACTGAACCTGTGACCTTCTGCAACTGAGCTAAGGCCCCTCCCCGATCATGTGGTGGGCCACAGGTTCCCCACCCTTGTGGTATACCATGCAGGCTCCCCATGCAGCCCTGAAGTAAGGGCAGCTTTACAACCTGATCAAAGGGACCCATAGAAAACTGGCTGCAATGACTTGATGGCAATGATTATTAGGCAATAAGTAGTGGAAGCCAGGAAATGAGCGGAGATGCAAAAGCCAAAATCAGCGGTCGTCATGCCCTGCTGAGGCTGTGTGTGTGTGTGTGTGTGTGTGTGTGTGTGTGTGTGAGATACATGGAAGAACAGAGGATGAAGGCATGACAGCAAGAAATTGGACATGCCCACAGCTACACAATTACGGAGCTGGGAGAGCCGACTACAAGGGAAGATTAAAGGAGCTAAATAAGTCTAGCCAGGGGCCGGTGCCAGTGGCAAGCATTTGAGTGGTGTTAACATGAGATTAGGCGGAAAGGCGATGGGAGCAGAAAGTAGAAAGGGGGCAGGGGGGGCGCGCAGATCAGTAAGCAATTTGGAAAGTTTCGTTTGTGGTCAACAGCACATGTCAGATGCAGCGGCAGAAGGAGGAACCCCAGCTGGAGGATCAAGGCCCATGTAAAAAGATGCCAGGAATCTGTTTTGGTCCCAGCGGAAAGATGGATTCAACAGCCGCTCTAAGAAGGAGCCATAATGAGGTGGTAGAATTTGGGGCAGTGTGACGTTCAGTTGAAAGTATGAATGTCTACCCATCACTAACTTTTTTAATATTCCCCACATCAACAACAACAGCAATTTGCTCTTAACCAGCAGGTCCCAGGGTGGGTTACGACGACTGAAAATTCAGTTGTAGAATCACAGAATTGTAGAGTTGGATGGGTCCCAAGGGTCATCTAGTCCAACCCCCTGGAAAAGCCAGTGCAGGATTGAAAACAGTTAAAACAGATTACAGTTGCAGGAATAGGGCGAGTCCTGAAAACACCGGTCTCAGGGGTCAAAGGCCAGAGCAAAGAGGCAAGTATTCAGCATTTGCTAGGTGCACTCTGTAGGGAGGGAATTCCGCAACTTAGGGGCCGCCACAGAGAAAGCCTTCTTCTGGAAAGCCTATTGATGTATATCATTTTTTCTGGACCACTCAACTCATGCAAAATAGTTTGCAGAAGTTATTTGAATAACCTAAGTGTTTGGCCACTTTAATAATTTGTTTTTTTAATGTTTTCATTTTCATCTCAGAGGTGGAGTAGTATTTCACTACTGTCCTGGATAGGTCATCTAAAGGTTGTTGGGAGCCCATCTTTTCCAGCAATATCCCAGGGACCTTCCTTGAAAATTCAGCACGCTCTCTGTCTCCTTCCTCACAAGCTGCCTCTAGCACAAGCTGCTTAGGGCCCTCGTATTTACGGGACCGCCTCTCCTGGTATGCCTTGCAGAGGACCTTAAAGTCCATGAATAATCATAGTTTAGAGGTCCTGGGCCCTAAGGAAGTCAGACTATCCTCCACCAGGGCCAGGGCCTTCTCAGTGATGGCTCCGACCTGGTGGAAAGCTCTGTCCCATGAGACCAGGGCCCTGCAGGATTTAACTTCCTTCCGCAGGGCCTGTAAGACAGAGCTATTCCGCCTGGCTTTCAATTTGAACTTATCCTGATCTTTTATTCCCCTTCCTTCCCTCCCCCTCCCCTTTTATGAAGATTAGCTGCTCTGGGATCCCACAGCTAATTCTCTCCTGGCCTCCTTGCTGGCCCAAATAGGACTAATTTAGCCAGCTAGTCCTGGTGATCATCTAATGTTTATTGGATGGTTTTTCCCCTAAATTGATTTTAGAGCTTTGAATTTATTGTTATTCACGCTTTTATACTGTATTTTATGCTGCTTTTTGTTGTATCACCATTAAGTGTTTTAAAACTGTTGTTAGCCACCCTGAGCCCAGTTTTCTGAACCAGGAAGGGCAGGGTATAAATATATTATTATTATTATTATTATTATTATTATTATTATTAGCGATTTTGTACATAAAGCTACGAAGACTCCAGATCTTACTGGACTACATCTCCCATCATCCTGGATCATTGGCTAGCTGGCTGGGGCTGATGGGAGTTGGAGCCCAACATCTGGAGGGCTGCAGATGTGAAAGCCACAGCTTCAAGAAGAAGCTAACCTGATAGCAATCCTATCCAAACACATAATTTAGAAACAAACCGTTGTTTTTACTATTTGCTGGTTTTTATTCGTTATTAGTTTTATATTGTTTGAGGTAGATTCCTTTGGGTTTTTTAAGTGCTCTATTTCCCCCCCTTAAAATAAGAAACAAACCCAAGTCATCTTCATAGCATGTATTCAAGTAAGACTCCCTTCCCTTGAGACAAAAAGCTGAAGCTTTCTTTGCATGACTGCGCTGCCACCTCCCCTGCCAGCGTCAGACAGTCTTGACTCTTTCCAAACTGTCACTAACAAATGTCCAAGTCCCTGACAGGGAGCTCTCCTGGACACCCCTGCCCCAGGAATTGTCCCCCAATACACTCAACAGCAGCTTTGCCTTCCTCAGTTCCCCGTGGCAAAACCACGCTTTACTCCGGGCAATTTTTCCCATGCCAATGTGAAACCAGTTCCTAAGGCTCCTCTCTTGCAGAAAGTTCTGCCGGCTGCAACTGATCCTTCCAGGATGAGAAATCCCCCTGCCTGCTTGTCATGCCATGCTCCTGTGATGCCCATCTTTTTTTTTCTTTCGAAACAAAATCGTTTTCATAATAATGAAAAATGTACAAAAACAAGACCATATTTAAAAAAACCCCAGAATTATTATTTTTAACCTGTCTCACATGTCCTTCTACCACAACGATTCTTTTCTGAGAAGGAAACTAAAGCCAAACTGAGGCAGGCAGGCAGGCAGCATGTTTTTTTTTTTAATAATAAAAAAGTTTGCAATGACACTGCAAGACCAAATTTGAAACGACCTCTTTCCAAAGCCCATACAACACCTGTGATATTAGGGGAAAGACGCCAGCCTCCCCCCCAACCGAGATATCCATCTTATTGCTTATTTTGTTTAATATATTTAATCCCAAACAGGATTCATATGCTCCCTCCCTAAACACAAGTCCTGGTCAACAATCTTAAGACGGCTTGAATGTACATTGCTAGATCCCATTTAAGGGACGCGGGTGGCGCTGTGGGTTAAACCACAGAGCCTAGGGCTTGCTTATCAGAAGGTCAGCGGTTCAAATCCCTTTGACGGGGTGAGCTCCAGTTCCTCGGTCCCTGCTCCTGCCAACCTAGCAGTTCAAAAGCACGTCGAAGTGCAAGTAGATAAATAGGTACCACTCCAGCGGGAAGGTAAACGGCGTTTCTGTGTGCTGCTCTGGTTTGCCAGAAGCGGCTTAGTCATGCTGGCCACATGACCCAGAAGCTGTACGCCGGCTCCCTCAGCCAATAAAGTGAGATGAGCGCAGAAGCCCCAGAGTCGGCCACGACTGGACCTAATGGTCAGGGGTCCCTTTACCTTTTTAGATCCCCTTTGGCAATGCCCGTTCAAGGTGCCCTGCTACCCACCTCTAACCAGGGACCCACAAGTGGCCTTATTCACACACCCCCAAGCATCGCCTTCTCTGTCCCTCTTGCCACCCTGATCTGCACCAACCCCTGGTGGTACCCACCACCTTAAAATCCCTTGGAAAATGGCTTTTGACCCACATTTAGCATCCTGTTGAGAAGGAAGCCAAGGGCATGAACCAGCAGCCCCGCAACCATGCCATTCCTGTTCGCGTCTTTTGAAGGTGGCGTTGATTTGCAGCTCATGAATGCCTTTGAGTCCCATAAACCCAGATGCGTAGGAACGGGCTTGGAGCAACAGGGATGGGAACTCAGAGAGAGAGGGCAACAACTAAGTGGCAGAACACATGCTCTGCGTGCAGAACGTCCCGGGTTCAACGCACAGGTAGAACTGGGGACGACCCCTTTGAAGAGCAGCTGCCTGTCAGTGCAGACATCACTGAACATGAATGGGCTAGTGGCCTGGCTTTCCACAAGACAGCTCATTCCTGCCGCTAACTCCACGGTGCAAACCTAAGCGTATCTTTGGAGGAAGCAAGTCCGGCTGAGTTCAATGGGACTTGCACCCAGGGAACAGCGCACAAGAGCGCAAGCTACTTAGCGCCCGCTCCACCAAGCGGCACTAATGTGGTGGTCTTTTGAGGTGCCACGCGACACTCCCCGCATGCTCAGAAGCACTCTTCTTTTTTTTGCAAACCGGTCCCGCGATTCCCCTCCTCTGAATACAGCAGCCCTGTTTTCCTCCGCCTCTTCCCCCAAATCCCAGGACTTGACTGTGAAAAAGTCCTGGCTTGAAGGCAGCCTTGGGAACCCGCGCGCGGCGAACGGCGCTCTGCACGCGCTCAAAGGCACTCTCTCCCCTCTCCTGCTGTGCAAAGAAATCCCGGGGCTGAGCGCCGAGGCAGAGCCCCCCGCCCGGAGCCCGCCCCACTCACCAAGGTCTGCTCGTACTGCAGCGCCCGCTGCTCCAGGCCGCTGTCCGCCGCCATCGTGGCCGGCTCCGGGCGCCCCTCTCCCGCCAGCAGGCTCCTACGAGCAGCCCCGGCAGCACTCGCTGCGCCCTGCGCCCGGACGCCTGGCTCCTCTCCTCGCTTCTCCCCACGCCCCCAGCACGGGGCGGGACCGGACTGGCTGGCAGGGGCAGGCCCGAGGGAGGTCCCGGGGCAGCCGCTCCTCCTCCACCGGGAAAGGCGCCGTCGCTGCGGAGGAGGAGGAGGAGAGGAGGAGGCGGACCGGCGGGACGCTTGGGGAGGGGCCGCAAGAGGCGCGTCGTGGCGGGGCAACCCGACGCCCCCCAGCCCGGGATGGAGCCAAGGGGCGAAGATCTGCAAGCCGGGAGCGCGCGTAGGTGGGACGGTCCCATCCCGGGCACGTTTACACGGGAAAAAGCCTCCCTGGAGGTCCGATATGGTACTTCCTCTCGGGTTAGGCGCGCGGAAGTTGGCAGCCAGGCGGTATTACTCGCGAGGAAGCCACTTTGAATCAGCAGAGGTTACCTCCTAAGGAGAAATGCAGAGGACTGCGCAGCCATCGAGGTTGCAGCGGGGAGGATTGAGAAGTGGGACCCTATCCTCTCTCTCCCCCCACGCACCATGTCGTCTTTATTCTCAGTATAACGCTGCGGGGGGTGGGGAGGACCAAGCTGACCCTCCTCCCCACGCGCGCACCCGATCCTGTTGCAGCAGGATCCAGTGGCTTCCTGCAGTGATCACTTTTCTCTGGCCTTTCGTGCCCCCACCCCTCCCAGCCGATGCTGGAAGGAACTGAGGTTAATTGCATAAAGGGGGGTCGCCGGGAGAGTCGTTTATTTTATTTCTGTGCCGCTTTTCACTCACACGAGTCACGGAGCTGGTTACAAACAATAAATAACAGTAACAGAATAGAATATCACAACTGCAACATAAATCATACAGGATGGTTTAAGGCATCATCAGTAAAACAATTGCAAATTATCAGTAAAATTACCTCCTCATATAAAACACTAACAAAGCAACTAAAAAAATTAGGCACAGCTGCAACAAAAGTCATTTTATAAGATTCACAAAGCTTCACAGTGCTCATAATCCACAAAACAATATTAGCAACGAAACAATTATTAGCAACAATGTTGGCAACTCGCAACCAAAACCCGGCTAAGCACTGTTGAGTTCACACACACTTTTACTTCTGGCCTGCCTGCCAGTGGCCCGTGGCCCCTGGAAGGTTGCTTGCAAGGGAATGCCCTTGGGTTGGAAAAAGGCCCTTCCCCTTTTTTAAAAAAAATCTAATTTGCATGTTGCGCCTTTCCATCTTCTGCACATGTGGTGTACATTGTGAATGGGTTGCCCCTTCCTAACCCATATTGTTGAAAAGATTGTTTCAAAACTTGGGTGCCTCCCTGCCTCCCTCTGCCGAGTGGGGGCAAGAGCCCATGGAGTCCCAGGCATTCACCCAAGGTCTGTGGTCCTTTGGAGAACAAAGACACAGCAGAGACTGTCGTAGCTTTAAGAAATGTGATTTATTTCCCTAGTAGTAGTAGTAGTAATAATAATAATAATATTTTATTATTATTTATACCCCGCCCATCATCTGGCTGGGTTTCCCCAGCCACTCTGGGTGGCTTCCAACAAAGTATTAAAATACAGTAACCTGTTAAACATTAAAAGCTTCGCTAAACAGGGCCGCCTTCAGATGTCTTCTAAAAGTCTGGTAGTTGTTCTTCTCTTTGACATCTGGCGGGAGGGCATTCCACAAGGCGGGTGCCACTATCGAGAAGGCCCTCTGCCTGGTTCCCTGTAACTTGGCTTCTCTCAGGGAGGGAACCGCCAGAAGGCCCTCAGCACTGGACCTCGTATCCAGGCAGAATGATGGGGGTGGAGACACTCCTTCAGGTATACTGGACTGAGGCCATTTGGGGCTTTCAAGGTCAGCACTAGCACTTTGAATTGTGCTCAGAAACGTACAGGGAGCCAATGAGCATCTTTCAGGACCGTTGTTATATGGTCTTGGCGGCCACTCCCCATCACCAGTCTAGCTGTTGCATTCTGAATTCTGGATTCATAGCTATTATGGTCTAGTAGCCATCGGCAGCCATCTCCCCCATGAATATTTCCAATGCTCCATCAAAGCCATCTAAGCTTATAGCTTGTGCTGCCTCTTGTGAGAGCAAGTTCCATAGCTTAACTGCGTGGGCAAATTAGGGAGGGCGGCAGTAGATCCCTTGCACTGGGTTGGTGCACCCATGCCGTCTCCCTCCTCTGCTCTTGCTTACTGGGACGCAGCACATCGTGGCACCAGTTTGGAGCCGCTTGGGTAAAGTGGAAATGTCAACAATGGCTGCCAGCCTTTGCAAGAGGCATAATTCCTGGAAATGGGCACAGCTGCTTGGCAGGAGGTGCCCTGCAGAACAAGCAAGGATGTGTCTTCCTTATTCACAGCCTTTCCCGGTTACAGGCTACATTACAGAAGCAGAGGGCAGCGCGGGGGGGGGGGGGCAGCCCTCGGAGAGCTGTTTTCTCTTCTTGCATGTGCCACTGGGTGGAAGCATGATGGATCTCTAAGGAGCTGCCACATGCCTGCTTTAATCTGATCTTAATCACCAGAAACTATTTCAGAAGCAGGTCTACCAGGTTGCTCCTGGAACGTGACCTGTCTTTGGTGGAACTCCTTAGTTCAGTGAGGTAGGCTTGGTAAATTGCAGCTTTCTATTGTCGCACAATTCCCTGGAGATTATTATTATTATTGTTGTTGTTGGGTTTCCCCAGCCACTCTGGGGAAATGACCAAGGTCATTTCCTACCCCCTGTGAAAAAGGTTGCAGTGTTTGGATCTCTTACTGTGCCCAGTTCTGGGCACCACAGTTCAAGAAGGACACTGACAAACTGGAACGTGTCCAGAGGAGGGCAACCAAAATGGTCAAAGGCCTGGAAACGATGCCTTATGAGGAACGGCTAAGGGAGCTGGGCATGTTTAGCCTGGAGAAGAGGAGGTTAAGGGGTGATATGATAGCCATGTTCAAATATATAAAAGGATGTCACATAGAGGAGGGAGAAAGGTTGCTTTCTGCTGCTCCAGAGAAGCGGACACGGAGCAATGGATCCAAACTACAAGAAAGAAGATTCCACCTAAACATTAGGAAGAACTTCCTGACAGTAAGAGCTGTTCGACAGTGGAATTTGCTGCCAAGGAGTGTGGTGGAGTCTCCTTCTTTGGAGGTCTTTAAGCAGAGGCTTGACAACCATATGTCAGGAGTGCTCTGATGGTGTTTCCTGCTTGGCAGGGGGTTGGACTCGATGGCCCTTGTGGTCTCTTCCAACTCTATGATTCTATGATTCTATGAAATATAGAGAAAAAGCAAGTCATAAGTTTGTAGCATTATGTAGAGCCAGAGAAAGTGAATAAAGAAAAGGTTTTCTCCGTCACAACACTGGAACTCATAGACATCCATTGAAGCTGAATGTTGGAAGATTTGGGAACAGAGAAAGGAAAGTTGGGGGCAGAAATGCTTCCAAATCCCAGTTGCTGAAAATCATGGGAGGGAGAGGGCTCTTGTGCTCAGAGGCTGCATGCAAGTTTCCCACAGGCGTCTGGCTGGCTGGCCACTGTGAGAATAGGGTGCCATTGGCCTGTTCCTGCAGGTTCATCTCCTGTCCTTTTCTACATGGAGGTTTAGGGGGAGAGCTGCAAATTGATGCCCTGGGAATGTTTCCCCTCCCTTCAAAAGTTGTTGAACCTTCAAGCTCTTCTAGGCCAGGAATGGTCAAATTCTGAATTCTGGGATTCAGGCAGGATCTGGAGAATGGTCAGGTCTGTAATAGAATAGGCACTGCCCCCTTTGGGAGTTTTGTTTTGCTTTGTTTTTTTCAAATGGCTGCTTATTTCTTGACTCTTTACAAAACAAAAAATTGAAATAATTTATCCTTCCCTGCATTGTTTCTGAAATATACTTGGAGTTGAGAGTGGATTTCATGCTCTTTATTCAGCTCATAGTGGTGAGGAGGAATGAAAGTTCCTCCAGAATGCATGCTTTATATACATTATTTACACAATGGGTCCCACGTGATTGGCTGTTTCCGGGATTCACCTGTAGGCCAATCAGGTTGCGGATTCACTTCTACCTGGAGCTGGATTGGGTGGCTCCTGTGGACCAATCAGACTGCTGCATTCTGGATCCTATTGTTCTAGGGCCAATCAGACTGCTGCATTTTGGATCCTATTCAACTCAGTACATAACACCTTGCAACCAGCCATGTTATGTTTTTTGACCTTACTAATGTCCCATTTTGCCACTAACATATTCAGTGCATGAAATAAAATAAAATAAAATACAGCAAACCAAAACAAATTGTGATGAGGGTCATATTTGGAGGGGCTTCAGGCACGGGCATCACCTTTGGCTACACCCATGGTTTCAGGGAATCTGCCACGTTGTAGGTTTCTGACAATTCAGCATGTTCCGGATTCTGCCCATCCCACTACGTTTCACCTTCTGTCTCTGCCTTACTTGACTCTGCTTCCACACACTGCTCCAGTATTTTGGAAACGATTTTGTCAGCCCTTTGCACTGGTGGCAGACAGATGGCTGAGCTGTTAATGTGTAAAAGGGGGAAGGCAGGTCTGATGGCATTCCGAGAAACTCCCCAAATTTGTTTCCTTGACTAATCGCCTGCCTGACTCCTTAAGGGTGCTGCTTGCTCTTCCCGAGAACACAGTAAAACCATAAACTTCAAAACGCAAAGCCAGTCAAGGCAATTTCAGCCGTGGCCTGTAACGCAGGAGGAATTGTCAATAAAAGCACACCAGAAGATGCAGCTCGGACCACCTGCTCATTGAAACAGAAAGACGACTATGTCCAAAGGCTAGAAGAGCCTAAATAAGAGTACTTCCTCGCATAAGGTAAAGGTAAAGGGACCCCTGACCATTAGGTCGAGTCGTGGCCGACTCTGGGGTTGCGGCGCTTGTCTCGCTTTATTGGCCGTGGGAGCCGGCGTACAGCTTCCGGGTCATGTGACCAGCATGACTAAGCCGCTTCTGGCGAACCAGAGCAGCAAACGGAAACGCCGTTTACCTTCCTGCCAGAGTGGTACCTATTTATCTACTGGCACTTTGACGTGTTTTTGAACTGCTAGGTTGGCAGGAGCAGGGACCGAGCAACGGGAGCTCACCCCGTCATGGGGATTCGAACCGCCGACCTTCT